CACCATTTCTAATTATTGCTAGTATGAAATTTATCTATATTGTTGATGTCTTCTTGAGTATCTAGGCAATTACTTGTTTAAATGCATGTCAATGTGGAAAAATCCAACTAGCCAGATAGTTCCATTACAGACCAGAGTCGTACACGATAGATTCAAGACTGTACATCAAGAGATCAATATTGAGATGTTTATGAATCTCAAGTACTCTTTGGATCAAATTGAAGCACAATATACAAGTAATTGCCTAGATACTCAAGAAGACATCAACAATATAGATAAATTTCATACTAGCAATAATTAGAAATGGTGTACAGAGTAAACGCACACTATCTAATGAGCAATGGGCTCTAGTACTTTTACTGTATTCATCATATGCCACGCTACACCTACAATCAAATAAACATTGAAAACATTAAATGTTATGATAAGAATTACCAGTATTTATTCAATAATTTTGTATAAGTAAAGCGAAACTGCATAATCTATCATGCAACCATGTCAGAAGACTGCATGTTCTTGATGTTTTCATCCATCTCCTTGACTTTCTTTTGCAGATTCTGTAGCTTTCCTCGAATACCTTCAATCTTTCTGTTAAGTTCGTCAAATAGCTCATCTGTGCTGTCCATCTGTGCTTGAACTTCCTGCCTTGTGGTTGTTGTCATTGCATGGGCTTGGGTTTATGCTCAATAAACGCCTGCACACATAAATCCGCTTTGTTTACAGTAAGATGCATGCGGTTGACAGGGTGTGTGAAGAAGTCGGCATGCCTAGTTGTAGATATATAAGTGAGGAGGTCTGCAAGAACAGCAGTAGAAATTATGAGATTGCCAGGTTCAAAATCATGTCACCAACAACTTTAATTCTTTTGATAATAGCCATGGCATCCACAAGAAGAATGATGGGACATGTAAAAGCATTATGCTCTTCAATAGGCCGTAAAGAAATGCTTATGTTTTTCTATCTTTACTTTGGAGCCATGGCAATCGAGGCATTTCTCGTGGGATTTGGATACTCTACTTCACAGCAAGTACATCTATTTCTGACCACATTACAGGTATCACTGTACACGTCTGCATTCTTTGTACTGTTCTTAGGATGCATCACAATTGACATGTTCATGGGTGTTTTTGGAATACGGGTCACTACGCTGCTAAGAGGCACAACTGCACTATATTCAATCGGAATGGGAGCCATGGTGTTTATTGGCTTGAGCTCCTCGAATAAGCAGATTGCATCTATTCCATTGATAGTGCTGAATATGCTGTTTTTCTCATTATATGTGCTACTGCAGCTGAAGAAGCTCAAAAAAAGAAACGGAGAAGTCTGGGCATTTGGAACACTTTTCATCTCACTATCATGCTTCATAATCGCAAACGTGTTCTTGTTTGTTGGGTCCGCAATAATAGGCATTGCAACAAACAGATACTTCGATAACCTGTTTTTCTACCATTTCTTCATCCTTTGCACATTTATCATGGTACATAAGTACTGGCTGTCTGTATACGACTACGAGGTTGAATCATTGCGCCTAGAAACATAGAAACACATGTACTAAACATAGTTGTTATAAAGGTCTTTATTGTTAAACTCTATTAAGATCCTCCTGTGGTTGAATCCCAGTATCTGAGATGTCATCCTCTCCAAGATAAAACTCAACAAACTCATCAGACGTCCTAAGAAGCTCACTAATACCGCCACATCCCTTCATCGTCCCTCCACTTAAAAATAACACCTTATCGAACTTCTTCAAAAGCGCATGGTTATGCACAATCATAATTATAGTCCGGTCCGATAGAACAGACATTATGTAATCAATCAACTCAGCCTCTGTCTTCTGATCAACATCAGAGGTTGCCTCATCTAGGATAAATATCGGTGAATCCTTGATTATTGCTCTCATCAGGCTCATATACTGCTTTTGCCCAACACTCAATTCACATCCCTGTTGCCCACTTTGCTTAAAGTATCCTCCTTCAAGACTACTAAATACTTCATGCGTTCCGTATTTCATGCATATTTCCTTGACCTTCTCCAAAGACACACTCCAATCGCCATACCTCAGGTTTCTAAGCACTGTTCCATCAATCACACATTTGTCTTGTGGCACATATGCTATTAGCTCTCTGATTGACCTCCTTGTGTATTCATTCATCTCAACACCGTCAATAAGTATCCTTCCTGAATGCTCCAAGAACCTCAGAAGAGTGTTGATAAGTGTAGACTTTCCTGCTCCATTTGGACCTGCAATCGCAAGCTTCTCTCCTTTCTTCAGCTCAAAACTTACATTCTCAAGTATGACTTTCTCTCCTCTTTTAATCCCGACTCTATCAAAAACTATTCCATCGTCAAATCCTTCAATGTCAATCTGCTCAGGTCTATCTTCTTCCTTCTCATACGTAGAGCTAGAGTAGTCATAATAGTTCTCATAAAGCTCTACAAACTCCCGTGCAAACTCAGTCATCCTCTCCTTAAGAATCGCATGCAAGCCATTCAATGTTATTGCATCCATAAACGTCATGTTATTTAGGCTCAGATACAGAATCATAGCATGTGGAACTAACGAGCAGAGCTTCTGAATAAACGTAATCATGTTTTCGGAGCAGCTGTATCGCGTCCCTTGAACCACTCTATCATTCAACGTTGAGTGGAACACACTCGACTCCCTTTCCTCAAGTCCAAAAGATTTAACAACTTCATAGTTGTTCAAAATGTCACTCAGCTTCTTCACTGACTTGTTCTTTGCAACATTATATTTTCCACGGATAATATTGCGCTTTGATGTCAGAAATACTGTCGTTGAAATGTACAGTAAAGGAATCATAAGAAACAATAATGCATTCTCAGGTCCAAACGATACCATTTTCACCATTGCTATCGCAATAAATATCGTCGAGTTCATCAGCGTTGGAATCACCACATCAACTGCCTCGCCAATCGCCTTACACTTCCTGTTTATTCGGCCTTCAAGATCCCCAGGCGACACCTCATGAAATACATTGTATTCCAGCGATATGTACTCAAAAAAAACATCTCGGTAGCAATCTGTGTATATATCCTGTATAATGTAAGCCATCAAAAATATTGGGAAGTACTCAAACATGGCTGCAGATATTCCATATATCAGTAGTCTGTAAACAAGATGTGTGTGCTCGCCCAAATCTTTTAGCTCAATGTGATCTGCAATCTCTGAAAGAACACTCGAAGCAACTTTCGCATACAAAACATTTGCAGCAACCGCCATCCCAAAAATCGGAAACAGCATCAGAAGCATATACGTCCTGTTGAAAACATGCTTCATAAGAATCTCGCTCACTCCATAAACCAGACTCTTGCGAGGCTTAGATCTTATCATGGCACTTTCTTAAAGGGGTTCGCAACAATTTTTTCATACATCAACACAAATCTTATTGATCCACTTTTCTTTCGTTCATGCGCATAAATACCGTCATATTATCAAGTACATCAATATCAATGCACATCTTGGATTCAGGGTTATAACTCAACAACACAGCAACACGACCAATTTATTAATCGATAACAATCTCCTTGAGGCCCTTGAACGACCCGACAATCACCAGCTCAGTATGCAGTATCTGCTTCTCTGCATCCTTTTCGCATGTCTTCTTAGTGACTCGGACACGGATCTTGGCAGGAATGTTCTTATTTCCGTTCAAAAACACAAAGTTATTGAGCTCCTTCGTAACAACTACCCCAGTCTTCTCTCCAAAGTACTTCTGGATCTCTTTCTTCAGTCTCCTTATTGCACCAGGTGCCTTCCTTGTCCATGGGACAGAAAATGCTATTCTTCTCAAGTTCACAGTAATCTCCACTGTCTGGCCTTCTACTATCTTGGATGGCATTCGGGGTAAATTTTTTCATGATCAAATACCTGTGGATGTCTTTTGCACTCAATATTCATGCACAGTCTATAACATTGCATCACCAAAGTGTTCATGCATATACTAAAATACATGTAAATTTATGCTGATAAGCATCTTATGCATTTCAAACAATTCACAAAGCATAAAGATGCAATGTCTTCATGTGCAATAATCACACTGATTTTTGACCCTGAATGGTTAAGGAGATTTCTACAACAGACATCTTCTGCGGTGGCGAGAGCTACACTGGAGTTCAAGCTGTCGAGAGAAACTCAAAGGCAATGGCAAGGATATACGATGCAATAAAAACAAGTTTTGGACCATTGGGTCTTGACAAGATGTGTGTCAACTCTGCAGGAGAGGTCAGCATCACAAACGATGGCGCAACAATTCTTCAGAGCATGCTGGTGGACGATCCAGCAGCAAAGATCCTTGTTGATCTTGCAACGCAGCAAGACAATGAGGTTGGGGATGGAACAACATCTGTTGTTCTGATGGCTGCAAGTCTTATTGAGAAAGGAGCAAAACTGATTTCATCAGGTGTGCATCCATCTGTTGTTGTATCTGGATACAAGATGGCATTCAACGAGTGCATTCAATTTATCAAGAAAAGCATAGCTAAGGATATTTCCACACTAGGTGCAAAGGCATTAGGTAATATTGTAAACACAAGTATATCAAGTAAGGTTATTGGATCTGAATCTGCATTATTTTGTGAGATTGTTGTAGATGCATTGAAATGCATTGAACCGTCTGAAGGAGGCAAGAAGGTTGTGTATCCTATCGAGGACATCAATATTCTCAAGCATCCTGGAGGAGCAATGGCTGAATCGTTTTTAGTGCAAGGTTATGCCATGAACTGTGCATTGGCATCTGGATTCATGAAGAAAGTTGTTAAGAAGCCAAAGATCTTATGTATTGACTTTGGGCTGCAGAAATACAAAAACCCACTGACTGTAAATATTGTAGTTGACGATCCGTCGAAGTTAGAAGATATCAGGAAGAAGGAGCTTGAAATAACTGCGAACCAAATCAAGTCTATTGTGGCGTCTGGAGCAACGGTAGTTTTAACAACAAGAGGAATGGACGACTTTTGCACAAAGCTTCTGCTTGATGCAGGAATAGTTGGGATCCGAAGATGCAAAAAAGAAGACCTGGATGTGATTGCCCGAGCAAGCGGAACATCGGTTCTAATCTCGATGACAGATCTCAATGGTGTTGAAAGTGTGCCTACATTAGGAAGTGCAAACAAATTTGAGGTTGTATCGATTGGAGAGGAAGAATGTGTGTTTATTGAAGGGCTTAAGAAGAAGATGGCATCTATAATCTTGAGGGGAGCAAACTACCAATTACTTGATGAGATGCAAAGGTCTATTCATGATGCCATATGTGCATTGAAGAGAACATTGGAGTCGAAGTCTATTGTTCCTGGAGGAGGGGCTGTGGAGTGTGCGTTGTCTTTAATGCTGGAGAAGTTTTCATTTACAGTGAATTCCAAGGAGCATGTTGCAATCCACAGATATGCAGAGTCATTAATTTCGATACCAAGAATACTTGCATCAAATGCAGGCCTGGATCCAAACGAGATTGTTGCTAAGCTTCTAGCTATGCAAGGCACAGACGCCAGCGATAAATCAGGCAATAGCATGTTTGGTGTTGATGCAGTGACCGGAGAAATCCAGAACAATGTGGAAGCCGGAATCATTGAGCCAAGCATGATTAAGATGAAATCTCTTAGAGCAGCAACAGAAGCATCCATTAGTATCCTTAGGATCAACGAAGTGATAATGCTGCCTCCAGAAGAGCCCAGAAATTAAATGAATGAATTAGTCATGACTTTACATTCGTATCTTTACTTTTCCACTGTTGATCCCAAATAATGCTCTCGCATGCATTAACTTGAATATGTCTAGTATAAATACTATAGATACGCTACACAAATAGTTTATGGTTTAATTACAATCAGAACACATGAGACTCTATAAGCTCGTTCAAATGCCTGTTTTTGGATTTTTCTATAGCGCACATCCATATCCTGGTTTTGTACACTCTATACAGCTCCTTGACAAGATCCCTGAAATCCACCCTTTCATCACTTGCAAAATAAAACGTTATCTTGTTCAGATCCCATTGATACTCGCATCCAACTACCTCCATGTCCAGCCCACTCATAAATGCCCTTTCTCTACAGAATTCCAGCGCTCTGGTTTGCATGCTTCTCTTCCTTTCCAATGCCTCAAGATCAAGTAACGTTGCCAACCTGTATATCCTCTTTGGTTGCACCTCATTCGAAATGTCCTCGTACTTCTTGAATAACCTTTCAAGCTTCTCCTTCGTAGTCACCCCAACTACCATTCCACAATCTTCTCCCCTATCCGCTTCCAATATCACGTAAGAATTCTTTCTGATCCCAAGATTCACATCAACAAACGCAACATCAAGGCGCTTGCTCTCAAACTGTATGATGTAGTAGTGGCTCTCTGCCGCTATCGACATAAACTTAAATGACGTCTCTATGCTATCAAATATCTGCTTCATTGGAAACTCAACTAGCTTCCGCTCTATCTTGCATGCATTCTCAGATCTGCGCTTGAACGGATTCGTCCCAACTATTCTCCAATCCTCCTGACTCTCATGCCATGTCTCTGTGCTTTCAGACCATAAACTGTTCAAAAATGGCGAGGCCCAGTTCTCGCAGAAGGACATTCTTCAGAGGGTTAATCAAAAATCAAAAATATACACGCATGAAATTCACACCTCTTGCCATAGCTTAGCAGTATATCGAACTTTGTCTCCATAAAGACTAAAAGTATTATTGAGCAATGTATCCGCCACCACTTCATACTCCATATTCTTCACTTTACTTATAACCTCTGCCACTTGTATTACACAACAAGGCTCGTTTCTCTTCTTCAATGCTTTCTGACCATCAAAATAGCTTGTGACATACTTAGATCCTGCATAGCTATTCCTGATCTTACAGTATGGCGAGTCAGTCTCCACAAGTATCGAGTCAATTGGTAATTCTTTCAATACCTCAATGCCTTCTTCAGTTTTCACAGAGCATCCATTAATTCCTATATACAGCCCTTTCCTTATCAACTCTTTTGCCTCTTCATGCGTCCCTGTGAAGCTGTGAACAACGCCCCGAAGTGAATAATCACAAATCATCTCCATAAAGTCTCTGTGGCATGTTCTCGAATGAAAAAAATAGCACTCTCCATTCAGATCAAGTTGTGAACGAAAAATTCGCTTCTGTGAGTTGACATCTGCAAACTCAAGACGATCGTAATCTAAGCCACATTCTCCAACTGCTACAACCACATCCTCTTTTACCAAGCACTCTATCCCAGATACATCAAGGCACTGTTGTGATGAAGTAGGATGTATACCAACTGTAGCCACAGTCCTGTATCTTCTGGCAAGCTCAACACATTTTCTGCTTGTTTCACAATCAATTCCTGTAAACACAGGCATTACATTACTTTCCCTTGCCCTTCCAATTATTTGATCGAGCATTTCTTGGTTTTTTGCCAACTGACTATCTGTAATATTGACTGCTATGTCTATCAGCATTAGGGTAGTCTTGGCAACACATATTATGGATGTATGCATCGACAGTACCTTGAGGCAGGTGCAGTCGCAAATGTGCAAATGTTTAGCCCTTGGGCAATGAGAAAGATATACAAGCCGCCAAGCAAAAGATGCAAGAATTATAGGAAAAAGACATTGGATCCCAAGTCACGACTGGACATCAGAAAAGACGAAGATGACCTTGAAAATATTGATGACTACTGGAAGACAGCAGAGTCGGTGCTTAGAGATGACAGCGCCACAGAAATTGAAGAAACAGCGGTATATAGAAGCGAGGACGAATGCACACATAGCGATACACTTTTTGACATCAAAGGCATCCGTGAAAGACTTTCTATAAAACAATCGTGTGCTGATCTATCTGCAGTTGATGCAGGCACACTTGAATTAAGTAGCATTGTGACAAACAGCGTTCTTGAAAAGATGGATCCATCGGTTTTATTTGAAAACATAACCGTTGATCATAATGTTACTGCAGACGATGGATTTGAAAGCATTTCTAACATCAAAGTTGAAAATAGAAAGTGTTTGCATAATGAATCTACCAAACACTCTATGCGTGTCAAATACGGCTTTACAGCTGATGCATGCGTTACGACAGTCTCAGGTCTTGAAATGAGCTTGATAAATGCTAAGGAAGATAAATCCCAAGAGAATACTCATAATAAAAATACAACAGAATCTCAACAATACAAAATGGTCAAATCAATCATTAATCCTGAAGCAATAAACGAATGCAAAGAAAATATAGAATTTACATCTGAATATCCAAGCTATGTAGTTGCGAATGCTCTTAAAGCTTACCAAGGAAAGAGTTCATTTGAGCCACTGGCTACATCATTGGGCATAGCAACGGGGATTTTGTTTCTCAAAAGCTTTGCATCTGTCAGTCCTGAGCATGCATCCTGTGGGTTTTCAATGTTTGTCATAAAAGGCGCAGTTCAGGTTTGCATTGCCAACCAGAAGCTTATTTTGAAGAAAGGTGGCGTCTGTGTGATTGAGAAAGATACAAAATACTCCATAAGCAATCCATTCGCAACACGGTGTGCTATTCTATTAACACATACTTTATAATCTTATAAGAATGCACATCATAATATAAAATATTAGAAACTGATCTATATCACTATTTAATGCTTGTGACCCGAAATCAATCAGAACAAGTCTACATGGACTTAATACTACTTGCTAGCATCTACGCCATCTTCACAGAACACAAGATTGCTTTCATAGTACTCAAGAAGAGGAATGGGGCACTTTTCGTGAATAATCTCAGCTGGGAATTTGCCATTCTCTCCGTTCTTGAACAACAAATAAACAACCAAACCATTTTTTGAATCGTTCATCTCAACAGAGATCACTTTGTCTACAGCCGAGCTCAAATTGTCTATTTTCGCCTGTGTATCAGGTAAAACTTTGGATTTAGTACGAGGTTTTCGTTTGATTCCTTCTTGACTTTGCTTATTGTTATTCTGCAATTCATTCTTATCTTTTTGAGATCTGCTTTTTCTTTTATTCGTTCCGTAAGATTCTTGCTCAGCGGCACTCTCTTGGGGGTTTTGTGTGGCTTTTGCTTCTGATGGATTCAAATTGCTCTGCTTGCCTTTCTTTTGCTTTTTATTAGGCATGGCTTTTGTATTCTCATACTCCTGTATCATATCTTTACAGAATATGTTCTTTTCGTTCTCCCAGGTGTTGTCTGAATCAGGATATCCCTGCCACTTCAGCAGGTATTGCTTTACTCCCTTTAATGTCCTACTTGCAACAACTTTCTCAACTACGTAGACATCTTCGGCGCTCATATGTGTAGTTAATGTTTACAAACTATCGATAAATTGTGATAATGAAACACAAATAAACATGCCATCAAACATCATTGAGTCTTTGAAATCTGCTCATACTCCAATGCAGTCTTCTTTGTTCTTATTCTTGTCTTGTTTGTGATTCTACTGCCCAAGAAGAATGATCCGACAAAAATAACTGCCACTCCAAAGGCAAAGACTCTCAGCTGACTGGTTGTGTACTGCTCAAATTCCCTGAAATATATTCCCGCTGTTATTATACTTAGAAATGTCCAGGTTACATGAAACATTGGAATGACAAGCAGAGCATCATAATGCCTTAATGCTCGGTTGAGCCAGTATATCTGGAAAAATGTACATGTGCCAAGCACCAGTATAAAAAAGTATGTCGTAGAAAACACAAATTGATTGTCTCCAGAAATTGTTTTGTCAATCATCTCTCCAAGGCTCTTGACAGAAAGTGTGGTAAACGACGCTATGAATGATGAAAGGCACACATATGCCAGCGCCATCACATACTTCATCACAAACCCATCTTCTTCAAACCATACTGAGCTACTCTTCAGAAACTTCATTCGCTCTCCAGGCAGCTCCCAGTTGCTGTTTATCTCCACATACTTGATAAATGCAAACAGATAAACTATCACAACCAGAATAAGTCCAAACCAAACCAATGTTTCTGTTCGTTTGTACATTTTTATCAACTCACACAAGCTGTACACCTTGTGAGTGATTGTCGTGTTCATAACAACAAGCGTAGTGCCTGCAAACACAAAGAATATTGCACAGAAGTCCCTCCATGTAAATACCTCGTTATTGATCATTGGTGCAAAGATGCTGTTCGACACAAGCCCAGTGGCACTCAGTGCTGCAATCAGCGACTGATTCCCAAACACATACGAGCAATATCCAAAGAACTTGCCTATTCCATACATTATGCATCCAAGATAAAGTGTTTGGAACCTTGTATTGAGAATCTCAATGCATGCGTGTCTATATGATTTCTTTTGTAGATTAACACCGATATTGATTCCAATGTTTCCACTTATTGACAGAAGCACTCCAAACATCCATGAGTTCGATTTGTCTGGAACACATTCATATGTGCCTTTGGAACCTAGTAAGCACGAGTGGCGAGTGTCACACCCACTGAGTGCCCTTGGTCTATGCACATTGCAAGACTTTCCTAATGGAATGTTTCTGCAGCAATACATAGATCCGAGTGTCTTTGGATCTTCATACTCACATTCATCCTCAACCTTGCATTTCTCAGTGCAGGCAAGTGGCCCAAAGAACGAGTAGGACGAGCAATCAGTAGGCTTTAGACAATGCATCCCTGGTGAAAGGATCTTTTGGCAGGTGTAGTTAACACAATACAGCGAGTGGATATCCGGCCTGGATCTATTAAGGCAATCACTGTCTCTAACACACGCATGAAGTGCCACTGCCTGTTTAAGCATGCATAAAAACATCATTATTTGTTTATTCAAAAGGGTTTATATTCTCATTTCAGCCGCACATTTCATTCTGTCGTTGTTTTCAGTGCGCTGTACTTACCATATGCTAGCATAAAAAGCATCCTTGGCTCATTTACAAGCATTGCAACCTTGCTTATACTCCTAAACATACTCTCAAGAATCTCATCATTTGAATTATAAAGCTTGCAGTCCACCATTGCGCCATCCTTTACAAACATTCCAATGTCGCATGCTAATGCTTTAAACCTCATATACATTTCATTGTTTTCTTGTTCAACTGTCACTATTTGTATTCCAAATATGTTCTTAACAAACTCAACAGCTCGGCTATACCAAACATATGATTCCTCCATGTAATTCTCCATGGTTACCAAAGACAGTCGTCTTTGTCGTGCTGAAAGGTTTTCTTTCTTTGCACGCATGCTTCGCAGATTTTCTTCTGCATCAGTCGTCTCCAGTTGCGCAAGCTTTTTCCTTAATGAATCAATCTTGTCAACATGCTGTTGAATGTCTTGGCATTTCTTATCAAACTGAACCACAAGTTCATCATATGATCTCAGATTCTCATCAAGGATCTCTATTCGTGAATACTCCTGTGCAAGATCTATTTCTCTCTGTTGTTCTTCACGTAAGGTTTTTTCACATTCCTCCAGTCTCATCTCCATCCCATGTGTTGCTTCAGATAGCTCTGCAATCAACTTAGATGCATCACTACTAACAGACTTTACACTCTTCAGCTGTGCTTTGCTATTGCTTAGTATCGTCAGTAGATCTGGTGCTTCTCTATTTTCTACCTTCAGGCTTTGTAGTAAAAGCATCTTTGTTGTTCTTTCAATGTATCCAAACTTGTAGTTGTTGAAGTAATCCTTGGCATGCATATAATCGTGATCTGCAGTCTCATATTTGTCCATTCAGGGAGCATTAAATCACATGTTTAACAATTACACACATTTGCATTAAATCGCTAGCTTAGATTTAATCGCTAAATTCTTTCCATAAACATTCTGCGACACCTGCATCTTATTACATTCTCTAGTATATAAGGCTCGTATTACTTCTGTTCATATGAAATTCCGTACGAATACATCACTACAGAGACAGATCCGAGTAGCAAAGAAAAAGCTTTCCATGCATTTATGCTTTCATTCAGAACGATAATGCCAAGAAACGATCCAAAGCTTTTGTTCAATGCTCCAAGCATCCCAAGAGTCGTTGAGGAAAGAACATTCAATGTCCATGCCGTACTAAATGATGTGAAAAACGCACAGACAGATGACACAAACACCCATGCTATCACTTCCGTGGAAATTCCCTTGCTGCTTTTATTGTCAAATACAAACGATAAGGGTGCGAGAATAGGTAAAGACACAAGGTTCGAGTAATACACTGACTCAGTCTTTGCTCTACTATCTGTATCCATAGCTATTTTCAGGGAAAGCACATATGCAGTTGTGGACACAATGTTTATCAACATCCAACCATATTCAATCGCAAGGATCGCTTCTGAAGAGTCTCCTATATAAGAGCTTCCAATCATTAACATGAACGATGTGTATGCAAGTGTAGATATTTTTCTATTAAAAAGCCTTTTTTCTAGCAGTGCGGTTATCACAATACTGCAGTTCTTAAACAGCGTGTATATTGAGATAGGTAAGTAATACAGCGACTTAGATCCAGAAAATATCATCACGGTCAGTAGCAAAGATGGAACCATCCACTTTTTGAACCTTGTGAGCTCAAAATCTACGACACCGATTCTCCTCAGAATTAACAATGAACAAACAATTGTGAGAGATTGGAGCATCACAAGCAAATACTGCATTTCAAACTGCAGATCGGACAGAATGTATTTGTTTACGAGCGTCGTTGTCATTGAACTAAGCAGATACACAGAGCTTGATATGAGCTGCTCAAATGCTTTCATATTGATTCAGTTTATTGCATTTCAAAAGCAAATATGAAACATTGCATCAAAATATCTTTAATTTTCATTCTATGATCATCAAATGTGTTCATAAGTTAATGATTTGTAGGTTTTGTGCCATAATCATAGATAAAAGATTCATCATAAGTTGTAGATAATCTTCATTCATCATAACTATAGATATTAATTCATCATAAATTATAGATAATCATAGACAATCATTCATAATTGTAAATATACCACCTCACATATCATTTAGCATGTTCAACATAGGAGCATCTAGAATACAATATCCCAAATTCAAGGTATTGCTTATTCTCCTTATTCACATTATATATGAGTTGTAAACCTCCCATGACATGAGAAGATTAGTAGGAAAGGTATTGATGTATATATGGCCTTTGGTAGTCGGTTCATTCTTGCTTACTCCAGTATCTCAAATCACGGGTGAAAATCCAAGAGAAAATACTAGAGCAGTATGGTCTATTGTTGCCGTATTGTGTATTCCATCATTACTGGCCATTTTTTACTATACTCAGAGTATCATGATCGAACGTAAAACCGGCGACACTAAATTTAATCATCATAAAGATAACCTGATACTCATCTTGATGCAATTAGGTGGAATCATCTCGTATACATTCACCACATACAGGTGCTTACACCCCGAATCTAAGGTTCTCAGTAAAGACTTTTTAACAATAATCAAGATTATAGCTGTGCTAAGCATTTTGAAATATATGCTGTTTTTGAGCAAGCATAACTGTTATGCATTTGTAGGTGTGTGTCGTGGATTTATTATAGGATGTTATCTGCTACTCACTATAGGTATTTTCAGTATGGTAGATGGCTCTTCAAAAGTGAAGATCCTCAGTGATGCAATAGACACTATTGAGTCATCTCAATTAACCGTTAAGAATATTGATCAGCTTCTGGGACATGTTGGTGAGTTCCAGAAAAATCAAGAACAAATCCTGCAACACATAGACACCGGCAAGAACATTGCGCCTCCAGTCGCATAAATATGCTTAAATAAACAATAAACAATAAATTTATACACTTCTAATAATTATCATGAAGTACAACAGATCACATAGATTAGTACAAGATAGGTTATGCACCAATCTCCTTGAATTTATCTAATATCTTGAGTATTGCATCCTCAATCTTCTTGTACTCTGCTTCTTCATCTTCTTCAACAAATACCTCATTGGGTTCGCCTCTGTACACAATTTCATCAACTCGTTCATTCACAATCACATCTGTGGCTCCATGCAGCTGAAGAAAATGACTGCAATGTATCTTTTCTCCATTGCACAGCACAATCTTTATTTGAATACTGAACTCGCCCCATCCCCTTTCTACCATCTCAAACGGATATTCCACACTCACCAATCGGTTGCTAAACGATTCATGTAGTCTGAACTCAACCTTCTTGACTACATCAGCAGGTGCATGCACATAGACCTTCCATTCATGTGTAAGTTCAGGAACAGGCCTTTCACTTTCAGGGATTATTCTTGCTTCATTTCCAATCGTAACCTTACAACTTCTAAACCCATCCATCAAGGGCAAATCATTTGTAAATCCTCTAGTCACATCCAAGTAATCATTACTTACATTTACAGAAGCCATTTCAGACATTAATAGGAATCAAATTATACATTCCGCACATATTTCATAAACAATTCAAGCGTCTTACACGGACTATGCGTTTCAAGACCAATTTCCTTTACCTGACTTATTTTGTGAATCATTGCCTCGGTGTAGTCAATCTTGTGTGGAAGATTCAAAAGAGATGTTATTGTAAATCTATTCTTCTTAACAATCGTATGGCTCTTGTTGTATCTTATCCTTCTAACAATCGATAAATAATACCAAAGATTTTCAGAATGCTCTAGTAGCTGAAATATTGCTTCTGTCAATTCAACATCCACATCATTGATGTCAAGTATTATGTTCTTTGCAGCTAGTATGTCATCAGTGCTTATTCCATCTCTATTCACCATTGATCTATTTCCTCCAAGCCTGATAAGAATTTCTAAGCAATCAAAGTGATCATGAGATGCACAATAATGCATTGCAGTGTTTCCAAGGTAATCTACTGCATTAATATTACATTCAAGTGCTAGGAAAGCAATTATCTGCTCAATGTCTCCATCAATCGACTTCACATGCAATGCAGACATCCCATTGATCTCCTGAGTAATTGATGTTTGGTACCTACTGAAAAGAAAAACAAACTCTATGTTATTCTGCACAAGATAGCACAGCCTACTCGCTTTTGCAAGCTCTGGATTCCTGTCGAGGACTTTTTTTGCTGCTGCGATATCATCGCTCATGCATAAAAAATCAACCAGAAACAAAGGTTTGTCCGCTGCTTTAACCACTTCAATTCCTCTATATGCATTTAGCAAGCCATACTGCCTCATTGTTACAAAGTTAAATGTCTGTTTTGTATCTAAGGTTTTCCCATCAAAGGACGCAATCATCTGTGGCGTGAGCCCGTTCCAACACAACTCATAATTCGGTGAGAAATTCATAAAAACTGACAAAACTTCATTGCTCATTGCACATGCAAGATGAAAATATGTTGGGGAAAGCGCATTCCCAAATATCGATGAATTAATGCTGCTTGGAAACCCGCCACTAAGTATCGAGTATACCAAGTCAGGTTTGTTTTTGATCATTGCCAGAAGCAACACAATATTGGCTTGGTTGTAACACTGGCGCTTTACTTCAACATTTGGCTTGAATGAACGTCCATCAATCAATGCAAGCTTGATGAGATTTAATTTATATCCAAACACTGCATTACCTCTTGGTGACTTGTAAATCACTTTGGTTGAAGGATCGGAAACCTCGTTAGATGACAATCCAGTTTGTCTGTAGCTCTGACTTAATGTACGGAGATTCATCAAACACAACCTCTGGTTCGTGTAATTTGTGTCTGACAGAATGAACTCGTGGTATTCTTTCCGTCTTCTGCTCATGTTGGACAATTGTTCAGCTTTCATTCAGCACATATACAAAATGATTTTTTTTAGTTCAGGCATTGCACAAATGTTATTACCGCATAAAACCCATGGAGTACAAGATACAGAAGGATCAGGAACTGCTGGCAATAATCGACAATATTGAGAAGAGCTATGACCCAAGCTCACCGGCATATAAATTCAAATATGTATTCTACAACAAGGTAGACCAGCCATTCTACCGCCCAGCCGACTTTCCAGAAGCCCTTTGGAACATTTCATTAAGTGAGGATCCTACAATGATGCCTGTCCTCTTGAAAGGCGAAGATATTGAGCACCGGAAGGCGCTTCAAACAGATCTTTGCAAAAAGATCAACGACTCGTACGACTTCATTCGTAAGAAGATTAATGGACTGAGAATGAGGTCAGAACGATTGAAATCGAGAATAGACGGATGTGCACAGATATACAGGAGGATTTTCGGAGGAGTTTACAACAAATTGAAGAAGGAAGAAGGAAAATGCACTTTGATTGATCAGATATACCGTGCAAATTTGTCAATTGACAAGAAGGAGAAATTGTATGTTGTTGAGAAAAAAAGCGAAGTAATCGACTTTTTGCTTGATATGAAATCAATGGGCGAGAAGATTTTGAAAAGCGCTGATGATGCATTGCAAGAACGTCAAAAGCAAGCAGTAATACTGAATGAACTAGATAGAATCTGATGATCAAGAAAGAGACTTTCTGATCACTAGCAAAGCTGTTTACATGTAAATGCAGTATTTAATTGCCATCTTATAGAATATCTTTGCCACTATGCATAACAGGATTAGTTATTAACTGGGCGTGCAGTTGCTACTCAGTGATGATTTCACCATACTTCATCTTAGTTGCAAGGCTTCTGCAGTCGATCCGTCCGTTTTCAACGCATCCCTTAAGAAGTAAATTAACATCATCGTTTGACATGCAACTTCCTTTCTCTGTGAGCCAATGCCTAAGCATGCTTTCATCAATCTTTCCATCACCAATATCATCGAACTCTTTCAATGCATTGAAGATGTCCTTTTCTGAATCTGTGCAGCTGAGTCTTTCTCCTATCATGGTAAGGAAAAGCATGTATGTCATATTGTCTCCGCTCTCATGCATCATCTGATCTATTTCATTGCATGAGAAAGGAGATCCTATTGATGCAAGAAAGTTTTCAAGATCTGTTCGGTCAACAAATGTGTCACTATTTACGTCCAGGAAGTTGAATGCTTCTCGGAGCTCAACAATCTGGTTCTTTGTGAGCATGTGGAAGATATTGGAGTTCTGCCGCCCATGTCGTCTTCTCATTGAAGGGGAGTCTCCTATTGATGGATGAACTGTCTTGACTTGACAATGCAAATAAACAAATCACATAAATATTTATTACATCTTTTCAGATACACTTGCAGCAGCATAGCCAAATAGACTCTGTTCTGGAGCGTCTTGTTTTCAAGACTGCATCGAGTGCAACACAGAATACCTTGTTTACGTTTATGAGCTCGAGAGATGAGCATTCTATTGATGCGTACAGATTGTATTCATTTTTCAATGTCTCTGGATGTGCCTTATCGACCAGTTCGCCATCAACAACATCGCATTTTGTTCCACAAAGAATCATCGGAACATTGTATTTAGAAAGCTCTTCAATCCATGCTCGTGTATTTCTAAACGAAGTGGGACTGTTAACTGCATAGCATATCAAAAACACATCAGCTTCCTGTAAAAATTGTCCACGTAGATTTTTGTATTCGTCGCTTCCTGCGGTGTCCCACAGTGTTATACTGTACGTCTGACCATCTCTGGCCACCTCCTTGCTTGACTTGTCGAAAAGAGTGGGGATGTATCCTTCAGGGTTCTTGCCTGTTATATATGTAGTTATGAGCCAGCTCTTGCCCACCGACGGATCTCCTACAAGGACACATTTTACGGTTTCCATCGCACAGCTTGCTGAGAACTGTGGTTTTTGTTTTAAATGGATGTTTTTGGCGTGATTCAATCATAAACTGAAGACTGAGAAACAGATTGGACGCTTGTGATCTTTTGTGATGGTTGAATTGGTCGTGTGTCATGTCTCCAGTTTTCATTGTAATGGGTTGGATCATACATTTTAGAATTAGACTAGGATTAGAAGCTTTCTAAGTAGATGTATTTTATATACTGATTGCTTTTATGTTTTGATGCTTCTATGTACTGTAATAGCTACTGAATGATTATGCATGACATCCATTGAAACACAGGTTGCAGAGTAATGCGAATGGTCAATTAACTTGTATATCTAAATGTTTCATTGGTGAAATGATACTCAGCAACCTGTAATCAACAGTATTCTTATTATCTCCTTATTGCATGAGTATGAATATGATGATGTGATTTCATGCATACCCTTCAATGAGCCAAGATAAAGTTGGAGATCTTGATGAGATGGATCAGATGATGAATAGTCACGATAAAGAGATGGAATTCTTTGCAGAAAGTTCCGAAATCGATGAAGAAGGTGAGATATCATATATAGCAAATAGAAACAACACGTTTGATCATCCAAGAGTCTACAGACAGGTCATAATCATTGAAAGATCGCAGCCTGTTGAAGAGATAATGCTCCGATGGCTCATCTCAGTAGCTGTGTATGCATTTATAATACAGACGATATTTGCTATGTGGAAGAGGCTGAATAGAAAGACGCATGATATTTGTGTATTTCTGATTCTTCTGTTGTTTCCGCCTGGATTTCTTGTTTATGCAGGATCGTATTTTCTTCCTGGTATTTGGGCAGGATTTGTAGGGTTTATTCTGATTAGCTGCTTCAAGATGCTGAAGTCGCAGCATGATAAGGATGCGATGAGGCGTATATATGCAATATTCAAAAAGCTGTTTATTATTTCTAATTCTGGGATTTTTGTTGGACAGGCACTTACGTTTATTACCTTTTATGTGAGTATCAGGTACTTGATGCATTCTCTGTCTGTTCTGTTGTTTTTTGTGTATTTTGGGCTGTTAAGCAGAGAAACGATATTTTTCTTGAGTGAGACGATGGCGGTGTCTACTGGCTTCTACAGCAAAGAGGGAGTTCCTGGAAAGGGCAACAACAACTCGTTATGCATGATATGCACCAAGAGATTTGACGGAGTTGAGAAGATACATACGCTAGGGTGTGGGCATTCGTTCCATGAGGACTGCATCAAGGGATGGTGCCTTCTAGGAAAGAAACTGTTCTGCCCATATTGTAAGAGCAAAGTGGTGAGTTCGACATTACCGCCAGAGCTTTGGCACAAGGCTGAGGTGTGGTTTTATCCACTGATCAACACGATGAGGAGCTTTATTATCATAACGCTTATGCTGACAGGGATAGTTTTGTACAAGATTAGGTACCAAAATGGCCAATGAAAAGGTTTATTTTATTGTTTCAGAATGATTTTCCCAGTCACCTTGGCGATGCTACCCTCAAATGTGATCTTGAGATCTTTGGCATCATGTGCAAATGTATGAGAGGTAGACATTGATTCTGAGCTTTTCATTTTGTATCCGTTTTTGTCAGACTCTGATTTTTTTATGTATTCGATGGAGAAGCCATTTGGCAGTGTTTTGAACTTGACGTCTTTGTGGTCGATGTTTTTTGGCAGCTCGAAGGTTTCGATGATGTCTTGTGTTTTTGCAAGATTGTCGGTGTTAGCACACATTGTATGTGAGTAATAGAGCCAATATATAGTTTATGTTACCAATTGCAGGAGTGGACTAATCAAAGATGGTGAATGCTGTATGTTTGAGTTGGACAGGTGATGATTTGGACAAGTGATTGTGTATAAATGAGATTGTGGATGAATGTATAAGTGTATGATGGATAGGTGCATGAATAATGTATCGATAGATAGGTGCATGATGGATAGGTGTATAATTAATGCATCGATAGATAAAATCATAGATAAATGCATAATTAATGCATGCATAAATAAGATTATGGATAAGTACATAAGTGATTCATCGATAGATAATGCAAAAAGTGGAGAGAAAAGTATATAATTAATACAAAGTGGTACCCCATAGAATATGAATAGACTGGAGAAGTTCTTTACGACTCTATACACAGCACAGTCAAAGGTTCTGAAAAGGTATACGACTGATGAGCTTGTTTCTCAAATAAAAGAATATGTTGACTTTACTCCTTACATTCTCAGGCAAACATACAAGCTTTTGTGTGGGCAGGAGGGGGATGACAGGAAGAACGGAGCGAGGATACTTGGCTCTCTGATGTTCCAGTTTAAGCTTGTGACGGAGTTCAAGATTGAGTATATGGAGGGTAAAGACGTATATCTGAGTTGCACTGGAGAACAGTTCAACGTACAAGCGCCATCTATACAAGAACAAAAGAAGATAGTGAAGAAGCTTGCAGATATGGAGCATGTGGAGTCGAATTTCTTGAGCGACATTGACTTTAAGGCCAGTGCAGGAGAGGCAATTAAAAGGCACAAGGTTGAAGAAAAAGCAATTGAAAATCCGTTTGATTTTTTCGAGCAGGTGAGTGAGAACTTGCTAAGTTATGAGTGGCATAAGCGGCATGGAGCTTTTCTTGCATTTGAGGCGATGTTTTCTCAGATGGGAGATGGGGAGATGCAAGTGAAGATTGATCCCAAGCTGTTTTCGAAGATCTACGAGATTCTTGTTACGGACAAGTTCAATGACTTTGTGGATGACAGGACGTTTGCACCTGTAAGGGATGCAGCGGCACGTCTTTTGGCATGCATTTATCCGTTGATTGGTGTGAATGATATTACTGAACAACTGATTGGATTTCTGGACAATGAAGACTGGCAAGTGCAGTTTTCAGGGCTTATAGCGTTAGGATATCTGAAAGCGTATGTTCCTGACAAGGAGATGCTATGTAGGAAACTTGTATCGCTTTTGTGCAGTGTTGACGAGGATATAAAGTTGCTGAGTGCAGAGCTTTTGTGTGGATTTCCGATTTGTTCAGATGCAGAGGTGATTCTTGAGAGATGCTGGAGCAACATTGAAGCAGAGGAGGTTATTTCTGTGTCAAAGACGTCCAATCTGTCTTTACTTGCAAAGATATACAGGGAGAATCCTGGGATGGAAGTTCCGGCCGATAAGCTTAAAGAGATTTTCCCATGTTTTACATCGCCTGTGCCTGACGTGCGTGTCAGTATTGTAAAGATGGTTGAGAACTTCAGCGACGAGTCCATTGATTTTCTTATTGCGGAGATGATTCTAATTGAAGAGAAAGAGGAAATAAGAGAACTTGCCATGAGCGTCTTAAAGAAGAGGAGTGCGATACGAAATAATCTGGTTGTTCATTTTATGAATATTCTTGGAGGGAGCCTATATGAGCCGTATCGTGAAGATGACTTTGTTTCATACGATGACTTGTATTTTACAAAGAGCGGAATAAATGTGATAGGAAAGGACGAGATATTGAAGAACAGGTGCTTTTTATTTGAATGCCTGATGGGTGGAGATACTAAAGATCTGAAATGTAAAGAGACGATGATTGGCAACACTTTTTTATTCCTTAGTAGGTTTACTCACAGATTTAGTGAAAATAACGAAGGATTAAAGTGTTCAAACACTGCAGAACAAATGACTGACGATGAGATACTGGTGAAGGATCTTGATGAGTACTTTTTGAAATGCAGAGATTTAAAGATGGCGCCAGTGAAGGAGTTCAAGAAGAAGGTGAGCGATCCTAGTATTACATCAATACATTTGATGGTTGAGTCATTGTATGTTGATTATATCAGGATGCAGGCTTCTGTGAATCTTCCTGAGATGAGGTTTGCATTTAAGATGTACAAAGTAGAGACATGCAAGCAATTTCTTAGCTTATTCTCAAGGATAGTAACTGATGCATATGATCAAGGAAGGATTTGTGTAGATGAGTTTCTAATGAGAGCATATGAAGGGTTGGTGCAAGGCAGTGAAGGGTTTCTTGTTTTTTTCAAGGCTTTTGGTGCAAGGCTTCTTGAGCATGCGTTTTTCAACAGAGTGACTGAGTTTGAAGATAGGCTTGACTTTTTTGCAAAGACAATTGAGATATATGCATGTGATGAAGGGATAAGAGTATTGGAAGGCGTTTTTGAAGATGCGTTGCATAAGAAGAATGTGGCAGTGGTGCGTGGGTTTATGAAATCTCTTGAGTTTAACGAAAGGTTTGTAAGGAGCATGCTGGATAATCTGGATGTGGAACTTCTTGACATGTTGATTGAATCAGGAGATCATTCGTTCAATCCACTGTTTGTAAAGCCTCTTTTGAACAACATATCGAGTGGTAAAGATAGAAATGTGTCCTGCAAGGTATTTTCGAAGATTATTCCAACACTTGGGTTCCGAACAAATGAGAAGATATCTGAGGATCTTCTTGTGAAAATTAAGATAGAGAACAAGGCACTTGAGTCTCTACTTGACTCAACGAAGATCCCTGAGTATATAATACGATGTCCTATGGAGACCAAGCTGAGAGATTATCAGATAGAAGGAGTGAGATGGCTGAGTTTTTTGTATAGCTTTAATCTGAACGGGATTCTTGCGGATGATATGGGACTTGGAAAGACACTGCAGGTACTGACTTTTCTTTGCTCTGAGATGTATGAGACAGATAGGAGAGTTTTAGTGATCTGCCCATCGAGCCTGACTGGGCATTGGAAATCTGAGGTAAAAAGATTTTTTCCTTTTATGTCATGTGAAATATACAAGAAGGAAATGAAGAATGATTGTGCGATTGTAGTAAGTTCATATGAAGCTTTTAGAAATGATCATATGAACTTTGTTGAGAAGGATTGGTTCTATGTGGTTGTTGATGAAGGGCATGTGCTGCGCAACAAGCAAACGATGCTTTATACAAGGATGAACATGATAAAGTGCGCAAGAAAGATAATATTGACGGGAACGCCGGTGCATAATAGTGTTGAAGATCTTGTTTCTCTATTTAACTTCTTGATGCCAAACTACATTGGGTCTGAGAAGGACTATGGAACATTAAGTGTCAAAATGTCTGACTCTGAGATTGAAAAGGCACATGCCAAGCTTGAGTATCTACACAAGAAGGTTCTTCCGTTTGTATTGAGACGGCTGAAGATAGATGTATTGAAAGACTTGCCTCCAAAGATAATTAGGGATATTATTATTGAGTTTGGGCCTACACAAGAGAGCTTATATAAAGAGATTGATGAGAACGGAGGACGAGAAGATACAGCAAGAATAAGTGAGCTGGAGTATGGAAAGGTTGATCAGAAGAACGTAGGGTTTAAGCGAACGAGAGACTTGTTCCTTGCAATATCGCATATAGGGCACTTTAGAGACTTTGAGGAAGTTTCATGCAAAGTAAGAGCGCTCGATGATATTATTTCGCTTTGTGGGGGAGAAGAGTTGAGAAGTAAGATTCTTGTATTTTTCCAGTTTAAGTCGAGCATAGATCTTGTTGTGAATGATATTATGAAGAAGTACAAGTTCAAGCATTCGAGGATTGATGGATCTGTTGTGAGCTCTGCCAGAACTAAGATTATTGAAGAATTCAACAATGGAGCCACACAGGTTTTGTTTTTAACTACTCAGATAGGAGGTCTTGGGCTAAACTTGACTGCAGCAGACACAGTGGTGATGTATGAGCATGACTGGAATCCGTTCAATGACTTACAGGCGATGGATCGAGCACACAGGATAGGGCAAAAACGAACGGTCAATGTGTTCAGACTCATAGTGAAGAACACACTGGAGGAGAAGGTTATGAACTTGCAATCGTTCAAGATGTTTATTGCAAACAGTCTTATATCTCAACAAAATGCAGACATAGAAACGATGGAAACAAAGGACCTTCTTGAGAAGTTTCGGGGATAGATGATGGTTGCTGTTAAATGAGTTTATTTAGTATAAGGTTATGAGATGATTTGATTATGAATTGGAATAGAATTATCTATGGTTTGATTATGAATTAGAGTCATTAGATGATTCAGTATCAGGATATGAATTGGAGTTATGATTTTATTTGGTATAAACTTATGGATAATTTTTAGTGAGATGAAGATAGAGAATGTAAACCACTTTTTGATGCAATCAAATTGATTATTGATTATAAATGCACATGTGTTGTATTAAATATGGTGCGATGTTTTGTTTTATCAGTACAATTCATCAAAAGGTTATCATCAATCTGTCTATAAACAAACATACATGGACAGGTTTCTGAAGGGGAATAAATTAGATGTTTCTGGTTATCTGGTGAATAACATGTATACCAACTTGTCTTGTGAAAATGTATATGGAATTGGAGTAACCAATCCTGCTTTTGATTCGAGTTCCTATTTAATAGTGGGCAACCAGAAGCCCAATGCAAAGCTGGTGATGCAGCCTTATAGGCAGGTAAGAATCGGTAGTCTTCCTGATGATTTCTACAGTAGCCTGATTGATTGGTCTGGAGAGAATGTGTTTTTCATGGCCGATGGAAACCTGCTTGTTCACAACTTTTGCTCATCAAGGACATTGCAGATGTGTAGTCTTGGCAGTTTTGGTGTGACTTCGATAAAGCACAACGCATCCACGAACAGCGTGGTGCTCGGAACATCGATCGGCGTTGTTCTAAGCATAGATATGGTATCTTTGAAGATATCGAAATATCCATTTCATAAATCCAGGGTTGGCGTGATAGAGATGGATGGTACAAGCATAATAACGGGGAGCAGGGATAGAAAGATAAAGATAACAGATCTGCGCTCTGAAAAAGCCGTAGCAACCATTCTGCAGCATCGCCAGGAAGTATGTGGCCTTGGACTAAGCATAGACATAAGGTTTTTGGCATCGGGTGGAAATGATAATAGACTTTATATTTATGACTACCGAAATCTTTCACATCCAATCAAGCAGTGCTCGAATCACAAGGCAGCGGTGAAGGCAATAAGCTGGTCACCGAACTTTCCAAATCTTTTTGTTTCAGGTGGGGGCACTGCTGACAAGACCATCAAGCTCTGGGACATGAATCTTGTCAACTCGAGCAAGTCGAACACATGTCTTGTCAAGTCTATGGACTACGGATCACAGATCTGCAATATCCGATGGCTGAAGTCAAACAAGATCCTAAGTACACATGGATACTCAAGAAACGACATCCGCCTTTCTCAGATGCCTTCATTTAAGGTTGAGAAGTGTTTTGTTGGGCACAAGAATCGAGTGATCCACTTTTCATGCTCAAGCAATGAGAAGTATTTTGCTTCAGGATCGTGCGATTCAAACATAAACTTCTGGGAGTTAGGTAATGAGAAGGATGATGAAATAAAGATTAGATAGATGTATTTTATTCTATACAAATGAGTAATTCAAGAAATGCTTGTATATAAAACAACATGAATTTTATGCAAACCAATCATGCATGTAACACAGAATGATCATTAATCACTCTGGCTCAGCATCGGAAACACAGCAGCACTATGAAACACAAATATAAACAAGATGTTGTGGTAGCAAAGATTAAATGAAGCATAATGAACTGATTGAACAAGGCATGAACAGGCATCGGCATAATCCAATTGCATTTGAAGGACAACCACTACCGAGCATGATGTATCCAGAAAAAAACTTGTATGGAGTCTACGACTATCACTTTCCATACACAGACCAGTCGTTCCAGCCAATGTACATAAATCCAAAGCAACTCAACTGGATAATGAAAAGAAAAGCAAGAAGAGATGTGCTTGATTCACTCATGGTGGCGAATAGGAGAAATTACTTGCACGAGAGCAGGCATATACATGCAATGAAGAGATTGAGAGCACCATCTGGCAGATTTCTGACGAAGAGGGAAACAGAAGAATTCATCAAGAAAAATGGTTCTTAGCTCCTTACACGCCTTTAATAATAAAATGCATACTAAATAAAAGTTTTGTTTATTGATTTTCTTCGTGCATTATTATTGCCAATTATTCTCACTTGTTATTTACTAGTTCGAATTATTTGTTGGCAATCGCACATACGTTCCACCCTCGTTGTACTTTCTTGTTTGGTAGCCGATTGAAAATATCAGAGCTGCCACAACAATGTAGAAGAATATCTTGCATATTGTACTGGCCATCAACATGTCTTTGATGCTGTTATGCTTATCGCTACCTTTTGCTTCTTTGTCGCCATTTATGCTTTCATCTTGATTACTGACTTTTGCAATCTCATCAAATGGCTTATGTAGTTCAGGTTGCCTAGTTACAGGCTTTGCAAATAGCACAGGGCTCATAGACATTCCATACGGGCCTTTTTGTTCAAAAGGGAACGAGTCTAAGCGATAAGGCGCTATTGCTCTTGTCGTTATAATCAGTGAATGTCTTGATGGCTGTATGTAGTATGCACCAACTACCAGGATCATCGAAAGAATCAGCATGTTGATGTTGTTTGCGCTTCTTTTAAAAATCTTCCAAAACCAGGTTTCATGCGTGAGCCAATCAATTTCCTTTATGAAACGATTTATGTTTCACGTGCATATTGCAATCACTGTGCTTCTTTACACAAGTTGATATTTGTTACATAACATTATTCTTGGCATTTCTATCCCTGGGATGTCGATATTCAAGCTCCTGGGACTCAAGAAGAACGCCACAGAGAAGGAAATTAAGACTCATTACATAAGGAGATTAATTCAAGTGCATCCAGACAGGCCTTCAGGATCAAAATACGAATATCTTAAGCTAAATAATGCATATGAAGCATACATTAGAGACAGAGGATTCCAGGAAATGCCATATGCCGTTTGTATGCGTACAGAAATACACTCAATATCATGCAGATGTGGAGAAAAATACAAGCCTTATCATGAAGTAGACAATAGAATTGACTGTGAATGCTGTTCATGCTTCATAGAAATCGAAGACGGCATCCTTCAAATAGATGCAACTCATTAGCAAAGTCATATTTTCTATGTCCTTTGAATTTACACAACTAATCAATTACCTTGGCATACAGCTTACATTGAAAGGCTTATAGATTTGCATTCTAATAAAGTATTATAAAAAGCTCAAACTCACTTTATTCGTTTTGATTGATTTCCTGATTCTTGGGCTTCCTTCCCTTCATCATGACACGCTTTTCACGATTATGGCATCTGAGATTTCCTTTTGGATATGTCTTCGATCCACGCTCTCCAGGTGCAGGGCCCCAGAACTTAGCTGACTTTCTTGAAAACTTGTCTGTTGACACCAAGCACACATTGTCCATATCTGCACATACCTTAAATAACTCATCAAGTGTATGTATGCTTCCTCCATACTTCTCGACTTTTTCCTTCACCTCTTTTGACCACTGCAGCGCAACAATCTTCATTGCTGGCAATATCATCACCTTGTCATCATCAAGCACTTTTGCAACCACAACCGCCACTTTATCTTGCTTTCCCTCAAGCTCGCTCACGATCTTCGATATCTTCACTGGCTGTCTGTCGCTTTTCGACATCGTCAGTCGCTTAGATATCTTCTTCAGGCATAAATACGAAGTGTTCCTCGCAATCTTGCTGTAAAACCGAGAAAGTGCCTTTAAATAGACATTCGCAGAATTCGGACACTTCTTCGTTGTTACTGCAGATGATGGCAGTCTTTCAAACTTCTTAATGGACGTGCTGTACATTGCTACTTTCAGGGTAAAAATTTTCTTTCTTGATAACCATTCACCAGACTGTCTCACAACGTTCAAGCAAATGATTCAATGTTTAGTAAAGCTTAAGTATGAATTGATGGTAAACATATAACACAAGAGAATCATATAAACTAAAACATTTAATACGTTCATATAGTAAAAATCATACAATGATGTAGAAAATTAACCATACCTCACAAAACATTTCGTGCATTTCTGTAGCAAAAAAAATCATATAAATTAAAGTTTGCCATGCATTTCTGTAGCAAAAAGAGTCATACAACAAAAAGTATAAAGCAAAAAGAGACATACAACAAAAAGTATACATTCATGCATTTTTATTTATTCAATTACTACTTCTTCTCTTCGTCCTCAGAAAAGCCAAGTCCTTTGCTTACAAGACTCAATCCCTTTTCAAAAGTAGATTCATTGCATTTTCTAGCTGAACTCCAATAAAATATTTCTCCACGGATATCTACACCATCTAAATGCAAGCAAATATTGTTTTCCATCTGCTTTCTAACACATTCAATTCCTCGGATAATAATTTTCTCACTGCTCATGTCGCAATAGTCTACCATCTTTGCATCACCTTGCTCAGGAATAAAAACAGGAAGAATATGGCATTTATCATTCATTTCACTCATTAGGGCCACTTCATGCTCGAATTTGACTGCACATTAAGTGCTATTCAAATCTCATTACTACTCATGCATTATTTAATACTTCTTATACCACCTTGAACCTGTACTCTACACACACTCACTTTATGCAAACCTGCACTATTTACGGCAATATTCATGGCTCCTTGATTCATACAACATATTACAAACGACATGACATATATAAGCCTCAAAACTAAACACAAAATCCATCGCTGCATGCCTCTTTACCTCCACGCTTTGATTAAACTCAATCACACTAAGCATTTTCTTTGATCCTTTCTCTTGAATATAGCACCTAACTGTTTGCCCAAAGCATCTTTCTATATTCTCAATAACAAGTATATCACTGGAAATTATACACAAACAGCATGAACTTCCTTCTGACATAATTTTTGAATACTCATCATCTTCAAGATGCAACTTCACAATCTCAATCTTCAAATCATCAAGAATACATTGTCCATTAAGTAGCTCTGCAACGTACATATCACTCAACAAATCGTAGAAATATAACTGCTCGCTTGCTGATTCACAAATCTCTTTACAAATCGGTGACCTAAATGTAAATATCCTACTGAGGTCATGTCTGCTCACCATGCTATTTATTCCACTCACCCTAATATACATTAACAATCAACTGAAGGGTCAAAATATACTTCGCGCTAATGCCTGTATAATCTGCACAGCAAACCCAGATACATCACAATATTAAAATACATAAAGAAAAGCGTCTCCAAAACCTACACACAAGAAATATGCAGACATATACACAAACAAACGAGAAACATTTAATCACAGATAGATCTTATGTGCCTGCTTCTTAGCTTCAGAACAAGGTTAATATCCTTCGGGAATACAGTAACCCGCTTTGCATGCTGTGCACAACTCTGCGCATCCTCAAACAATCCTACAAGATAGAGTTCAAGCGCCTCCTGAATAGAGGCAAGGGCTGGGCCCTGGAATCTTACATCAGCTGCATTACTATTCTCCCTAACCACAGACCTGCAAGCTCTCTGGAAAGGAAGTCTTCGTATAAGAAACTCAGTGCTCTTCTGGTACCTTCTGATCTCCTTCAATGCAACAGATCCTGGTCTATACCTGGTCTTCTTGGCATTTCCACTCGGATTGGTTGGTGTTGCCTTGCGTGCAGACTTTGCAGACAATTGCTTGCGTGGTGCTTTTCCTCCTGTTGTTTTCCTAGCAGATTGTTTAGTTCTAGCCATTGTGGGGTAATTTTTTAGGTCTTTTATAACCAAGTTGGAGGGAAGTTTGTTGTTTCGAATTTGATTGATAAGGTTCTGATTGACGAATAAAATAATAGGAACTTCTAGGGACATTCATTGATAAAACAGTTGTGATTATCCGGGTATCACTTAATTGTTTAATTTATTTTATTCTTACATTCATCTATGTTCAAGATATACATCATTTTATTACTGTGTACTTGTTCTTGTAATCTTCTTTAATTACAGCTAAAATCTCTGAAACAAATCACAGATTACATCATTATTCATGCACTCCTTTAAAAACAAAATCAATATGAATATTCCGCCTGATCATTTCTGCTTTCCATTTCAGTAAGTCTTGGATAGATATTGTTTATATCTTGATCTTTATACATTCCTGAAGCACAATCATCCATTCATTCTTAGAAAAACGCAATTCAATTACTTAAACCCTCTCACCATACATGTAGATTTCTATGCAACATTTGCGGAGCTGTTGATTAATACCAGAGTCTTATTTTATATCTATCAACTGAATTCTCATGTATTCTCCTTTTTATGTTCATAAAGCCATTCAGTACCCCTGGCAAACGATGAAAGGAATACAATATCTTGGAGAAGCACTATCACTAATGAATGCTGCGCAAGTTTATCTCGCATCAAGGTTTCTAATAACAGACTTCATTGCAATATTCTTCATAGAAAGCTTTGTGTCTTCTTTGATAATCTTTGTGCTATGTTCTCCATTTGTTGTAAAGAAAACAACTTTCAAAGAAGTCTCGAACAATCAATTAGAGTATTTCTTCTCGGGGCTTATTGCATTCCTGACGTGCTATGTATGGTACAAATGTGCAGGTATGATATCTATAGGCTTTGGATTGGCTGCAAAGGGATTGTGTTATCCATTATCTGTGATGTTGATATTTGCCATATCATCCTCCATTACAGGAAGTATAATGAGCAACCTAAGTATGGTGGTTGTAATCTTCATCAATATTTTTCACTCTGTGGACACAAGCTTGGATGGGTTTTTTGATATCTACTCGGGCATTTTCTATCTGGCACTGTATGTGATATTTGCTGTTTCATCGGACTTCATAGCAAGATGTATGATAAATAGAAACGGAATACCGAAGTTTCTGGTTGCAAACTCGTTCTACATCATACTGTACTCATCCCTTCTTCTTCTTGATCCAGATATAGACAATAGCTCTGGAGTGCAGATCTTTATGAAGAAGAATCCGTACACATGCATTGCACTTACTTTACTGTCCACTGTTTCGAAGATCCTGGGTCCTTATTACATATATAAACAAGGAACGGTTGCATATAGTAACACAAGAGTATCTACATATGCATACTTCAACATCATAAAGTGCTTGGCTGGAAAGGACAGACTCTGGGGACTTGGCGAAGCAATTTTCCATTTAATGATATATACGATGGTGATGTTTATTGAATGAAGAGGTATACAATATGCCATTGGCTTTTTGGCTATGATTTATGTAAATGAAGATAAATTTAATGCAATGTGTTTTTTTAAAGGAGAGCATTATTGAATCTGAGATGAGATTTAAGGATTTGTTTATATTCCCTTGAATGAGTATTGACTTGGAGGCAAGCCTTAGTCAAACCGAAAGGAGTATCTTTGAGTTGATAAGAAGCCATGCTAGAACACTTGGCGATGTTGTTCCAAGGGTTGCTGGAGGATGGGTAAGAGACAAGCTAATGGGGAATTCATGCTTTGATATGGACATTGCATTGTCAAACATCAGTGGATATGAGTTTGCATTAGGGTTAAGTGAATCGGCAACAGACCATAAGATAACTACAGTGCATGTAATCAAGAACAATCATGAAAAGTCAAAACACCTGGAAACAGCTGTTGTGAGAATAAATGATATATGTGTGGATTTTGTTGGGTTAAGGAGCGAAACTTATTCCGACGCAAGGGTTCCTTGTGTGGTGCCTGCAACGCCAGAAGAGGATTCGTTTAGAAGGGACCTAACAATCAACTCGCTGTTCTATAATTTATTTACAAATGCAATTGAAGACCACACGGGCCGAGGAATTGAGGACATCCGTAATAAATTGCTGGCTACACCATTGGACCCAAAGGTGACGTTATTTGATGATCCACTGAGGATAGTCAGGATCCTCCGGTTTCATTCGAAGCTCAGGTTTGATATTGATGAAAAAATATATAATGCAATGGAAGACGAAGAGATCCGTAAGGCACTTGCAAGGAAGGTTTCGAACGAAAGGATTTACATTGAGATATCAAAGATGATCCACTATTCTATGGGGCAATATGGATTGCTTGAGATAATCCGGAGAAGATATGTAGAGCCGATATTCAAGCCTCCAGTTTTGATAGAACAGTCCTATGAACAGGGAGTCAAGTTTATAGAGGCAGTTGAGGAAATCACCAATCTGTGCACAAGGCCATATAGACGAGAAATTCTTTGCCTTTATACTATTCTGTGTTTTTTCAGCAGACAAACGATTACAGGATGCAAGAAGAGTTCATATTGCAATACTTATATAATGAAGGTTTGTCTTCCGTCATCTAAGGCATTTGTCAAGACAATAGACAGCATTGAAAAAAACCTTACTTTTCTGGACACGCATGATTTGGAGAATCTTGGAGCTGAAGGCTTCATAAGAATAGTAAGGTACATGGGAGAGATATGGTATGAGTCTCTTATTATTTACTGTGCAATAGAGCACATGAAAAATGAAAAGGAGAAGTTCAAGAACGGATTGGGAATAATATGTAAGATAATACAAGAGTCTATTGAAGAGTACTATAAGGCCACATCAATAGTAGATGCAAGCAGCCTGATAAGAGAGCTTGGGATTGTAGAATGCGAAATGCGATTCTATATTGAGGAAGGAATCGTTTATCAGCTTCTAACTCAAACTGATGATCCTAGAAAGATTGTTGAGCATTTGAAAAGAGTCAAGGGCTCACGCATGAACTTGTGATCTAGCATGAAGCTGTGCAGCAAGCCTAAGTCTAATGGCATATTACTACACGGATCTGTGATCGAAAATTAGAGTGGATATGTATACAGGATAGACAAAAATACATAAAACAAGCCAATATCTTTGTTTAATTGATTAAATCACATGCAGCAAGTATTCTTTGGTTCACCCACGGTAAACTTCGAAGAGCCTTTGGTAGTGGTAAATCCAATTTTCTTGTACTTTTCAACAAGTTTTCTTGTCAGGAAGTCAAAACTGTCATTGACACAGATATTATCCTTTGCACTTGTCATATAAAATGCATTTTTATCGATTCCGTGAGTTTTGAGAAACTCATCGACTTCATCCTCAGTGATGACGATTCGCTCCTTGTCATCAACTTTGTTTCCTAGAACAATTATTTCAACATTTCCAGTCGTGTTTTTCTTAACTTCACGAATCCAGTCTCCAAGATTTTCAAATGATTCTTTGCTTCCCATGTCAAACACTATGATTATTCCATTTGCTCCCCTGTAATAGTTCGATATGATTGCTCTGAATCTTTCTTGACCAGCAGTGTCCCATATCTGCAGCTTCACCTTTTCGTCATCAACTACCACAGTCTTCACCTTGAAGTCTACGCCTATTGTGCTTGATTGTGTGAAACTGTATGTCTCATCCGCATATCTTTTCATCAAACAAGTCTTACCCACACCGCTATTTCCGATCAGGATGATCTTGAAGAGATACTTGCATTCAAAGTCTTCTTCCATTCCCCCCTTTGTTGTCTATAATTTTATCTGAAAATGTCCAGAATTTGATTTAATAGACTGGCGATGCTTGAGTGATATTTACAGCTTGGAAATTGAGAAACAGAGGTTAGCTGTGAAACAGAATGTGTCAATCGCTGGATAAAAGATAAAACACGAGCGTGTTCGCATTGGTAATGCTATTGGCGTCGAAGATAAGGATCTATATTCTTGGAGAACCTCTGTTGAAGCCTCCTCAACACTCACCGCAGGATCTTTTCCTTCTTGAGTTTCCATCTAACGCTGCATTTGACGTATACCTTGCTACAGTTATCATATTTGTGTGCATAGGAGCATGGTTAGTGGCAATAAAGAAAACACGAGAAGACGGAACATCACTTCTGTATGTGATTGGGTTCATGCTGATATTTTGCTCTTATTGCCTCCAGAAAGCTGTGGAATTGAATAAGCTTATTAGTAAAGCCACGGTAGATACAGATGTACCTGAGCAAAAATGGTTTTGGACAAAATGGCTATATCCGAGCAGTGAAGATCATAATGTGACTACATATCAGAATGGTTATGCTGAATCTAATATACTTGAGCACAGTATGGGAAAGATATCATCATATCTGACATTGATATTCAATAATAAAGGTACAAATTCTGATGGAAATAATGCAGTAAATGGGATTGATAAGATAAAATTTGAAAGCATGAACAGTACGCATACACAGATAGCCAGTACAGATAGAAGCAGATGCACAGATAAAAAGTCATCACTAGAATGTGTTGAAACAATAGATAGAATTCGAATAGAGAATCCATCTTTAAATCAATACACATCAGACATGATGGTGAGCACATCTAGTATAAACACGGACACAAAGCATTCAGACAGTAGCAATAATGCATTAACATCGTTGCATGATGAAAAGCTTGCATTTGTAAATAGCTTTGAAACTATGAATGGAACGGAAGATAAGGCAGAAAAAAGAGAAATCACACTTAGAAATCTCATGAGGATTTTTGAATACAAGCATAAAGTAGATGAAGATCTCAAAAGACACACTGACAATATCAGAAAGGCTGAGGCTCAGACAAACAAAATACTCGATGAATTTTCAAGCACTTTTCAGGCATTTATGAAAGAAGCACAAAAAATAGAAATGGAAATGATTGGGTTTAATGCATCAACGAGGTATTTGAGAATATCGCTTAATGAATTGAAAGCTGAGATTAAAAAGTATTTCGATGGTGTGCCTGAGGTAGTGACATTCAATGGCGTTTCCCAATATCTTACGAAACTAGAAGAGAACTACCACAAGGAATCTGAAGGAAAAGGTGATGTAGGTGCAGCTGTGGAATATGAAGGATATGCTCTGGTTTATATTGCTATACAAACTGGATTGTGTTTGTTGTTTTTCATAGCTGTGCTTCTTAAGATCAGACCAGGTGTAGCGATATTGAGACCTATTATTTCTATTTTATTGATACTAGGAATACTAATAAGTGTGTTATTTCTTTTTAGTGCACAGATGCTTGATAGAGATTGCAAGTCTGGATCTGTTAATGGATGTAACTTTAGCCACACTTTTGTAAGAGAAATTAGAGGAACTGATACATCAAAAAAAGGAGAACTGAAAAGCCAGTTGGATGCAATGGCGGTGAACGGTCGAACTCTGTTGAATGAACTACGGACATATGTATTGAGAACGGCGGACGCAAATGTCAGTTCGAAGATTGCGGTGTTTTCGAATCTATTCAACAAGATAATGTTTGTATATGATGACTTTGAACATTTAACTGCAAAGAAAGTCAATAAAGAAGAGTTCTATGGGTATGTGAAGATGATGAATAGACAGCTTGAGGTGATTGGAAGGTATTTGGATGTGTCTGTGCAGAAAGATATGATTGAGATATATGCAGAAGAGAATGCATTTTCGTTCTGGTTGGATACAGAAAAAGATTTGATTGTTGAGTTGGTGCAGGCGATTACTGGATTAGATGCAGACGAAAGTGAAGGAAAGCCATCAAGGTGGTGTGTAGATGCACTTCAAGCGGTATGTGATGCAAAGGATGGATTTGATAGTCTGTTTATGCTTATGTTTGTTGCTGGTCCTGCGTTCCTAGCTCTTCTATATATTTGAGAATTTGTTTATAGGAGAGCATGAATAAAACATAAGGATATAAACACAAGAATGGATCCCCGAACGATGCGTTATGTAGTGAATAAGATCAGAGTTGAGGAGGCTGAGAAGGGGCGTATAAACAAGATATATGTACCAAAAGGGCCAGGGCTTGATGAAGAAGAACTTGTGCTGGTGGACAACAAGTATGCGTTCAAGTTTGAGTTTACTATAGGATCGAATGTTCTATTGAGTAAAATCCAAAGGGAGTTTCTGAACAAAAACATTGGAAGAGATGAAGTGGACATTAATAACCTGAATGTTGTTGAGTGTGACCAGATCTCACTGTTGAAGATTGATGTTGAGATAATAAATCTTGAGAAGGTAGAGATTGATGCAAAGGAGCTTATTGAAAAGTTTAAGGATGCGCATGTTCTGTATCCATTCAATGCCGATCAGAAGTTTTACTTTTATGTTGGGGAGATTGGATTGAAAATGACGGTAAGAGAGATCTTCACGGTGATGGATAATAAATACGGGATTCTATTGCGGAACACTGAGGTGTTCCTGAGTTCTGTGTCTGAAAGACTTGTGATTGCAAACAACTCGAAAGAGAACATGCTGCTTGACCCTAACTTCAATTTTGAGTCTCTTGGGATAGGAGGTTTGAAGCAGGAGTTTGGGAAAATGTTCCGAAGGGCTTTTGTACAGAGAGCATTTGATTCTGAGGTGATTAAGAACTTTGGAATTCCGCATGTTAAGGGAATAATTCTTTATGGGCCTCCAGGAACGGGAAAAACATTGATAGCCAGGAAGCTTGGGTCTTTGCTGAATGCAAGGCCACCTAAGATAGTGAATGGACCTGAGATTTTGAATAAGTATGTTGGACAGAGCGAAGAGAACATCCGGAATCTATTTAAGGATGCTGAGGATGAATGGCGTGCAAAGAAGGCAGATAGCAATTTGCACATGATAATATTTGATGAGATTGATGCAATATGCAGAAGAAGAGGGAATAGTGGAAATACGGGAGTTGGAGATCAGGTGGTGAACCAGCTCTTGAGTAAGATGGATGGAGTGGAAGCAATAGAGAATATACTAGTGATTGGAATGACTAATCGACTTGATTTGATTGACGAGGCACTTTTACGACCGGGCAGATTTGAGATACACCTTGAAATCTCGCTTCCAGACGAGGAGTCACGAGCAGAGATATTCAGGATACACACAAAGACAATGGAAAGCCACAAATATCTGGATGAAGGGATTGACATTGGAAAGATAGCAAAGCTTTCAAAGAACTACACGGGAGCGGAGATAACTGCGGTTGTGAAAAGTGCGGTTTCGTTTGCCTTAGAAAGAAAGGTGCATGGAGAGAAGGAGGAAGGAGGAGAGATGAATGTCATAGCAGACAAGAACATCAAGGTGTTTATGAATGACTTTATTCAAGCGCTTGATGAGGTGAAACCGGCATTTGGGATTAATGAGTCGAGTTTCCAGAGATATGAGAAGACATTCTATGAGACACCTATGTTTACTCAAGGCATTGAATATGGAAGAGGACTGCTGCAGAAGTTGAGCAAAACCAATTTGTACAACACTTCATCGCTATTATTCTATGGTGAATCAGGTGTTGGAAAGACTACGCTGGCTGTGAAGGTGTCGAGACTTTCGATGTATCCGTTCATCAAGATTATTTCGCCGAGGGATATAATTGGACTTAGCGAGCATGAGAAGGTGAATTATATCAAGGATAGATTCATGGACGCATATAAGTCTGAGGAAGCGATAGTTATACTTGATGATATTGAGAGCCTGATTGATTTTGTAAATATAGGACCACGGTTCAGTAATGCTGTTTTGCAAGCATTGAAGATATTTATCAAGGAGGAGAGTAAGAAGAAAGTGTTTGTGATTGGGACGACGAGCTCTGTTGAGGTGATGAAGGAGTGTGGGATATATGAATGTTTCCAGACATCTTATGAGGTTGAGAAGATAACGATTGCGGATTATGAGATCTTATGTGAGCAGAACCCGAGTTTTACGGATATTTGCTATAATGAGATGGCGCATAAGGATGCATTGTCAATTAAGCAGCTGCTTTTGTTACTTAACGAGCCTGATGTATCGCCAGAATGATTTTTTTGAATAAATAATTTGCTTAGAGTTAACTTTTGATCTTTTCTTATGATTATGTGACAGGATAAGTTGAATGATGCATTATCGTATCTAATATCAGTGTAGCAATTAATATGAGTTGAAAGTATCCCTTAATGAACATACTGAAGGAATTTATTATGTTGAATTTACGTAGTACTGATGTTTCTAAATGCACAGATGACGTGAAGAAAGGAATAGCTGGCATAGACCTTTTGGAAAAAGCAGAAATGACTAAAAATGTAGAACAGAGCTATTTGAATTATGTGCGGAATTTGTGTTCTATTTGTCCAGAAATGTTTGAAATTCCACCTGAGTTGAATGGATTGGAGAAAGCATGCATGATGATGTCATTTTATGATTATTCTTTTGATCTTTCTATGTATCCTTTGAGGCATAAGATTGTTGGATGTGTGCCAACCATGAGTATGATTGGCGATTGTCCGGTTTTGATTGTCAGATGTCAAGGATGCAAGGGAGAAAAGGAGCATGTGTATTGTGCGCGCGGGCATTTCTTTGGCACTGAAATGGTAGAGTCATTGGATCTTAACGAGCAGTGCATTCTTCTTATTGAGATGGTAAGGATTGCAAACATGGAGAAAGACTACGATCTTAGGAGATTGAAATTGCAGGCATATATTGACAGAATTATGTTTCCGATGAATGAAGAAAGTGCTCTGGTCAAGAAAATAGTTGATTATTACAGGATTAAGGAGTTGAATGAGTTTTTGGAACCTGATTTTGCACTGGATGATTTTGAAGCACACTTTATTAATATATTTGAGTTTCCACATGTTTTTCGATGCGACCTTGAAATCTATTTGGCAGAGATGTACTTCAACAATCTTTCATATGAAAAGGCTATTGTGTATTTTGAAAAGTACGATGTCATTATAAAGACGATTAAATGCATGAATGCCTTGAATAGAAATGAAGAAGCGGTTAGTAAAGCCAAAGCGGAGCTGGACAATCTAAAGAAGAATCCCGAGAAGAATAAGATTAGGATATGCCTATTGTTGATTGCTCTTGCAGAAATAACAGGAAATGTGCATTACTTTGATGAGGCATTTGGCTTTTATCGTTCATATGAGCCATTGAAGGCCAAAGGGAAGTTTTTTCTCGAGAATAAACTCTTTGTAAGTGCAATAGGCGCATTTGAACAAACACTTGAGCTGGTTCCGCACAATACGGATGTACTGTTTTTGTATGCATGCAGTTTGACATCTGCTGAGAGATATAAAGAGGCAAAGGATGTATATGAGAAACTAGTTGCTGATGATCAGAAGAATGTAAGTTTTCTAAGAAACCTTGGGATGTGCAGAATAAAGCTTAATGAAATTAGCAATGGGCTCAACACGCTAAAAACTGCAGCCAAGTATGATGCAAGGATGATGAGCTCATATCTATTGATGTGTATCAAGTACAAGGTTCGAGAGGAGATAATGTATTCGTTAGAGAGAGTAGGCTGGTTTTATGATCTGGAGGATGGCTTGGATTATATCTTAGAAGAGAAAATATTAAGTGTACAAGAGGTTGCAGTTGCGTTAAGCAAGAATATAAGTATTAAAGAGGATTCCAAGGAATTGATCGATAAATTTAAATCGATGAGTATTAGCTAAGATGTGCTTGCATGATTATTACATTGATTAGCCATTGTTAGATCACATCTGTGGGTTGAATTAGATCTGACTTGAGATTGATAGTGAGAATATGCAATAAATAATAAGTACTTGAATATGGATGTAATAGTATTTGTGATTGAGTATATTAGATTTATTAGATTCACGGATTGATTATCTTCTAAGATAAAGGTCGTTTGATGTAGGATGTATTGAGATTGATAGAGTAGTATCAAGATCCACTGTATGGAAAGCAAGGCATGGTGCGGCTTTTAGATCGTCTTTCTGCTTTGCGCGCCTGTTTTGAAACCAGTTTCGAACTTTTTGTTCTGATATCATTGATCTATCGGCAATGAATGCTCTCTGCTGAGCATTTGGATTTGGATTTATACTGAACTGATTGTTGAGGAAGATCCTCTGTGCTCGTGAGAGCTTGATCTTTGTGTACGCTTTTAATTCAACATTTAACGCAGTATGCATGTAAAACGGTGGATGTAGAGAAGATTTATTCTAATCAATGCAAAGATCTGAAATGTCAAATCTATTGATATCTACAGAATATTTCAATTTTATTGATAGCGATACAACAAGATATATATTAATTAAATAACAGATATGGGCTGATGATATAGATTTGTGGAAATTATATTATAGCGAGGGAATTATCTTAAGTTTCAAATGTCACGTGGATCAGATGAATGAGATTTAAATTCCAACACGAATGTGTCTTTCAATGCACCTAGAATATTTCTTGTAATTACAGTCTTCCAATGCTTCTTGTATGCAGTATGTGCAGCCTTACGAACAAGTATGCATCCAAGATAAATCGATGCAATTATATCCATGCTATTGATTGGAAATGTACATTTGGATACTATTGATGCTATAACTCCTGTGAGTATGTCTCCTTGCCCTCCTATACGCTTTGGGGAGCCATTTTCGCTAATTTCGATCTGGATATTGTTCCATTTGATAAGATCTTTTGGACCTTTCATAACATAGAATGTATTTTTATCAAGTGTATGAATATGACGCTGTTCGGAGATATTTGGAGTGATTATTTTTGTTGTAAGTGCTTGTATATTCAGAGATGTACTAAGAAATATGGCGTCTGCATCAACTACGATAGGAACATTGCGTTTATCAAGATATAAGAGTATTTTTGATATTTCATTGCATACGTGCGGTTCTGGCCGTCCCAAGCCTGGCCCTACCACACATGCAGTAACTCTATTTAGGATCCATTCATGGCACTTTATCTGACATACTATTGCTTCAGGAAGCAGATTCTTCAAGGATATGATTGATTCAGGCATAGTGAATATGTATACTAATTCGGAACCTGTTAGAAATGCGCTCGTTGCAGCAAAGTACGGAGCACCTGTGTAATACTCGCATCCTCCGATGACAAGGATGCATCCTGAGCAGCCTTTGTATGTACTCTTCAAAAGCGAGATTCTTGATTTCAATTTATCTATGGCATGCTGTAATTCTGTGTCCATTGTTATGATGATTTATTGTTTGATATAAGCCAATTCGAATCTTGTGAGTTTTCTTATGACAGGACAATGAAAGGGGAAATGCTAAAACAGATCGTTAGTTTAACAACACCCTGTAATGAAGATTCAGAGAAATAAAGTGGATCATAAGAACAACTCAGGAAGCATGGAGATAGTTGCAGAACATCAGGATGATATTTATGTTCTTGGAATGGTTATAAGTATGGGAGATATGGTAACATCGAGCACCACTCGAAAAATACAGATTGATGCGAAAACACAGCAGAGGATATCACTTACATTGAAGATCAAGATAGAGACAGTTAGTGTTGATCTTGGAAGTTCCACAATATATTTGAAAGGAAAAACGGTTGTGATGCATGAACATGTGAAGTTAGGATCATATCACACAATAGATATAGTGCCTGGTCATGCATTTGAATTAGAGAAGCAAGAATGGCCATGTCAATCAATCAAATTGCTTAAAGAGGCGACTAAGCCACAACCAGAAATGATTTTTATAATATTCTATGAGAAGGAATGTGTTGTTTCTGTAGTCTCAAAAGCCAGAGTCAGTATTTTAATCAAGCAAGAAATAAAAAACAAGAAGTTCTGTAATATTATCAAGACATTAGAAAAGCATGTGAGTATGATTGATCTTTTTGTAGTGGCAAGTGCATTTGAAGTGCGAAATGAATTCTACAAGGCTGTTTCATTTGCAAAAGAGCTTTCTAAAGTGTTGAAAAGCTTTTGTGTGGTGAAGGTTCCTGCAGAATGTAAAGGATACTCAAATTTGAAGGTTATCAATACGATTCTTACAAACAAGGAGCTTTCAAAAACGTTCCAGGGAATTCAGTATGTGGAGGATCTGAAGCAAGCAGAGAATTTTTTTGTTGCATTCGCAAAGGGCTCTGAATTGGTTTGCATTGGGATGGAGGATATCCGAGAGGCTATGGATTATGGCGCATTGGAAAGAGTGGTGATAATTGATGAGAAGGTTAAGCCGAACAATATTGAAGAGAGGATAAAGGCAGAAATGTTCTGTAAGGAGCTGGGAGCAATTAATTGTAAAATATCGATTATTCCAGCAGCGCACTTTTGTGGAGAGAAGTTGAAGGAGATGGGCGGCGTATGTGCGATGCTGAAGTTTAATTATAAATGATTTTTAAAATTGATTGCAGATTTGTGTTGATTTGAGGAAGATAAGCATTCTTGATATTGAAATAATTTTAGCCCTGAATGAGTAATAAAAGGACGGTGTATTTTTATGATCCTGAGATAGGGAATTTCAATTATGCAATGGGACATCCGATGAAGCCTCTGCGTGTGAAGATGACGCACTCACTGCTTGTTGGATATGAGCTTTATAAACACATGGATATATTGAGACCTTTCCATGCATCATACGAAAACCTGACAAGCTTCCATTCCATAGATTATATAAATTTTCTTTCGAGTGTCTCTGGGGAGAATATGGGAGAAATGCTGAAGGATCTGCATAAATTTAACATACGAGATGACTGCCCCGTGTTTCCTGGGCTATATGACTATTGTAGATTGACAGCAGGGGGGAGTATATATGCGGCTCAGAAGATTAATTCTGGAAGATATGACATTGCAATAAACTGGGCGGGTGGTTTACATCATGCAAAAAGAAGCGAGGCATCTGGGTTTTGTTATGTAAACGATATAGTGCTCGCAATTCTTGAGCTTTTGAAGTACAACAAAAGGATATTGTACATAGACATAGACATTCATCATGGAGATGGTGTTGAGGAGGCGTTCTATACTACAGACCGAGTGATGACTGTTTCATTTCACAAGTATGGAGATTATTTCCCTGGGACTGGGATGGTATCGGATGTTGGGATGGCAAGGGGAAGAGGATACTCTGTGAATGTGCCGTTAAAAGATGGGATTGATGATGAAACGTACTTTAGTGTTTTCAAGCCCGTAATTAGCAAGGTGATTGAGGTGTACCAGCCAAATGCAATTGTATTGCAATCTGGAGCAGATTCATTATCAGGAGACAAGCTTGGCTGCTTCAACCTATCGCACATTGGGCATTCAAAATGCATAAAGTTTGTGCAGAGCTTCAATATTCCTCTTATATTGCTTGGAGGAGGAGGATACACCATTGGAAATGTTTCGAAAGCATGGGCATATGACACAAGCATGCTGTTAGACGTGGAAATTCCACAGGAGATTCCGTACAACGAATACTTCTATTATTATGCACCTACTTATAAAATTGATGTTCCTACCTCTAATATGGTGAATCAAAACTCAAGAGAGAACCTTGAGAGCATTGTATCAAAGGTTTATGAAAACCTTAGAAATATTAATCATGCACCTTCTGTGCAAATGGCAAGCATTCCACCAGAGTTTATTAGCGATGCAACTGATCAGGAGGCATTTGGTAAAAACAGTTATGAAAATGATACGCTGGATTACAATAATCTTTCTAGCGTAAAAAATGATGATGTGGCTTGATTATCGAGTTATTTCGAATAAATTGTTCATTTATTTCTTATTTTCTTCATAAAATGGCATGTACGATCAATGAACAACACATTATATAAATACATGTTAGATATGTGGTTATTAAGTGAATAAAGATTTTGATTATTTATGCTATTGATTTATTCTGTATTTGCTTCAAGAGACATTTCTGCCATTTTGATGGCATTTGGGAGTGTTTTATTAATCCCCAAGAATCCAGATATGTGAACAAACACCGAGCCTTCTATTCCAGAAACCTCCACCAGTTCTTCATCTTTAAGCCCACGCCACTCCTTCTTCAGTGGATTCTTAGTTTCGAATGTTCCCTTGAACTTTGGAATGGCAATTACCTTGTAAACATCAACAGAAGGAAAAATAATTATCTTGATGTTCTTATTGTATTTCTTCTCAACTTCAAGAATTAAATCTGGGTTACAATACCTATCCAGAACTAAAAACTCATCATCAACCTCAGAAACCTTTTGCTCCACATATACATAATTATTTGCCCATCTGCTGACTCTATCCATGTAGTTGTCCAGATCTCTTCCAACTATCTCAAGCACTTCGTTAAAGCGTATTTTTTCCATATCACCAGAGTTTTCATCAGGATTGAACGAAGCCACAAAGTCTGGCATGCTCCTGATGCTTACACTCCCATTTATGTCGCATCCGTTATCAATTGCATCTGCATACAGGAAAAACTCGGAATATATCTTGTCTACAATAGTCTGGTATATCTTAATATCTGGTTTTATTCCATAAAGCGAAAGGAAATTCTTATGCATGTACTTGAATACGAGTCCGCAACTGCTCAACTTAATGTTGTATTTTTCAGAAAATGTTTCTGTAAAGCTTGGTTGGTGATGATCAAAACGTCTTTTTTCAGGATCAAAAACTCCGCCAACATCATAAACAATATCTCCTTGCTCAAATGCTGCCTTGTCTCTCGTCCTTTCAACTTCTGCTTTCGGATACATCCTCAATAGCATTGCTGTTGACAAAACTTCATCATAATGGAATCTTCCGTTGTGAGTTACTAACTTCATTATAAGGATACATAATAAAAACTAAATAATCATATTCAATAATAATACGTAAATAATCATATTCAAAAATTTTATGCATTAAAAAACTCTTTGTATCATGTAACAACAACATCTGCTTCACATTCAAACTCTATTTGCTCATAATCAACATATACCGTTACTCCCATGTCATGAGCATCGTATCTTCTTTTTCTTAAAAACATACATCTGATCTCAAAAAACGAAAACGACATTTCTCTTGCACAATGATAACGATCTTCATTACATATAATTGCATGCTTCGGTAATAAATTCACTCTCAGTTTGGCGCTTTGATAGTAATTGCTCACACATAGATATATTATAGCAGGTTCATTCAGCCTTATTGATGCCGAATGGGTTATATAAACAAACGGGGACTGCACATTTCCTAAACAAGTGTCTTGTATGTTCAAAATGCTAAGTGCTAACTCAGTAAACATACTTCCAGGCATAAATACACATCGTCTTTCAGATGACACACTTATCTCTATCTTTATTGGCAACTCATACGGAGCTATACTATCCTGAGAAATACACGGATGATCTCCAATATACTTAGAAACCATCACAAATCTTGAATTTCTTATCAAAATCTTGTCAACCAGCAAGGAACCAGATACTTCATTCTCTTTTTCAAATTCATTCAGGTTCAATTCCTTTTGATTCATGTCATTAAGCTGTTTAACATACGCAAATATCGTGCTTGTTTTTGTATCCAGAGAAATTTCCTCATTAGTAGCAGTCACCATATCTTGAAAAAACAAATCAGAAATAACCGGTGGAGAATTGTTCATAGATCCAAGTATATCCTGTAAACTTTCATTGGACTTTATGCCAATACTCTTCAATTCTTCAACTTCACTATAATCGCCATTCGCTCCCAAAATATTTTTCTTGAAGTACTTGATTGCTTCTTCTCTTGAAAAGCTCAATGTGCCCACGCTTATACCAAACACATCAAAACACTTATTCATGACAGAAACCTTGGTCAGTTTTGCATCCTCTCTTGTGTGATTCAGTACACGAATAAACAACAATGGAAAGCAATGCTTGTAGTGTAAAAAGCTTATAGAAAATGAAGGAACAACATTAAACCTGATAGTACGCCATGCCCGGAGTCCATCAGATTCAACAATCAGCTCTTGATCAAAATACCCAACACAGGGAAACATCATCTCAAATCTAAACTCATTCATACTTGTTATAAATTTTCTGTCACAGAAGCTAATTACAATCTCAGATTCATAATTCCTGATCACTTTGCAAGCAACATAACAAACTTCTCCACAATACATCTCATAAATATTTTCCATAAATATGTGCATAAACTTCACTTCTTCACCAACATCAATAAACTCTTTCATTTGGACTTTTTTATCAATTCCATTCGTTTTTAAAACCATTTCCTTGATAATGTATTTTCCTGGCTCTCTTAACATTATCTCACAATTTTGTTCGTATTGAGTCTCAACACCATTACCATTCACAATTATAGTCATGCATCCTCCAATTTTGCTCTCTATGAGCAAGCATTCATTTGGATTAAGCTCTCCTTCAAATTCACTTCTGGATCCTTGATATGACCTGAAAAATACCACTGCATTTCTAATCTTAGTGATAGATGTCTTATGCAAATAATCTTCAGCATCCGTATATTCCAAGTATTCATCCAAAACATTTCTATCTAAAAGTGGTTTATCTGATATTCCTACAATTCTCCGAATATGTGATTGAACAAAAGCAAGCGTATCCTTAGTAATGGCTCCACAATTCGCTTTACAAATCAGCATATCTGTAATTTCAAGAAAATAATCAGCGCATAATCCAGCTCTTTCCATTAAATCAGCTTTAAGATACATCACTGTGCAATCATATGCCATAGCAACTCTTTTCCTGGAGTATTCATTACTATCCAAAACCTTATTAAGGCACTCCTGCGCAAATGTCTTAAATAATGACCCACAAGTAAGATTGGGCATAAGCTTAAGTGCCAATCTTCCATTCTCTACATCTACCACAATACTCATCACTCTTATCAAGTACAATTTTGATTTCTCACCAGCATAACAAAATCTTTCAAGCATCTTGTGTGGTAGAGGCTTATTCGACAACACCAGGCAATAGATAGACATTTGAGTGCAATAACACCCAAACTCACCTTTGTTATATCTAGAATAAATCTTATATGCTTCTTTATATCTCTGTGCTAAAAAAAGACCATCTCCAATCCGTTTATCTTTAGCAGGATCGTTCTTAAAGATGTTAGAAATCGTGCTAAAACTCCATCCCTTCTCATCTACATCCAATCTTTTTTCAATCTCTGATTCAATTATCCTCTGAAATACAGTTTCCACATCTTCTGAACTTGATATTTCATTTATGCATATATTATATACATTGTTTACTTCACTTCCTGGGATTTTATCATAGATCATCACACTCACACTCTCCATAAATTCAATCTCTTCACCAAATACACACTTTCCAATCCAATACCTTAACTCACACATAGAAAATGATACATCTTTTAGTGCCTCAAAAACCAAACTGTCCATGCTTACATCCTTCTGCTTCACCCTAAAGAACGTCCTCTCCTCAATCAAATCAATAACATTTGATTGCGCTTCTTCCCCAATACATCCATCAAACACAATCTCTAATGGAATCCCCAAAACTTTCATTACATCTATTCTATTCATCCAGGGCCTAAACTATACTTGTGTAAAAGAAGTATTATCAGCATTAACAAGAATCGCCATCTTCTAATCAAACAATCAAATCAGAAAAGAATCGTGAAATTAACATTGTAGATTTATTAACTAGTTGTATGTAAGATACCTTGGCGTCGATGAAAACTTCGCATATCCTTTAACCACCTTATCAACAGCTTTCAAAAAATCCTCCTCTGTTGCAATCTTTCTCCGCTCCCTTATTGCAAACATTCCTGCCTCTGTGCACACGCTTCTCAGCTCAGCACCTGTTGCATTGTTGCACAGTCTTGCGATCAAATCAAACCGAATACTTTTATCTACACTCATTGTCTTTGCATGTATTCTCAAGATCGATGCCCTTCCATCAAGATCAGGCAATCCAAACTCAACTTTCCTATCAAGTCGTCCAGGACGAAGGAGTGCTGGATCAAGAGTATCCGGTCTATTCGTAGCCATCAGGACTTTTATATTTCCTCGCGGATCAAATCCATCCAGTTGATTTATTAGCTCCAACATCGTCCTTTGTACCTCATTGTCATCATCATCATCAAATCTAGTTCCTCCAAATGCATCAACCTCATCAAAAAAAATTATACATGCTTTCTTCCCCTTCGCCATGCTAAATATTTCTCTAACCATCCTAGCACCTTCTCCTACATACTTCTGCACAAGTTCTGATCCAATCACTCGGATAAAACATGCATTTGTCCTGTTAGCAACTGCTCTTGCTATCAGCGTTTTTCCTGTTCCTGGAGGCCCATAAAGCAAAACGCCCTTTGGTGGATCTATTCCCAATGCAACAAACTTTTCCGGATTCAGTAGTGGTGCTTCAACAACCTCTCGTATCTTCTCTATCTCTTCAACACAGCCACCTATATCGCTATAAGTCACATCAGGCCTTTCTTCAACTTGCATCAATGTCACAGATGCATCTATTTTTCTTGGAAGTGGCAATACAATCTGATATTTGTTTCTATCCACTCCAACCCTCATCCCTTCCTGTATTAGACTTGCATCAAGCTTTTTTGACTTTCCTACAATAAACTTTGCTATCATTTTAATTCCTATCATATATCTTGCCTCATGGTATCCATCAAGGATCTTACACACCCGTGCAACTTGCAAATTAGGTTCACTTTGAATCCTGTTTCTATCTCCAAGAAGGTCCCAGCACATTGGCGGTGCAAGTCCTGTTTCTACTTCCTTTGTCCCAAGCTTCAAGCTAATCTGTTCGAAAAGTCTTTTTATTTCGTCTTCTTTCTCAACTATTCCGTCTGTGTAGTAGTTTCTTCCATAGCTGAGCATAAATCCTACATCCTTCTCATCAATTATGTTATCTTGCTTCTGATTACTCATCAAAGGGTTTACCTAACAAACAATTTGAGCTAAAAATGCAAATCGAATTAAGTTAACAACAAAAGCCAGGGCACATACATCACATAATGCGTCTCTAAATCACCAATTGAGCATAAACATATCATAATGTTCATAACAATAAAACGAGTGCCCCCACTCGGGATCGAACCAAGGACCTCGTCCTAGTAAGGGACGCGTGATAACCACTACACTACAGGGGCCTCACTGATATCGTCTAATCATATACAAAGTATTTTAGCATCATATAACATTCACAATAATACATATATTCATCACAATATAAACAATTACCACAATAGCACGCATATTGACAATTCATTCACCACATGATATCCCATTGAAAATATCACTCACAAACTTACACACTCACATTCTATTTTACAATTAAATCAATTCATTTTATTCATATTCTCAAGTACAATCAGTTCATTTTATTCATATTCTCAAATACCTTACTCAATGTAATAAACAACCTTATTCCCAAGCACCTTATACTTCACTTTCATATATTCTCTTTCCCTATCAAAAACCACCACTCTCCCATCTATTTCTGTTGAAACACCACTACTCAAAGGCTCAACTCTCACAACAATATCATACTTGTACCAGTCAGTCACTTTGCATGTATTCGATCTGTATACATCAATCCATCCGCTTGCATTGCATTCATGCACATTCAATGCACACCAGACATCATCCAAAATACCAGAATCCACATAACTACACTCGTACACAGATTTCACACTCACATTCCATCCATATCGCACTGCAATCTTTTTGTAATGCTCAGAGCTTTCGTTAAATGCAAATATACACGCTTTCAGAATATCAGACATCTCAACTACAAAAAAATCCACATTCTGAGGTAAAACCTCATCAATACATATCCTTCTATTTTCAAACAATTTCACATCCAACACTTCACTAAGAGATCGTCCTATCATTCCAGCCAGGCCTATTAATCAAATCTTTTATTCAAACGCAATCCCTCTAAAAACTCGTCTTGCTCAATCATGCTTACTAATTTGATTCTTCAGATCTGTAATTCCTCCATGAATCGAATACGCTTCAACACCTTCGTCTTTTAGAATCTTGACTCCTTTCTTAGACGTAATTCCTTTCTTACAAACCACGCATATCTTCTTTCCTACATCAGGCCCCTGCGACTTTATCATCTTGATCTTGCTTTTCAACTCATCCAGTGGAATATTTATAGATCCTTTGGCCCTCAACATTCGATATTGAATTACAGTTCTTACATCTATTACAAGCCATGCGTCTAGATCATTTGATATTTCCTGCCAACTCTTGCAAGAAAGCTCATCTCTTGTTCCATCGCATTGTTGTGTATGTAAATCCTTGCATGAATTATCATCAGGTTCAATTAAACTCTTATTTGTACATGCCTTACAAATACTCTTAGGACTTCTGAGCTTAGCCGTTGTAATATCAAAAGTCGTTCCATTAAACACAATCATCCTAGACTCATCATCTCCTAGTATCAACTTAATAACTTCCAATGCTTGCATAGATCCAATTATTCCACACATCGGGCCAACTACACCTGCATTCTCACAGGTTAACACTCCAGTTTTCATGCTAGGAAACAAACATCTATAACAAGGTCCAGTCGGCATAAGCTTGTATATCTGTCCCTCCCACTGTAAAACAGATCCGCAGATAAGCACTTTCTTCAATAACTTGCAGAAATCGTTCAGCAAATACCTAGTCTCTATTCTGTCTGTGCAGTCAACAACCACATCGTATTCATTAATAATTCGCTCTGCATTAGTTGCATCCAGAGCCTCATTGTATACAGACACATTTATTGACGAGTTAATTTGCTTCACAAACTCAGAAGCCACTGTCACTTTAAATTCAGATATATTCTTCTCTGTATACAACACTTGCCTTGGTAGATTATGGATCTCTATCTTGTCAAAATCAATAAGCCCAATCCTCTTCAATCCACACGATGACAGGTACATAGCCACAGGTATACCAAGTCCTCCACAGCCAACTACTAGCACGCTAGAATTACCAAGCTTATGCTGTCCTTCTATACCAATACCTTCCACAATTGCTTGTCGAGAGTATCGCTCTGCATCACTCATGGACAGATCAGACTCCAGAAGCATCAAAGGGCAAACCTAAACACTTGCAAAATACATCACAAGAATCCCTTGATGAGCAATAAGCACCTGCATAGCAAACGTATACCAACTAGTCATACAGGTAGTAAGCGCAAAAGGTATAAGAAGAAAAATAAAGACATCGTGTGCATACACAGACCGGATGACATTGATGAATCTCTTATTGATAAGTTCAAGAATAGGCAAAAAACAAGCGAGATGGAATGTCATATAAAAAAAGCAATCTTTCGAAACGAATTATTCAACCTTGATGATAGACTAGATTTTGAAAATGGAGATTTAATTGTGAAGAACATCAGGATGTGTATAACAACCTCGTCATTTCCATCAAGAGACGGTGATTACATCTTTGTAGGCGTTAAAAACGTGTTTGATGGACAATCCACATTTACCTTTGCTTCTGGAGAGTCTGAGATTTATCTCTTTGATAAAGAAATGCTTTTGAGACACGTACTAAGGTTTTCATATGGATATTGTAGAAAGATAAAAACAAGATTGGTGGGTAAAAGCATAAGCTGTGTTGCATTATTCAGTGACGGTATAATCAGAAGATTTGAGTTCAATGGTGAAGTAACAAATATGCGCGAAGTAAATGCAAAGGAAATAGTGGATATTGAAGTTAATAAAAACCACGGTATCATCTTTGCAACAAATGGTAGCAGTGTTATCTGGATATCTGGAGAGTCCATTGTTTCTAGATTTGGCATAGCAAAAGGATTGATTACATCGATTGCAATTAGAGAACCTGAGAATGAAGATGGAAGTATAATGGAGCATAAAAAAAGCATAAACAGAAACAATATAAATGAAAGCACAATTGAGTTCTATGCATTATCGTTGAGTGGAAAGATTATTACGTTTGACTTCAGCTTTCAGGAAGTAAAAAATGCTTCATTTCCTTCTGGATACACGTTTATCAAGACTTTGGAGTCAAGCAATAACGTGCTTATTGTGGATACTCTTAATAATTCAACAAAGACGATTTGTTCAAAGAGCGATATGAAAAAGACGAGTGCAGTATTCAATTATTCCATTTCGTGCCTGGATAACTATGGCAAAAGTACAATAACTGGTGGTTTTGACGGAGTGGTGCGATGTGCAACGCTCAATAAGAGGAATGCAAATGAAAAGCCGATCTTTCAACTCGTAAGAAGGAGCACAGATGTATTACTAGGGCACTTGCACAAGGAATTCAAGATTTTCGATCCCCAAGGCAGACTTCGCAATGACTTTTGGGAAAAGGTTGTTGGTGTTCATGTTGGAAATGATTTTTTGTATGCTCTGTATAGTTGTGGAATTATTATTATTATGAAGCTATCATGAAGCATCAATAATATATGTATAGTATAAAACTAGGTATAAAATGCATAAGCAGATGGAGCCGAGATTAAATAAATCATATTGTGAGTAAAAACCCCAAATGTATAAAATTGCAGTTGATGGGCCTGCAGCAAGCGGGAAGAGCAGTACATCCAGCATGGTTGCAAGTAAACTTGGATTTTCGCATCTCATATCTGGGAATCTCTACAGAGCAATTACACACGGCCTTCTCAAGGCATTTGAATGTATTTGTCTTGAAGACAACAAACAAAAAGAGTATATTCAGAACCTAAGGATCGAGATGATGAACAAGAGAGTGATTTTGAATGACGAGGATGTATCTGACATGCTTAGGGAAGAGCAGATCGACACGAATGTGAATGCAGTTGCAAAAGAGGAGTTTGTTAGAAACAAGGTTACCATGGTTCAACGATCAATCATAGATGCTGAGAGAAATGGAATAGTGATTGATGGAAGAGACACTGGCAGTAAGATTATGCCTGATGCGGATCTCAAGGTATACCTTACTGCTAGTCCAGAAACCAGAGCGAACAGAAGACTTAAGGAGTCATCTGGAGAATCATACGAAGAGCTTCTGGAAGCAATAAAAAAAAGAGATCATGAGGACAAGACAAGAAAGCATAGTCCACTCATAATCGTAAAAGACTCTGTAGTAATAGAAAACGACAACATGACATTAGAAGAAACTGCAGATGAAATAATAAGGTATTTTAGAAAAGCCAGAACATTTAATTAAACATCTCTTTTGCTTTCAAACATCTTGAGCATTCTCTTATGCAAAAATAGCAGTACACTTGTGAAAAATACAGTTTCAAATACCAGCAGCAGTGTGATGCGTCTTCTTGACTTAGCCACCATCATTCCATGCTCTTCATGCTTTTTTATATGAGCTCGTTGTGTTTGTATAATTGTCTCCAAAACATTCTGTAGCTCCGAAACCAATTCATTGTTTATTGGCCCAGAATTATTTTGAGTCTGGTTGATATGCTCAATGCGCCTGTATACAAATGGCATTTCTTTTGAACTGTTGTTTTTGACAGACACAGTAACTTCGCCTGCATGCTTCATCCTGAAGTGATACACAGAATATGGATCCTTACTTGCCACCATTTGTTTTCCTGTTGGATCAAGCACAGTTATCAGTGACTTTTGCGAGCCTTTGTCCCCTCGTGATGCCTGAAAGCTTAGACTATATGGAGCACCAGATGCAACCTTATCTCTAAATGTAAAGGTTCCCTTAGGCTCCAGATTTATTCTCCTACACATAATCCCAATCACAAATAAAAAGATTTTCATCAAAGGGTAAGTGATTTTTTGTTTATCATCAGTACAAGCATGCCTGACTAATACTTGTGTGCATTAAAGGTTATTTATTATAAGTTAGATAATATTTTCTCAAATGGATAAGTATACAAGTGAAATATAATCAACATACAATCTCCAGATATCTAAGAATTCAAATTTCATCTATTATGCAAATATATGCACAAACACACAGGTCTTACTATACTCGTGCAAAACCCCTTGTTTGGCCCAATGCCGTGGAAAAGATGTTTGTACATGAAGCAGAACTATCCGCCAAATTATATGGAAATAAGCCATCAGCGAAAGCGGAGATACTCATCAGAAACATACGAAGACATAAATCGAATGATGATCAGGGTTTCTATTGTTATGCTGGGATTTTCACTGTTCAGGACCATGGCAGTAGATGAGACTGCAGAAATGCCAAAAACATCATGGTTTTCATTCATATCAGCATTCACGGACAGTTTTCTGGAAAGCAAGAGGAAAACAGGAATAAACCTTAAACCAAGCTTTATGATGTTAATGCTTGTGTACCTGATGTCTCCACTCATCCACAACCTGGCCGTTGAGATACATCCAACAACGTTTTACTTTTACTTTGCAATAACACAGATATTATTCATTGTAGACTCAGTATCATCGTCAATATACAACTCATCGTCGCTGATCGAAATAAAAGATGAAAAAACACCTCTGCTATTAGAAGAAAGTATCAACATCCCCAAGAAAATATCAAGCAACCAGGCACTTGGGCTGACATCTTACTTTCTGGGGTTTATTCTTCTCTCATCAAGGCTAAAAAGCCCATCTTCAGTATTCAACTTTCTATGCTTGACATTCATAGGTTACGTGATATTTCCGAATTATATCGAAAAAACCAACACTCACAAAAAACCAAATATGATCATGTTGATATACGTTGCTGTGTCTATGATGTCCGTGTTACCATCCATTCCTCTATTCTGCCTATATAGCTGTGTAATAACCTTCATGTATACTATTTCCTATATATCAATATGGATTTTTGAAAGGGAACTCAATGCAAAGGTAAGATTTACCGCTACAAAAACTCTATGTAAATAAATTTTTAAATGCAAACATCTATATTGTTATTATAAAACATATCGTATTAAACCAATGATCCAGTGTCTATTCAATAATATTCATTTCATGCATCAGATTCCATTTTCTTTCAATTTTCTTACAAACTCACATCCATTGCATATGTTCTTTTCAGATGATGTTGGATGTAGACAGATGATACATGGTGTTGGATTAGCACTTACAGATCTCTCTGATTGTAGCATCTCCCCGCTTCGGATGATATTATGGATTATCTTCGAATTAATCTTTTCTAATTCCTTCACTAGCTCCCTCAAGTCTCCCCTGGATGCCTCTGGAGAATATACGCACTCTGATGAAAAATACCTAAGTTGTTTATGGAATGCATAAAGTACAATTTCCTTTTGATAAGAGTTCTTGAACGGCTTTATTCTGGGCAGCGACATAACTCCTCCATTACCATCATCCTGCGCATTTGTCTTTTCAAGAGTGCATCTTCTGAGCCTTGATATGTCTCCTCGCACAATATTCAGCAAAACAGTCTCTGCCATATCATCTGCATTATGACCCGTGGCTATTGCATCAACACCCATCTCTCTTGCTGCCTGCTCAATCGCTTTTCTGCGAAATACTCCACAATATGTGCAGCTTCCTCTTCTTCCGACCTTTTCAACAACCTTATCCATAGTTACGCCGAATATATCTGAAAAAGACACAATTTTAAGCTTGAGTCCAAGATCATCGCGATTCTTACACACAGCTTCAATAGAATAGTCCCTGTATCCTGCTATTCCCTCATCAACACTCAATAGCACAAGTTCGACCCCATATTCATGCTTCTTGTTCAACAAGTCCAGCACATATGCCAGCACAGTGCTATCCTTTCCTCCACTTACACCAACACCCACCTTTTCGCCCTTGCTGAACATATTTGAAGAGATCACTGTTTCATGCACTTCATTCTCAAAAACCTCAAAAAAACACATCTTACAAATTTTGCTCTTATCGCTTGGTCTAACAATCACTGCCTTGAGTATGCCACATCTCTCACATGCCATTACAGGGACTATTCAAATTCATTAAATAAAAACACTAACTGTTTATTATGATCAATCTCCATCTGTGCTTGCATTCATTGGCACCATCTTCAGCATATTCTGCTCTCCTCCATACACGAAAAAGCCTTCTTCACATACTTTAATCGAAAATACCTTTTCATCAGCTTTCTTCACATATCTAACATCAAAACTTTCAATGTCCAGGACCTTTATGGTTCCATCCAGAGATGCAGTATAAATGCTTTTCTCAAAAATATCAAAACTTGCTATTGAGTCATCGTGAATCTTCTTTTCCAAAACTGCATTAGACATATTACGAATATCATAATACCACAGCTTTCCAGATGAGTCTGAAATAAACATTCTATCACCAACCATCTTTATCTTCTCTATATCACTCTCAAAGCCAATCTCTTGTTCAAAGCAATGTAGACTATTCGCAACCGAGTACACTACAATAGATCCAGAGGCATCAATCTTGCTCACAGGCCCCGCTGTATTAATTTTATTCCTGACTTCTAATCTTTTTGTATCCCATTCAATAATACTAGAATCATAACTTCCACTGAAAAGCTTTCCTTCAGTTTCTCGTAGCGACATCACTGCATCACTATGCCCTTTCAGTAGAATTTGAGGAAGCATTGCACTCCTTACAAGTGGATCATAAACAAAAATGTCGTTCTCAAATGTTCCTAGCGCAATATAGGGTGTTCCACCAATATTCAGATTTTCAGAGTCAATCACAGAACTAAAAACATATGTATCATGGTGCATAAACATTCCAACACATTCCTTGTTTTGAATATAAATTTGTAAGAAGCTCACATCCTCTTCATTTGGCGTGCAGAAGATCAGAACATCACCTTCAACTATATCTTCAGATTCATCTACATCGTAGTCGCATGTCATGGCTGATTTGTCAATCAAAGGAATGTTAAGATGCTCCAAAGATTTGGCTATTTCTTTATCCGCCTGAAATTCTTTCAATTTATCTATCTCGATTTTACTAGGAATAATTCCAATTGACGTTATCATATGTAACGGGTAAAACAAAAACGTATTTGTGAACACTAAAAATATTCAGATGCTTTAATGAACCTCATCAACTATCTCCGCCTTATTAGCGCCATAGAACACTCTCTTCTCCTCACTCGTCTGGAACCTTCCGTGTCCAATCTTAGATGACGTGTCAACAAACTTGATCACCACTTCCTCTCCCTTCTTCTGCTCATGCAGGCTCTTCCTGAGCGTCACTACCCTCTTCGTAGGTCCCATCACTGCTCCCTTCACCATAATATAATCATTTCGCACTACTCCATAGTGTGGGAACCCTCCCATAGGCGTTATTGGCTTGCGTGTCAGGTCATACTCAGTTTGTATCTCCTCCTTTCCATTACCAATCATGTACACCTTCTTGTTCACCTCAGTCCTTCTATGGAATCCCATCTGCCCTGCCCTTGCCACTGAATACATCACTCTGCTTGGGTGCCATGCTCCAATACATGCAACCTTTCTTATTCCCTTTCGTGACTTCCTTGGCTGAATTCGTACCCCAAACCTTTTCACTGTTCCTTGGAATCCCTTTCCCTTCGTTACTCCAACCGCATCAATATTCTCATTCACTCCAAATACTTCTGCAATTCTTATCTCCTTCTCAAGTCTACTCATCGCCCATTCAATCTTCTCACTCATGCTTCCTCCATTCACCTGCATCTCTGCTATGTGTGCTTTCTTCAGATTCAGTCCCTTCACTAACACTGGCTGTGTCTCCACAAGCACCCTGATACTACATGCCTTCTTCTTCATCTCCTCTACTCGTCGTTGCATCTCTTCAGCATTGTATCCGCCCGCAACCTTCTTTCCAATCTCTTCATATCCATATCCAAACATCCTTCTTAGTGCTCCTTCGCTCAGATGTGCTGCATAAACTGGTTGCATTCTCTTCATTCCTTGTGCTGTCTCCTCGTATCCAACAACTCCGTGTACAACCATTGGTGGTGCCTCAAGAACCGTAACTGCTTCCATAAGCTCCTTAGTCACCTGCTTGTTCTTGGTCACAAGCTCCTTAGTCCTTACCACGTGAGTCATTCCACACTTGTACACCATGAATCCTGTCAGGTGCACTGCCTTTTGTGCATTGTCCTTTGGAAACGCACCTATTGACGGTCTGATTGTTGATGAACGCTTTCTTGGGCAGAACTGCAACGACCCATGTCTTGGCGCACTGAACTTTCTACAGCTCATTGATAGAGGGCACGAAAAATTTGCATTAATGAGGTAGGCGAGTGTGGAGTATGCCTGTAGATATAGATATGGGTATGAACGAGTGTAGGTGGGTATGAATATTAACGAGTGTAGGTGGATAATAGGTATGTATAATATGTTGATGTATATAGAATAAGTGAATATATAAGTGAATGCATAGATAATATATAAGTGAATGTACAAACACCAGAGAGTCAATGTATAGGTTAATGCACAATCATCAAAGAATACAAGTCAATGTGTAATCATCAATGTATAAATAAACTACAATCATCAAAGAATACAAGTCAATTGACAAACACCAAAGAATACAGTCAATTCACAATCATCTGAGAATATACTAAATAGATACAATATCAAATGCACATAATAAGAAAGTGTCAAAGAATTAGCATGCATAACATTTGATTTGAATACTAGAGCTCCCATATGTTCACAGTAATAAACTCAGTAAGCAGCTCAGTCACAAAAAAACTCGAAGATAAGGAAAAGGCAAAAATACTCACTGAATACAATAAGGCACTGAACACAATGAAAATCGACAAGTTCTTGACCATCGATCCAAAGCACCAAGCAAACATCGCACTGTACTCAAAAGCAACACAGTACTTAATGTCAAACTACACTCAAAAGAAAAGCTTGGCAGAGATTGAGGCAAATATTCATAAATACAGGTTCCTAGAATATAGAGACGCACTATTCAACATTGCACGAAGATCCATGGACGAGCAGGAAAATTACATAAAAGCAAGAAAGTTTCTCAACATTGCACGACAGAAGAACTTCATATGCAATACACTGTATGAGCTTGAGCAAAAATTAGAGAATGAATGGATTCCAAAGTAATATCATGCACAGATTAATTCACATGCGAATTAGATTGAATTCATGCATTGAACCAAGGGAATGCAGTCCATATATAGAAACACAACAATACCTGATTGTACTATAAATCCATAGTGATGGGGGTGAAAATATTCGAATGGCATTTCCAAAAGTAACTGGTGACATGAAGTATAAGGCGTTTGTTGATGGAGAAATCAAGGAAGTAAGTATTGGTGGGCATGAAGGATGCGTTGTGCTGGTATTCTATCCTCTTGACTTTACTTTCGTATGTCCCACTGAACTTAACAGATTCAGTGATCTTAAGGATGAGTTTGTGAAGCGAGGAGCCACAGTTTTATTCGTTTCCTGTGACTCTGTGTACACACATAAGGCATGGGCTCAAGTTCCAAGGGAGAACGGAGGTGTTATGGGAGTTTCATGGCCGATGATATGGGATGAAAGAGGAGATCTCAGCAGGAGCATGGGGATGTACGATGCAGATAGTGGCCATCCAATGCGTGGAACAATCATTCTTTCGAGGACTTTGGATGTGAAGCACATGAGTGTCAACCATGCAGAGATAGGAAGGTCAGTTGATGAAATATTAAGACTTATTGATGCGATTGCATTCAATGAGGAGTTTGGAGAAGTGTGCTTTGTTGATTGGAAGAAGAAGTAAGAGTACGAAGTAAATGATTTGTGTGTTTGATGTGTTTTCTATTTATTGTATTACACTAGGGTTTGATTCTGAAACAAACGGTTACGGTTGTAAATGAATGATTTACTTCTTGAAGAAGCTTCTGCAGTAATGCTGATGAAGAACATTGCTTACAGCATGATTATCATTCGTCTTCTTTTGAAAGCCAAGGCTGAAGAAGTGGAATGTAATGATGATGAATGGATGAAAACTCCTCCAAGCATAATTATTGAAGGAGTTGATTCGGACTTTCCAAAGATTGATGATAGCACGCCTGTTGATATTCAAACAGAAATCAAAACAGTTATCAAAGAAGTGATTGTGGAGGTTGACGGGCACAATGAAAGTGCTCATAAAATCCAGAATGTGGATAATCATACAGAAATTGCATATACAGACAATCCTGAAGTAAAAACCATTACACACACACTTAATGCGCCTGCCAAAATGCCTGAATCTGTTATAGGTCCTATTCCATTGGGAAGCTCTACTAAGATTGCAGATGCTTCTGCATCAGGTACTTCATCACAACACAGAAAATGTTATTTCGCTACTAAAGACGTCCATGATGGCAACACTGCACAGATTGAATCAGTTCTAACGGGTTTTGGCGCAAATATCGTGCATAAATACACTATAAATACAACCGGAGTATCTTTTTGTTCAGACAGCCCGCGTATCCTGTCAAAACTAAAGAATGCAGGCATTAATGCCGAAGAAGACAAATTCTACACAGTGTCCTCTATACAAAGCACAATACCAAACTACATGTATCTCATGAAGCACTATGAAAATTATGTGTTAAACAATTATGTCTATGATAGCCTACTTTTCAGGCTCTTACAGATAAAAAGAATTATAACAACATTCTTTGGGCTCTATGAATACCACTACACAGGAAAGGGAGTTGAAATTTTATTGCTAGACACGACTGTTAATGCTAGGCCTGGAAACCTCAATAATATCAGTAAATCAATGAATGCATGCAATCGCCATGGAGATATAATGGCCGAACTCATTATCGGTGCAACAAATGGATTTGCTAAAGACAGCCGTTTGAGTGTTATTGATGTTGTTGGATGTGATGGACGTGTGTCTCTCTCAAACATTCTTCGTGGACTTGAGTATGTACCTAAAGGGATTCGTTCACAAATGCTGGTGTTTGGCATTTCAGGGCCACATTCAAACACTCTCAATGCTGCTGTGGACAGGATATCTGCATCAGGCACTATAGTTGTGGTGCCTGCTGGAAACATGCATGATCAATCATGCAACTATTCTCCAGGAAGCTCGAAGTCTGTAATAACTGTTGGCTCAGTAGATAAGCATGCGAGTGTTTCATTGTTTTCGAACCATGGGAGCTGTGTAAGAATGTATGCAATTGGTGAGCAACTATTCGATGACGTCGAAGTTTCTGGCACAAGCATGTCTGCTGCAATTGTTGCTGGAGCAATTGCTTTATTTCTAGAAAAGCGTCCGGGATCTGCGTTCCAACAGGTGTGGAAGTATCTTAATCAGAATTCGTTTTGGAACTCAGAAGGATCGTATAATGTATTGAAGATTCCCCGTCTTGAGGCTGAAGATTATTATCAATCATCTTTTTTTCACTTCACTGAGATTCAGGAAGAGATTATCATGCTTGTGGTTTTTTCAGGTGCAATCCTTGCATTAATATATTTGATTCTGCAGGGATGGAGGTACTTCATAAGAAAGAAGAGATCAAATGAAGACGATATATTCTTTGAAAACCAGTAATAGAACTCCCAGGTGTATATTCATGCTCACTTATCGCACATCTATACCACAGCATATGAGGTATGTACACAATGATTGTTTCTACATGCTCTGTAGACGTATCCCATTCATTCATGTAGTGCTTTATTTATGAAAGCTGTCAATGATGCCTTATGAAAGCCAATTCAATATTGTTTCAACAATAAAGTATTTATCTATTGTGCAATAAATGCAAAACATGAGTGAAGGTACTGGTAGAGCATGTAGAAACAATGAGTGTGTAGATACTTCGTGTAGGTGTCCTCCATGTTCAAAAGAATATGCAATAAAGTGTGAATGTTCAAAATCAGATCTTCAGGGGCCTTCTCTATGCCTAAGGAATGGTTCAAACGGATGCTGTTTGTGCCACTACAAGTGAGCTCATTAATAAACTCATTACAAATTCTATAAATCATATACGAGCCATAGGCTCATCTGCATTACTTCAGCGTTTTCAGTCTAAATATTGATATTCTAAGAGCATTTAAATCAGGTATTGATTACGAGAGCTTCCTTAGATTTATTCATCAAAAACTATATAAACGCTTTAATATTATCACATGGGTTGTTGCAGTCTGAATAAAACAAACTTCCACACAATATACAATACATCAGCAACTACATATTTTCGTGGTTTTGGGATCCTCCTCTATTGTATTGCTGTTTCCTAGATGAAGGATAGTAGTCGTCATCCCTAAAAGTGGGCAGTTGGTGCCATGTCTGTGTGCCAACGCCATACGGATACTGCGCAGGATAATACTCTGCATTTCCATATCGCTGTGCATATGGATACCCATACTCTTCATGACCTGGATATCCGTATCCTTCATACATGACTGATGATGGTATATTCTGAGGCATTTCATGCTTGTAAATGCTGTTGTCCATTGGATACACTGCAAAATCTTCGGAAGTGCTTCTTCTTTGATGAGATATGTATGGATAATACTCTCCATACTTACAATCATCAGGCATGCCTGAATCGTGGTTGCTTTCTGAGTCTTTGGTGTTGTCTGTGTTTTCCTGATGGATCATTTTCTTCTGCATCAGCTTTTTTATCTTTGCTCGTCGGTTCTGGAACCAGACTTGCACACTCCTAGGCGTCATTCCCAGTTGTTCACCAAGTTTCTTCCGCATGCCTGCGTCAGGTCTTATGTTTGTTTCAAACGTCTGCTCGAGAATCTTGAGCTGTGTCTTCGTTGTCCTCTTCCTGTGCTTGACAAAGTACGGGTCAAAGTATTGGTTCGACTCCCTTCCTGAGTTGCCAGAGTATGAATCAAAAAAGTTGCCTCCGAATCCATCCATACCCCCAGGGTTCTTGCATTATTTTAACACCGGGAGATAAATTGTGTTTACCTTTGAAGTTAATTGAGGGATAAAGATTTGCATGCCTATAGCAAAAGACGTTTAATGAAGATATTGGTCGATATGCAGGTGTTTACATGTTTATGAACAAGTATTGCTTTACATAACAATTGCACGGTTAATTATGCGTGAGTGTGTTTAATACAATCGATTTATTAAGGTTTTCATGCAATACTAATTGACCTGTTAATAAAGCAAAAATCCATGTGTAATGCAGTTTTCACATTAAATCTGTGTACGCAATCTACGCATTGTATACCGAGACGCCAATATGCATGTCAAAAGTAAACATGTACATTATTGAATGTAGAAGCCCTGAACAACATAACAAGATGTCGGAATGCAAACGATTGATTGTCAACATAACACCGTCTTCGGTGTTGCTGAATGATGCACAAAGTGGTAGTGTGCTTGACATCAGTAGAAGATGCAAACCTGGCAAATGCTGGGATCTGAATGCACATGGAGTTTATGGAATGATTACTATTGGCAAGTGCATGTATCTTGTTCTTATTGTTGATGGAATACATGTTGGAAAGATGTATGAGCACGCAGTGCATGAGATTAGGAAAGTGGAGATTGTGCAGATGAAGGGAGAAGAAAAGCACGATCGTGAAATAATCAATGTGAAGAAGATTCTTGAGAACGCAGGGATATACTACAGTGAGTATCCATTGTACAAAAGTAAAAGCATCCAGAATAGTGATGATGACTTTCTTTTTAATCTAATGCCAAGAAAAGCCTTTCTTGAGTACATCGAGAACGATGGAGATGATTGCGATGTATTTTTAGTTTCATGTATTCAAGGGGGTTTTGGAGCTGAGAATTATCAGAACCTGTGCATGAGATTGGTTTCAAGAAGGTCACAACGACGTATAGGCACAAGATATTTCAGTCGAGGAGCAGATGCACAAGGATATGTGTCGAATCACGTCGAAACTGAACAATTTGTGTATGATGGCGAGAAGACAACGTCGTATATGCAAGTACGAGGTTCAATTCCTCTCTTATGGCAGCATGAGGTTGGTTATAGATATAACCCAAAAATTGTAGTTAAGGATGAGAAGGTGTTTGCTATAGCAGATGATGCTTTTGTAAAGAAATACGGTGATGTGCTGTACCTGAACCTAATAAGGCATTCTGGATACGAAGGGTTATTACATGATGCATATAAAAGACAGCTTACAGCAAACAGCAAAAAGGCAGTGCATTTCAACTTTTCTGAAGAAGGGAGAGAGTTAACAGAAGTGTTCCGACAAAAGATTATTCAGGCAGTCAATAAAACACTCAGTAAGCAGGGATATTTTGACTCTAAAGAAGCTCAGAAAGGAATAATACGCACGAACTGCATTGATTGTTTAGACAGGACGAATGTGGCTCAGTTTGTTATTGGAAGTGAAGTTTTAGGAAAGCAGCTCTCAGAGTTTGAATGTGAAGGCAAAGATATGCTGCGCAAGAAGTATAATGAGATGTGGATTCAAAACGGACACAGTCTGTCACGCCAATATGCAGGATCATCAGCACTGAAGAGCCATTTTTTGCGTGGAAATACAAGAAAGATCACTAACAAGCTATTTGATATGTCAAGATCGTTGAGAAGATACGTTGTAAACAGGTTCGGTGACCGAGGAAGACACATTGCATATCATATCATCACTGGTGATTGTAGTAAAGCTGGAATAACAACACCGAGTAATATAGTGATGAAGGCCAAGCTGTTTGTTGGGATTCAGTTGATAGTTGTGTTGTTGATATTATTCATATAATTTATTATTGCTGTTTAGTGCATTTATGCATAGTATGATAAATAGATTTGAAGTGATACTGAAAGCAATAATATATGAACCTGAAGTATATTTTATTGACGAGGAATAGCTGTAAATGACTGAAAAATAAAACCCTGTGATGGAGACTGATTGGCAACAGAAGGAGATAATTGAGTGGGTTGGACTGGTTCTTGGGGAGAGCATGGAGGGAGCTGGGTTCCACGAGCTTTTCAAGGATGGAGTAAGATTCTGCAAGCTCCTGTGTAAGGTAACATCATTGAACATCAGATACAAGCAATCGAACCAGATATTTGTACAAAGAGAAAACATATGCTCGTTCATCAATGGACTGAAAGCACTGAACATGAACGAATACGAGTTGTTCCAGACGAATGACTTATTTGAGCGGAAGGATTTGAGGCAGGTTGTTATCTGCATTTATGCATTGAGCAGGCAGCTACAGAAAGAAAAGATGTTTGAAGGCCCGTTTATTGGGCCACATCTTGCCACCAAATCAAAGATTGAGTTTAGCCAGGAAGTGCTTGACAGAAGCAAATTTGCAATCCATCTGCAAATGGGATATTCAGATCCCGAAGTGTTTGGGGAGTCTAAGACTGTGCCTAGATCTGTTGATGACCTGAAAACAAATGGCTATTGATTAAATCTACAGTATTTCGTTTGTATGTTTATTTAGTGAAGTGCCTGATATCTAAAGAAATGTTAGATGTTGATAACATTGCAGATGCTGCATTTAAATGTATTGACTTAAGAGTATATGCTTTTACTCAAGCTTAATGCTTCTGCCCAAAAAAACATTTCTTCAAACACACATACTCTTCGTGCAGATTTACAGTGAAGCCTGATCTCGCCTTTCTTTATGTATGGCTTACATATCAGTGAATAACATATTCCAGGCATAACTGAGGTTTCTACAACACTTACATATACCTCTCCACAAAAGTCCAATATCTTTACATAACTTTTGCCCGTTTCAATACACACACCCACAATCTCCACACTGTGCACCACGTTTCTACCATACATTACTAATCCAGAAGCACTTACAAAACCTTTCAATGCATTTGACATGATCTTGAAAGGAGCTATGATGCATTTACTCATTCAAGCAAGCGCTATATGGACATAATTTGCATGAATATTTATTATGGCAATCCGGATATTCAACAGATATTCAGAATCATACATTTCTAAGCTATGCAAAACACCTATATAACTCTATTTTTAATAACTACGCTCGATGCATGTATCTCGAAAACTACGTCATGTGGATCTTGAATAGGCGACTTAACTAGCTTGAGAATTCGTCCATCATGATCTTTAATGCACATATACTTTGTATTCACCATATATTCCCATTGCATCCCAAGCACTGGATTCTCTATACAAAAGTTTTCAACAACCCAATTACCATAGTAGCATGTAACTGCAAGTACATCAATAAAGTACTTCTGATTCATCCTTTTGAGTCTGTTCATTATTGTAAACACCGATCTATGTCCCATGCTTCCTTGCTCTTCCGATACAAGAAGATGATCCAAGCTGTCTATTATCACAAGCTCAACACCTCTCTCAACAATAAGCTGCTCAATGCAGTTCGTCACAAACATAAGTAATTGTGAAATTGTCGAAACACGCTTAATGATTATCCGGTCCATCTGCTCATGCGATGATCCGTGGTATCTATCTGTGCATAGTGCCTTTGTTGTGATGTAAATTGTCGAGCATGTCTTTGACTCTTCAATAGCAATAGCCGTTCTTCCAGTGCCTGGTGCTCCTGTTATTTCAGTCAATCCGTAATACTCAAGTAATCTAGGCATCCGGGTTTGTGATTGCACATTTTATCAAGTAGGCCTTTGTGTTTGTTGCAAACCCTGGTATTCCTGATGGTGGCCGATGACAGCAATACCACGCCATATGCAATCGTTTCAGTGGGCCTGGCAAGCCAGATGGCTCTGGCCGTGTACGGGGCATGCGAAGGTATGGCCTCGTCTGGTGCTGCATCAATCCTACACAGCCAGAATAGATCAATCCTTGGGCCTACGTACTTTATCATGATAATGATCTCAACGATTTTCTTCAGTAGCTTTCTTGTTGCGCTAATTGTTGCAACAAACATAGACGCTACGCTGGATGTATCAAAGAGCGTGTCATATTTCTCAGCGTGCATGATGGTTGGAATAACATCTGCTGTTTCTGGAAAAGTTTGTGCTTGCCTTGGAAAGCGAGGATTCAGGATCCTGTCGGAAAAGCCATCATTCTTGCCAATCCTGATCATACTCTTTGGAATGATAGAGTTTGTACTAATCATCGTGTTTTCATGTGCCTTGTTAATGGTGTACCAACCATAGCCATCATATTCGAATGAATCGAATGCTAAATCATTACAAATAAAGCTTATGCAAGACTAAATAATATCATAACTATCTTTTATTTTCAGAGTCTTGTCAATTACTTTTCTGTAACTTTGGCACCATAATGTTACAGACATTTACACACATATTGGACATTGTGATGTGCACCTAAATTTACACATGCATTGATATAATAATGTTATAGACATTTACACATATATTAAACATCATCATTAGTTCCCCTTGTTGTTTGATTAGATTATCACGCTGCTAGTTTGTCCCTTGCTCCTGGATCACGGCCTTTTTCACTTCTGACATTCATGATGTAATCCCTAAGAAGCCTTACTTCTCGGTTGAATTTATCTTGCCCTGCCCATGCCATCAAATGATAGAACGACTTCTTTATACATTCATCCTCAGCTATCCCAAGATCCTCGCATATCAAATAATACACCCTTAGGCCTTCTAAATCAAACTTCTTCCTCTCTTTTGTGTTTGGCTCAGGAGGAAGAAACATGTCTGTTTGTTTATTGCATTGCTTTTAGGCAGCTCTGATAAACAAATACCAGTTATATACAGATACTTCATGAATAAACTCAAGGAAATACAAAAAATACCTTGCTCTTGTCTATTTTTTCCATTTTCCAATTATAGAGGTAATATCTTAACACTCCAGTTCCAATACAGAATTCATGCTCCTTCAGAAACAGTGCATTCCCCATTATATCTAAGCAATTAAACACATCACAACCACATTTCTCTGCAAAATACATCAGATCATTCACAATCATGCGCAGGTCTTCACCTCCTCTATACCACATGTATGCGCCACGTATTTTCTTTCCACTCTCCTTCTCAACTGTATCAATCACAAAAAAACTTCCAAACTCGCTTATTCCATCTACTGACTCATGAACATATGTGTATATAACATCATCCAGGCATCTTAGGTCTGTAATGTTTTCATCCATCTCTTCATGCAAGGCGTGCTTTGTAATTTCCTTCAGGTATAGCATTCTTATCACTTCCATATCTTCGCTTCTTGCTAATCTGGTTCCCTTGCGTGCCTCAAGCTTTTTCACTGGCACCATCCGGTCACAGAAGCCTGCTTCAACAAGCCTATCCATTCGTAGCGGCCGATGATAGTATCTTCCTACACAAACACACGAAAAAAGCTCGTTCCCAGCTGTAAATACACCACGGTATATTCCATCTACGTTTGCTTGCCTCACTATCTCTTTAATAAGCAGAGGCGCAATCCGCTTTCCACGATGCTTCCTACTCACACACAGCAGATTCACACCAAGCACATTGTCATCTTCACCATTCACAACCAGCTTATGCTTTCTCCCATAAATAAATCCTACCATCACTCCACTTTCTCTAAACACTATTCGGTATCTCTTGCCAGATTCACTGTTAAACATCCATTCAAGAAGCTTTCGTGAATACATAAGACTGTGCCCTGAACTCACATCCTCAACATAGTTTCGTTCAAGAAACTCCGCTATCTCTGCAATATCACTTTGATTGTCAAATTCAAATCCATCAGGAAGTGCCTCTACATTAGCAGCTATTCTGTCTTCTTCGCTGATCACTCCACTTGCACCTCTATCATCCACTGGCTCATTACTCCAAAAATCATATCTCATCTAGGGGCTCCAACTCACACTTAACTTCCCATCAGCTCGGAAATCTCCCTTGCTTCCTCTTCGCTCATTTCAAACCCAAACCCAATATCATAGACATAATACATGTAATCAAGTCCAATAGAAATTATCTTGCTTTCAACAACAGTCACCCCAACTACATCTGCTTCATGGGAATACAAATTCTTTAGCCCTGTACCTAATCTATACCTGATTCCATCCACATCTGCAACTATATTCTTACCTTCTGAAAAAAGATACTGACTATACATAGACCTGATCCATTCTTTCCCTTTGTATACCACTACATGCCTTTCTAAATCGCTGTAGTCTTGCCTCATAACTATTCCATCTGCAGATCCTGTGTATTCTCCACACATGCAGAAAATCGATGTTTCATGTGCACTCTTTCCAATGGTTGTGATGTTATCGTCGATACGTGCAACAAACGGTACTCCCATTCCACAATACATCACTCCCTCAAAAACACTCATGCATAACACCTTGTGTTCCACCTTATATGCATTGACTACAACCAGATTAAAATCTAATGCATAAACAAAATCTCCAACCGAAGCATAAATCAGGTCTTCATGCACAGCCATGCACTTTACAATGTGGCTTCCAAAGTTGATTTTATTGCCATCCACAACTCCAACATCTCCATCCCAGTTTCCATAGTATAAGCGATTGTCTGAGAACACAAGTGCAGATATAGGACCCACTGATTGAAACACAGCAACTGCAGAAGTATATGGCGCATTCAGTACATACAAAACACCATGCGCATCTCCAATATAAATACACTCACCAACTGTCAGTACAACCAACGGCTTATTTGGAAGACGCACTCTTGCAATTAACATACCAAAGGCCAAATCATACCAAAACTTTAATCATGCTAAAACTCATTACAAATACTCAATAAGCATCCAACGAAATACTGAGTTGTTATTCGCATTCAATGCATTGAATTTAACACAATCAATCAGAAGTAGATGAACATTATAAATCGACATGTATCACTATAGAATTATTATGCGCATTACTATATACTTCTTATACTCATCACAAATATCCGTATGAAAAGTACTGATATGAATCATAAAGACCCGTTCCCATGTTGTTAAAGCTCTTGCCTATCAAATACTCCACATGCTCAGCAACTCCTGCATCATCAAGACTCAATTGGAATCTATCTTTGAAGTTGGCCAACTCCCTCGGATTAAAACACTCAGGGCTGGCGCCATCAAAAAGCATCTCCACCATTCTGAAGAGCCTGTGACTATGCCGCCTCAACGCCAGGTATCCCTGCAAAAACAACTCTTTAAACTCATCCATAAGCCCATCAAGAAGCTCAAGGTATTCCTTAGAAAACTTGAATGGAGCTCCCTCCACACAATAAAATCCTGGATGCCCACCCATTATGAATCCGAAATCAACATGGACAACATGTCCTTCCCTATCAATCATGATGTTTCCGTTGTGTCTGTCCTTTACTTGAAGAATGTATGTTGCCAAAGAGTATCCAACCAGAGAGCACAAGAAGTTCCTAACACAGTCTTTGTATCTTTCTCCATTCTGTCCAAAAGATTCCATAAAATGACTTTTCAGAGAGTAATTCTTGCCATCCAGCATCATCTTCTGCTTGATCTTATGGATCGACATTGCATCAACAACTGTTTCAATTATTCCACACCTGCTACTTACAAGATAGATCTGATATCCGTGAATCCACAAAGGTACATTCTCTTGTTTCCAAATCTGCTTCATCTCAAGTAGAACCTGATATGCAAGTAACTCCTGTTTAAGAGACTCACCAGTCTTAATTATCACAGATTGTGCACGCCATCCCTTTGCATGAATGAATTGTGAAGTCCGCTTCAGTTCGGCTGTTTTCAGCATCCAACTACTATGATACTTGTATATCGATGGATCGTTACGGGAGCTTTGTAAATCATCTACTAGATTGCTGCAAACAACCTGGGCATCCTGTCCATATCCCTGAACGTCTTGTGAGAGATGCTCTGCAGAGTATGACCTCTTTTCCATCATGAATATTCCACGTCCAGCCAGTGGCTTTGCAAGCTTTATGTCTGCATTTAAATATTCCTGATCTGTGTGACTGGCGTCTAATTGTCTGTATTGGTGCAGAGATGTACCACTGTTGCTAGGTTTACCATTTTGTTTTATATGCTCTGTATCTGTGATATGAGTACTTGAACACAATGTCTTTTCTTGCCTTTCTGTCATTAGGATCCTTTCAATCGATATCAACACGTTCTCCCTCACTACGTTTATTTCGCCCAGAGATGAAAGTCTATCGACAGCATCAAGCTGTTGTTTGAGGAATTGGATGTCTTTGTTACTTTCTAGACCACCGCATGGCCTGGTAATCTGCTCAGATGTTTCAAAAACAACAAGAAACGGCGAGCTTTCTGCAGAATCAAGCAGAAAAGATTCTTCAATCCTTGCTGTCAGAGCATGTCTCGTGGCATCTATGGGCAAAAACACCCTTGCAGGAAGATTGTGATTCAGTAATCTGATCTCCATTTCTAATCCACGTTTCCGAAGGTATCTTGGAAGTTTCATTAGCCTGTCTGGAATCTCAGCTAACGACTGGATAAACATTATACTTGACTCCAATCTGCTCCTGTTGAATGCATGACCAGAGCTTAGATCCTTTATTGGATTGATGTTGAATGCATGCTTAACCTGAATGAAGGTATCCTCGTATTCATGAAGTTTTTTGAATAGTCTTGGATCAATAAACCAGGACACTACCTTTGCAAAGAACAAGAACATGCCTTTGAGTCGAGGATATTCTTTCTGTGCTTTGGGGATGCACACTGTTCTGTTTAGTCTTTTTGTGTGTTTGTATTGCAACTCAAGGACAGAAATATTCCTACATGTATTAATTCTATTGTTGTCAAGCAGATCACATATCATGAAGTAGCAGAACACAGATTTGGTATTATTCTGTTCAAGAGCGCATCTAAGGTGAAAGTAAAGTGCACATGCAAACTCATTGCTTCTGGATGCCCAAAATCTCAGTAGCTTGCTCATTGGCCAGCTAATCTCATCACTAGATACATTTAAGAAGACATGCATCAGCTGTGGAAGAAGATGTATTGGAGGCTTACAGTACCTGATTCTATTGCATATGTAGTGCTGAACACCTATTGATGTTGCCTTGTGCATGTATGATAATGCAAGGCCGATGTCGGTGCATGTGAATGGATGAGAAGTGTTATCGAATGCATCTTTCGAATTCACTGGCATATGCAGGGCGAGGATAGCAAGGAGAGTTTGTGGGTTTGGCTGGATCAGGCCTGTGTTTACTTTACAGCTGAATTAGCTCAGTGGGAGAGCACCAGACTGAAGATCTGGGTGTCCTGGGTTCGATCCCCAGATTCAGCATTTCTTTTGCCAATCACACATCAACATCTTTATAAATCACAGGTAGCAAGTTACACACTATGAAATGCATTAAATGCGCAAACACATAATATAAGATACACAAGCGCTTTGCATCATCAATCACCTGAAGCTCAGTAGTAAGTTCACTAATAACTAACAAGCAAAATATCGCTTTATTTGCATCCCATGGATCATGGTGCGTACATTACCACCATACAATCCAACTTTCACAACATCATTTCACAAATAACTGTACTGATTGAAAGAAACAACCAGCATTTGCTGATCTGTGGAGCAGATTCAAAAATTATTTCAACCGTTGTTGAGCTCATAGATGCATATGCGATTAGTGTTGGTAGAGATACTATTCATGTTCATTCTGCATCGCACAAGGATCAGAATCCACAGGGAAAGGTTTTTTTCATTCGCATTGCACAGTGCATAACCACATCAATACAATCGCTGATATATTATTACCTAAGTAAATCAAGAACATCAGAATGCTGCTTAATACTCATCTCAAACTCATGTACATCACTGGATGCATTCGAAAAACGCGTAAAGTCAAGATTTAATCACAAGATCTTTTTCATTGGATTCATCAGTCTCGAATCATACGCATATCTGTACTTCAATGCAATAGGAAAACACATTTCATCCACCAAAGATCTAACAGATCACGAAAAGGCACTTGTAAACAGATTGTACAGCATAGACCCAGGAATAACTACACTTGAGAAAAATATCATCACTCACAAATACAACATTCCTGAGTACTCAATTGAAACTCTCTACAGTCTTTTCGACTCCGTTCACATCGCACTCATTACAATCGCTACAAAAAAACGAATAAAATACATCAACTGCGTTTCAGAGTTCAAAGCATTTACTTCAGGTATCAAAGAGTTGAAGAAAATCGATCCAATGGAAGTCATTTGCAGCTTCTTGGATCTAATAAACTCAGGCATCATAGGCATAGAGGGAGATCTGCTGATTGATGTAAACTGCTTCAAAAGATACGTCATTAATAATAGACAGGTCCATCTCAAGACCCTGTTGCATAAAAACATTCCATAACAATGCATGACAATCATTTACTCCCTCTAAGAAATAAATCCAATCTTCCTTGTGTTCCTTTTCCCTTAGAATTGAGCAATTTATCAACGGCTCGGTTTACTCGGATTGAATCAAATCCTCTTTGATTAACAAGAAACTCAACTATGCCTTCCCTGTCTATTGCATCCCAATCAATACTATACTTACTTGTATCTCCAGCTTCTGCAAGATCCTCAAACATCTTCCTTGCCTCTTTGTATCCCCAGTCATTGCAAACATCGAGTCTCTCATTCTCAATTATATTCTCAATGTTTCTATGCTCTCTTATCAACGCTAACGCTCGCTTCGGGCCTACTCCCTTTATCCCTTCACAATAATCACATCCCAGCAATATGCATAGGTCTATAAACTCGCTCTTCTCAAGTGACAGCTCCTTCATTAGCAGCTCAAGGTTGTATTCAGTAACCAGATGTTTCTTTGCATTAGATCCAAAAAAATTCCTCAAAAGCACTGGAGTACCAAATGTTAATGCATCCATATCTTCCGTAGCAACCCCATACACAGCTCCCTTCTTACATAGAAATGCACAATGTGCTTCTGCTTCACTAGGTGCATCTTCAAAGGGTATTCTCATCAGCTTCAACAGCTTCTTACATTCATCAACATGCACCGAACTTACCTTTGCCTTACGTTTCGAATGCATGTCCATCTTTTCCTTATCACCTGCTTCTTCGGCCTCCTTGTAATCTTTATCTGCTGCAAGCCTTCGCTCACTCCTCTTCTCCAACTCCTTCATCTTGAGTTCAGGTGGCGCTCCATCAAACACATACACAGGAAGAATCCCAAGCTCCACCATCTTGATCGTTCTATAAAAAATTCCAACCAAGTGTGAAGTCGCTGCTTCACCAACCCCCAGCATTGCTCCCTCAGAACGAACAGCTATCAGGAACTGATACAGCGACATCGACGCATCCACCGCTACACTCTTGGACGAGTAGTACGACAACGGCCTCTCCCGGATCCCTTTCATACAGTTCTCCTTCAACAGCTTCGACAACTGCTTTATACCCATTCAAACAAACATTTTATTCAACAAATATAACAGAAAACTCATCGGCTATTGCCATTACATCCCTACCATTCGAGCTCCCCTTGAGCAGAGCTAAACACAAAATCTATATTTCCTATGTTTATAAACCCTTGCTTGAACACACACTTCCACTTCCCCTTCGACATGCACACTTTGACATACAAGCATATCATGTAATTTCCAGTATTCCCACTCCTTCCTATAATCTCAGAGTCATCACTAGACACATCTTCCTCTCCATGCTCCTTGTCTCCTAAATCAACGTCTCTTTCGTGTCTGCATTCCAGTAGCGTATCATTAGATCTTTCTGAAAATTCCTTGTACACCCTGAATCGTTGTCCATACATCTCTCTTCCGCCATTTCCTGTCCATTCATTCTGCGTGCATTCAATCAATCTCTCTCTCCAATCATTCCGAAGATCATATATTGCAGCCTTGCTCATACTATCTACATCCTCATCCTGCTCAAGCCTGGAAATAACTTCATTGATTATGTCCTCGTAGATCTTCAACATAGGCTGCTGTAAGGGTTACTTTTTTCATACTTTATTCCTATTGTCTTTGTTCTCTTGCTGCTGTGTGCTTCTCCAGCCATCTAATCTATTCTCCTTTATTGTATAGCTTGCTCATCATATCAATTCATATCAAATATTCAAATCCATAAGAAAAATACTCCGTTCTAACCTCCCTCATTAGAATATCCATGAATGAAGCAAGGCCAACAAGAATTTTGAAAGAGCTCACAAGAATACTGCTTCTTGCAGCATGTGCATATGGCACACTTGACCGTGCACTTCCAGAAGGATTCAGAAACATTGCATATGCAGCCCCAGGCGCACGATTCATCTATCTGACAAACCTCTCTCTATATCTTACCATAGCTTCTGTGGTGCTTGGATATACGATCAGAGCATTGAAGGCAACATCTGCACGTCTATGCATTCTTTATAAAGACTTGATTGCTGTGTCGTTTTCAATCGAGGGTGTTGTAACATCCATGTTTTGGACACTTTATGCAATCAATCCTATGCTTTTGCGGAGCAAAGTCTTACTTTCAAAAGAGCTGTCTATCAGTCTTACAACAGACATCTGCCAACATTTCCTTCCATTCGTTCTAATGTTTGTGGAGCAATCAGATACTGTGCTTGTAAAACGAAAAGGATGTGCATATGCCATACTTGCACTCGGAACATTATACCTTACAGGTATTTGGATGTATTCATCGGTGTATGGCGTCTGGGCATATCCAATTCTCAGGAAAAGCGGAGCTGCAATCAGAATAATGCTGATATATATGGGATGCATACTTGGTGTAATGTTCTACATGTGTCTTGTCAGAATCAACAGGTTCTGCATAAAACAAGTTTATTAAAATAAATACAAACACTTAGAAATGTTGAATATCATGTAATCTATAACACCATGATTAAGGTTCATGCGGACCCCATACATTTGAATACCATTATTCTTGGATCCTGATCAATAATAGTTAGACAGATTACACAGTCTGATTGGTGTTACATTGCTTTATATATCAAGCCAATCTGCTTGCCATGGCATCCAAACGGTACTTCCAAATGCTGACTGAAATACTCAAGGGCGTACTTCTGCTTCTCTGTGTGTACGGTGCATCAGATTACTCACAGACAAAGGAGAACATCGATCTTTCAAACAGGATCATCGGAGGAAATCACGTGTACCTTACGTACATTAGTCTGTACATGACGATCATTACGTTATTTCTCAGCTACCTAGTCAAGCATTTTGGATTCTCAAGTATCAAGAGCATATATAGAGATGCACTTGCAATCACATTGCCTATTGAAGCACTTGTGACATCAGTGTTCTGGACACTCAATGCCATAGATCCTACACTACTCAAGGATAAAGATCTATACTCAGCTGGCATCAGAACACCACTCATAAGTGAACTTTCCATTCATCTTGTTCCAATGGTCTTACTTCTTGCTGATCAGTTTGGCACAGAAATCAAACACAAGAACCATCATTATCATGCGCTAATTATTATTCCGCTTGTATATCTGTTTATTATCCACTACGTTTACTGGGCAAACAGCTACTGGATTTATCCGTTCTTAGGAAGCATTCCTGCAGTCATGCGTATTGGATTGACTTTGATTTTCATTGTTGTTATTCTCATATATTACAATCTCTTCCAGGTGATCTCAAGACTCGTTGCCAAAAGTAATCCTGAGCACTCCAAAAACACTCACACTAAGCACTCTAAATACTCAAAAAATAAATAAATTCTTTTATTCTTCTATTCATCAAGATAACTTCTAAGATCATTGTATGCTGCTTGGTCAAATGTCTTGCACTCATTTAGCACTTCGTTAATCCTATCTGGATTTGCCTTTACCTCCTTGATATACTTGGCTTTCACGTGTTTCCTGTCTTTATTCGGAAACAATGAGCTTATCAACGAAAATTCAATCCCGCATATCTCTAGTGCCTTGTAGAACAGTTCTATCTCCTTCTTGCTCCATCTCAGTGCTCCTTTTCGCTTGCTAAATGTCGATGACGTTACTATCCGGTCATCCTCCATCACCTCCATATCAACATTCTTGTGTGTGTTAACGTACATGTTTGCCTCATTCACAACTATCTCTCCGTTCCTAATGGTCAATACCTCATCGGTTCCATGGTCATCCTTGCATTTGCTTGCTTTTGGTGCATTCTTTCTCTTTCGTCGATCTTTCCTGAAGTTGGAGTTATCAAGAAAATGTCTTAGCTTCTGTTCCATTTGCAGGGCATATTTCCGTTCAAATTATCTTGTCCTTACTTTACTTTGACTCATCTATCTGCCACATTCACTCTGATTGCCTTCGAAATCATCACATACTCCAAATCATCACCCAAAACCTTCTCAATCTCTTCACTCAGTATCATCATCAGAATCTGCCTTCCGTTCTTCATTCTTTTAAGCATTCCATATTCAACAAGTTTTACTACAACATCCTCAAATCTAAAATAATCAATCGTTTCCATCTTCATCCGTTTGTAAAATCCTTCCATCTCCTCATAAACCTCTAGAATACTCCTTCCACCCATCCCTACACTCATCAGTCTCAGCATAACCTTTGCATCAAACTTTATCTCTTGCAAATACTTCACATACACCGGCGTATACATCTTCTTCATCACTTCATTCGCATCAATCACATTCGCATCTCCTTTACTATCCTCCTCAATTCTGCTCATAACATCATAAACCCTCCGTGCATCACCACTCACCGCGCCTATCCTTTTAGAAACAAGCTCAATACACTTCCTGTCCATCTCCCTGGCTCCAACTATCCTTACAAGCTGATCAGACGTATACGGTGCAAAGTTCACCCGAAGCCCTCCCATCCTACTGCAAACCTTCGGCTCAAACATTCTTTCAGGAAGATCCATCGTGTTAGATATCAAAAACATCGCAAGCTTCCCTCGCTCTGCACAAGGTATCTCAAACAAATTGTACAGTATCCTTTGACTACGTCCTGCAAGCATATCAATCTCATCAATAACCACTACATGCCATTCCTCACACACTTCCATATGCTTTTTTAGATCCGAAGCCGTTAGAATCTTCTCACATTGAGTGCATTCCATCTCTTTTGCAATCATCTTGAATACATCACTTTTCTTCCTAAACTCCATTACATTAACAAATGCATGAATAACATTTCGATTATCAAGCAGTTTGGATAGTGTATAAGTCTTCCCTGAGCCAGGAACTCCACTAATATAAACTATCCCTCCTCTTCCAGCATTCATAAGCATGTCCAAATATTTTTCAAGCTTTAAATACTCCTGCTCTCTACACTCAACCACCATCCAGGACTTGTACAGACCAATTTTATTGTCTTTAACCATTCATATTCATCTCATTTATATCTGTACACTTCACATATCTCCCTCCAGCTATACAGCTCAAACCTTTCATTCACCATTCCATCACATCCTTCAAAAAATCCATCAAGATCCAGCTTTCCACTCTTCTTATATCTACGTATTGCATCATACAGTCTTTCAAAAACTCCATTTACATCCATCCTTTCCTTAACACTCTCAAACACCTTTACAAACTCTCCAAGTCTACGGAAATACACAAGTCCATTCATCCATCCATTGAGCAATGCAATCCTCATCTCCTTACTAGCACCACTTAATCGCATAACATCCAGAAACCCATCAAAACTCTTCCTGTCCATATATCTCTGTCTACAGCACTCCAGCAGCGACAGATAAAACCTTTCCCAATTAATATCCATCATGGCACGTAGTATTTCCTCTTTCTCTTCAATCCCTACCCCAAGCAAAACCTCACATATCCTCTCATAATACAAATCCTCATCAAGATATTTTCCAACTTTTGCTTTTACACAGTTGCCAACTTTATCCATAACATTCATAACTATGTCCTGATGTATATATGAACTAATCACATCAAGATACACGCATATTTTATCATCAGGTATTCTCAATATTTCCTTCTCAATATTTCCTACAACATCCCTTCCCATATACCGTAGTTTGTGCACAAGCACTTGCATTCTATACTCTGCATAATCTTCATCAACAAAAAATCGCTTAAACCTTGGAAACGCCTTCATAAAAGATAGCTTTAGCAAGTAATTTCTAAAAACAATCCTTCGTCGGCACAGCATCTCATACACCATCTTCTCAATCTCATCAGATTCATCAAATGCCATCTTGGCAAGAACCTTCCTCACACTTGCAGATCTGTACAATCTTCTTCTATACACATGAAAAATCATCTGCAGTGTTTCTTCACACACATATTCATTCATATCCAGTCCATCACTGATCGAAAGCTTGCTCAACACATTAAAAATACCTGTCTGGTCATGAACTAAATTCTTCCTTATGCAGTTCATTTCTGTTTCTGTGCATTTTTTACAATTATTACACAGATATGCTCCTGAAGTTCCTTCTATAACCTGTTTGATCTTCTCGGTATCCAATGCATTTTTTCGTATTTGTTTGTTCCTCATCAGCGCGGGTTGATTTTTAGGTGCTTAATCATGCATGCATTTGTTTGCAACGCCCTTCAATCATCGTTTAAATACAAATCTTAGTATTGGATTACCTGCATAAAAACAAAAATGAACAAGGGTGCATGACTTCCAGGCAGTACGAAGAGATGCTGCAGAGGGCAAATCTCAGCGACATGGCTGAAAGATACGACGACATGGCAAGTGAAATGAAGCTTGCTGTGGCATTGGCACACGAAAACAAGCATGTACTCAATGTAAACGCAAGGAACCTATTCTCAGTGGCATACAAAAACTTGGTAAGCTCAAGACGATCGAGCTGGAGGATCCTGTGCTCTGAAAAACAAAAAGTAGAAGGAAAAGGGCCAGAGATTGTGAGTGTGATTGAAGAGAAGATAAAGATCGTTGAAAATGAACTGCTGAAGTTCTGCGATGAGGTTTTAGATATCATATCCACATACATCCTGAGTCTTGATGATGCAAAGAGGAATGCTGAGTACTGTATATTTTTTCTAAAGATGAAGGGAGATTACTACAGATACAAGGCTGAAGTTGTAGGTGGATCTGAACACAAAGATGCTTCTAAGTGCGCGGCAGAGTCTTATGAAGAGGCAACGAACAAGGCAAAGCCTCTGCCATCCACAAACCCCATAAAGCTAGGTCTTGCACTCAACTACTCAGTGTTTCACTATGAAATCCTGAACGATTCTGACAAAGCATGCCAGATTGCAAAGAGTGCATTCGATGAAGCAATCAAAGAGTTGGATGCATTGTCTGAAGAGCATTACCGGGATTCCACACTGATAATGCAGCTTCTGAGAGACAACTTGACACTCTGGACATCGCGTGAGGAAACTGGAGCAATGGGAGACGAGGGTGCAAAAGGAGAACCTGACGAATAATAAATAAGTTAATGTTCCAAATACGCTTATTTATATCTGTGCATTTTGATTTATTATGTTATTTAATGGTCCAACTGGAACTGTAATTCTTGCATATTCCTTGAAGCATACAACAGTCCCTTTTGAAGTATATAGTCTTCATAGAAAGCAGAAGGGATGCAAGTAAGTAAGGTTGGAAATATGCAACCGATCGAAGAGTCGGAGTCTTGTGCAGATTCAAAAAGCACGTCCGCCTCAGATGTTGAGCGAGTAAAGTCGCCATCCCTCGCATGGATCCCTGCATATCTGGCAGGATCTGTTTGCACAGGATTACTTACATATGTATTTCATGTGCATATTGCACCAAAAATGCCATTCGAGAGCCATCCAGACCTTTCAGCTGTGCTTTCAAGGCTTATCTTTTGTGCTCTATTTGGAAGCATGGTGTTTTGCCTCATCAGGCTTATACTAATATGTCTTGCAATAGCAATGAAGAGATCTGATGGAAAGCGGGGATTCGTACAGATAACACTCATAAAGCACGGAATGTTCATGAGTATTGTGACAACACTTTTTGTGCTTTCTTTTGTTGTTGAAACATACAACAGGAGAGTAAGCACTACTACATTTTTAAATGCATCCAGCGATCCTGTGCCTGTGCTCAAGGAAATCGTAGATATGGGAGTGAGTGATAGCGAGCTGAAGCAGACACTTATATCTGAAGAGAAAGCAAACGGTGAGCAGAAACCTCCAAAGACACTGGCAATGTTCCTTACTGAGGACCTGGCAAAAATATTACTTGCAAGCTCAGTGTTCTTTGCAATTCTTCTTTCAAAGGCAATTCTAATGAATGGTTTGAACTATAAGATGCTATTCAAAAACTATGAGTTCAGGATCAACAAGAATGATGAAGACATAAAAATTCTAGAGCAGCTCAACAGAGCAACAGGTAAGCAGATGATTGCAAATGCTGAAGAGTGGGCAGATGAGGTGTTCAGGTTAATTTCGCCAGAAGGCAAAGCCGTCGATTTGCAGACTCTCGAGTACTTCTTTGGCACTGACGATGCAAAGGCAATATTCAATAGATTCAGCATCCATCCAGATGGAAAGCTAACAAAGGAGAGTTTTTCTTTGGTTTACCAAGGAATTATCAATGAGGAGAAGCGGATAAGCAGAGGACTAACACAGAAGGTTTCAATAGTGAAGAAGCTGAATCTTGTGCTGTCTGCAATACTTATACCCGTTGGTGTATTGGCTGTGATGGCGATCCTTGGAAATGCAGATTCATTTGCTGGATCGCTTCCTGTGCAGTTTAGCACTATCATTTCACTCAACTTCATCTTTGCACCTATTATTTCCGAGGTGTTCAAGTCGCTTGTGTTTGTTTTCCTTGTTGAAGCATTTGATATTGGCGACAAGGTATTTATAGAGGGAGTTTTGCATGAAGTGCATGACATGGGACTGCTTTATACATCGTTTGTGGTGGACAAGAAGATCACGGTCATTCCAAACTCAAAGTTCATGGATAAGACTATTGTGAACCTCAGAGAGGCTAAAACGTCCCAGAAGACATTTGACTTTACATTCATGAATTCACCCGATCTTAAGGAAAAGATAGTCAAGCTGAAGGATGAGATCGAGAGAGAAGTCAAGTCAGATTCAAATGCATATACAGGCAAGTTTAATATCTGCGAGTATGTCCTCAAGAAAAACCTGACTGTTGGGATGAAGATAAATGTTGTATTCAGGATCCAGAACCAGAATATCAAGGCATTGAGAGCAAGGGAAGATGCATTCGTAATAGCACTTTATGGAATAGTCGGAAGCATTGGACTTCTACTTGAGTAGTTCATGAGTAAAGCATGGCAAAGATAATCAATAGAACCATACACTTAATATTCATGATTAGTAGAGCAATAGAAACAACCTCAATAAAACCATACACTTAATATTCATGTTACTTGTTATTTAATTTAAAAACGTGTTGTTACTGCATCATTTTGCTTCTTCATAGCATTTACCAACTACCGCATCCACTAACTACTTTCACATGCACTTTATAATTATGATGTGTGATACTCGAGCAGTTAGAGTCTATCTGAAAACGGAAGTCCAATATCTATCTTGCTGCGTATCACTTTTCCAAGCCCTCCATGGGCATTCTCGTCTTGTTTCTCACAGTTTCCATGTGTACATGTTTCATCAGGTACAATATGTAGATGTATCCTGCCCTTATTTACCAGGTCATCCAACATATTGTTCAACTTATCTTGATTATAATCAACCTCTTTTGGCATTATGCATGATCCGTCTTTGTTGTATCCATCTATACACTTGTGACCGTTATCTTTTCGTTTGATACGAGGATTTGTTGGCTCTTTGTCTGTTTGCGTATCCTTAGGCATTTCTGTTTGCTTGTTTGCCATATTATCTGTGGTTAGTATCATTGTTGGCCTAATAATGTTGTTATTCTTATCTCCATTCGTATTTATTTCATTTGCACCAATTTGTCTTTTATCTGCATCTCTCCATCCTTCATCGTTTATATCTCGTTCGTATGTTCTTTGCTCTGGCGGACTTGCTCGTTTGCTTGGGTGCGCTATTTCTGCTTCGTTTAGATATTGAGGTAAGTACACTGTTGTAGTTGATGCAGGCTCTGATCTCGTTGCTGTAACAGTTAGTGTGCGCTCGATTGGCGAATCTGCACTCCATAGGCCTTTGTGTATGCTAGGCTCTTCATCAGGTGAACTCTTGCGTCCATGCATAGGCATTGGCTCCTTTTCATCTCGGGTGTCCTGATAGTACTGATTATGCGCAGAAACTGGACGGTGTTGTGAACCTTGCTTTATATCTGACAAATTGTTATTTTCATCTGCCTTCTTGATAAGCTGAACCAAAGATTGTATTGCTGGTGCCATAGTTGAACTTTCTGGATTCTTGAATAGAAGCGTAACAACAGATCCAGTAGACGTGTGTAGTCGAATTGTTTTTGGTCTGCTTCTATCTTCACCTGTACTTGGACTATTATCGACATATCTGTCATTCCTATTGTTTAGCTTGTGCACATTCGATGTATCAGGATCATTTGTATCATCTTCATGAATGCGATTTTCGTTACCTTTTGGTATGCTTTTTGTCTTCAATTGCTTTTCATCACTGATCTCAGGAATCAAATAATCTCCAAAGCTCAGCTGTTTATGCTCTGCCAGTCTTTTTATATCTCTTGCAGTTTTTTTATTTGCTGCTGCTTCAGACATCAATCTGCTGTACTGTAATACATTCCGTCCAATCAGCATTCCATTCTTATTATTCTCATTATTATATGCTTTCCTATTCAATCTTCCATCCTCCACTTTATCTTTCATTCTTACTTGTTCTCTATCCATATCTTGCATTAAAATACGTTCTGTGTCAAATCGATACTCTTCAGAATTCACAGGTTTGATAACCATTACGTATCCTTGATCACCAATCTGTATGCTCTCTGATTGCTTACTATCACCCGCTTGTGTATATCTTATACTGCCTATCCCTTCATCATTACCAATGTGCTTGCTTTGGTCCTCTTCATCAGGTCTATCCGTATCTGTTGCTTCGCTTCTGATTCGCATCCTTGCAATCTCCACATTGCTGACATCCTTGCCAAACACATGCACCCAGTACCTATTTCCATCCTTTCCAACACACGTGGCAATTCCTGAGTATACATAATCTCCAAGAATATTGTTCCTGTGTTCTTCAGAACCCATCCATAGCTTTGCTACCTCTGTATAGTCATCGTCCTCTTGCTTTGCAATGTTTTCACCAACATTCAGTCCAACAAACCTGAACCTCTTCAGTCTGTCAGCAAGTGTATTTCCATCCCCATTAGGTCCTTCGTGCGTCAAAATCCCTCTTGTGCACATGTGTGTTGCCTGCATCTTCGCTGCATCATGCAATGAAGGCAGCTCATGTAACTCTTCCATCTTATGTCTCATCCGGAACTTGTTGACATATCCAAGCATGTCCTTCTCAAGCACAGCCGCTACACTTCCAAAAAAAAGCCATCTCACTATCATCCTCCAGATTCCTAAACCTTCCCCGTTTATAACAAAACTAAAACATCTCAAAACACACTTAAAACAAAAACTCGCATCAAATGTACCCGATTATGAACCTTCAAGCCAACAGGTTAAAGGGAGCAAATCGGCACTTTGGAATCTTGCAATTACTCACAAGATACAGGGGCTTCTCATTCACGTCTTTTTGTACTTAACAATAAATAATAATACAATATTTATTCAGGCCCGATTCTTCATTCCAGTATATATCCATTCATAAATACTTCTAAAGAACTTCTTATCATTACTCAATGGTGTTATAGTCAGATAATACTCGTTCAGTAAAACATTAAAATACATCGAAACCTTGAAGTAACATTCCAGACTGTCTTGCCTTACAGAGCAGAGATAGCTTTTCTCAGTAGCTTCATATGCAATTCCATTTATGTTGAATATGTCAAGCAGGATCTTCTTGATTGCGTTCTGGCTGCCTATGTGCTTAACTCGTATTCCCTTAAAAAATCCCTTGAGATACGTTTGCCGGATCCTTGGATATCCTATTTCTCTGCATCTACTGCTATGGCTATTGCACAACGACTCCTGGTTTATTGGTGCCAGTAAGTGTTTGGTCTTTCCATGTCCAGAATACATTTCATTATCACTAGAAAGCGCAAATCTTACAAACTCATGTATGTCTTCCAGTTGATTACCGTTCTTCCATTCACCTTCACCCTCATCGTCTAGATTCTCTTCTGTGCCTCTAAAGCTCTCACAGGCAAGATAATACAGTGAAATCACCGGCCTTCTCGACCAATATGTTTGCTCCAGTGTTCTTACGTCCTCTTGGCATATCTTGTGGAATCTTCGCACTTCTCTCTCCATGTTTGGAAACTGGAAGCGCATCGCTCTCGATACCTTCCTGATACAAAGTTCGTTGATCTTCATCACAGGACATCTTCTTGACACATGGCTGTTTATCTTGCACTTCTTTCCATCATTCACCCACTTGCTTGAAATTATCTGATCAAGGCACAATCTAGACGAGGGCTGTGCAAGAATCATCCCACGAATCAGCTCAGATGCATCCTTAGATATCGTCTTGCAAAAGGAAAAATCCGCTTGCTTGATCTTCTCTTGTAATCCCTGTACATTCTCATCGTCAAATGGCACACATCCACACAAAAGAACATACAAGACCACGCCCAGACTCCACACATCAATCTCAGGTCCACAATATCTCTGTCCAAATAGAAGCTCAGGCGCTGCAAAGTACAGGCTCCCACAGAATGTATTCAACAGCATCTTGTTGTCGTAGAAGTTAGAAAGCCCAAAGTCAATTAGCTTGACATTATTGTCCTCATCAATTAGTACATTCTCTATCTTCAGGTCTCTGTGCACCATCGAGTTTCTGTGAATGTATTCAATGGCTGAGAGAAGCTGTCGGAAATACTTCTGTGCATCCTGTTCGCTCAATGGACCTTCGTTCAGCACAATGTCGTATAGTTGACGACCATTCACATACTCAAATATCAAGAAATAATGTGTTGGACTATATAGGAAGTTTTTTAGCTTCACAATGTGTGGATGGTTCAGAACAGATGAAATGACAACCTCTCGGAATATCCTTTGATCGCATCTTATTTCAGTCTCACTGTCGTTTCCATCAACAATCCTTCTTGGCACAATTTTTATTGCAACCTTTTCGCCGTTGCGGATGTCGCATCCAAGCACCACCTTGCTGCTACTTCCTGTACCAAGCTGCTTAACGAACCTGTAGTTTCCTATCCATCTGTTTTCGATGTAGTCGAAGTCTCCTATCATCCCCTTCATTTCCTGTTCAACAGATGGGCTGCTTGGTGCATTTGCATCAATAGAGCTGTTTATTTTGTCATCTGCTTTAATTTCATCCGAGCTGATGTAACTCCACTGCGACTCTTCTTCTCCATCCATGCCTACTGCATGCATGCACTATTTATGAATAGTTAGAGCACAATTGGATGCTTGTGCTTGGCTGTCAAATCAGAATCCACGCTTCGCTCTATCTATGTCGTTCTTTATGCTAATTAATCCAATCATGCAGCAATATACTCACTAATCAACTCAAACTAATCAACTGCACAGTTTAATCAAATGGTTTATTAACTCAAACAGTTAATCAATTAACTAGCACATTCATATTTACTCAGCAAACCTCTTGTTTAGCATACCATAACTCACAGGTACATGTATTCATACAATAAAGTGCTTGCACTATACTCAATGAGCTAGTTACATTATTCCATGCCATCCATTGTGGCTGTTTGCTCTGAATCTTTCTTCTCTTTATTCTTTGTACCTATTGCCATGCATTCATCTATAGTTATGCTTTTCACCTTATTCCTTGTTGCCTTGTCAGCAAGAAACTTGTCAAATGATGACTCCATATTCAGCTTCTCAGTCGCATGCTCTTTCTTGTCATCTTCCTCACATCCTATCTGTGAGTCAACAAACGGTGTTCTGACATGATCTATTTCCGCTTGGAATAGGTCATGACCAATCCCAATATCAGGTACCTCCATCTGAGGCTCAATAAGAAAGTTATATTCAAACCAATTGCCTCCAGGTCCACTCATATATGACTCCTCAGATGACTCTTGTTCAAATCGTTCTTTTGAATTCCACTGACTCTTTGCAGAAGTACGTGCCTTGTTGCTGTCAATAACACAATTTCTGTACTTCTGCGTCACTATATCCTTTGCACATTTGCACTTCGTATAGTCCGCATGTATCTTCTTGAACAGCTGTTGATGTGTTGGATGTGCTCCACCAACCGGTTGTTGCACTTGGAAATTAGTTCTGACTGAGCGTGCTCCATTGCATTTCGAAAACTCATCAAGGTATTTCTTGAATATTTCAATCATTCTTGATTTGCTTTGTACATGCTTAAATTCTTGAACCACATTGTTTTTTTTCATGGTAAACACTAATGCAGGCTCATCATCAACAACAATCGGTCTCATTACGTTTTCATATAACACTCCATCATTCTCATTGCTCTTGCTGCATACATCATACATATAGTCGCTTATATCATTCATTCTTTTCATACTGTGTCTCAGAAGCTCGTGCTTTACTTTCTCCATAAATTCATTAATCTTATAGTTATGATTGCTGGAATCCATGTTAGCAGCAACAACACATCTATCTACAGAATAGTTCTGTATCTCTTCTTCAATGAATTTCCGCACAACATTTCCTTTCTTCCGCCGCCTTTCAAGCCTCTTGGCTACTTCCATCATTTTTTGCTCCCGATACCCAATCTCCCAATCATGCGTAAAAACAACCTTCTTCGATTGCCTTAGAACATCTTTTAGCATCACCTCTCGTGCTTCAGTTACATAATCAACAAACATCCTCATCTTTTCATACTCACTCACAGCTTTTACACCATTAGATTGCATTGGAATCTGCACACATCGTTTCTTATTGTGAAAGTACCTCACATCTTTCTCAAACTCATGGAGAATATATGATGTCTTCTCAGTGTACCTCTCAGACTGAATCTCACATGCAATAAGCTTCATATCATGTGTCAGCTTGTCTATCTGTTGCTGTTTCTTCTGTTTTTCTACAATACTGTTCTGTACCTCTTGTTCTACGTTTCCCTCCATACTGCATTTGTCTTCTGTTTATTTATTTTTGTCCGTATACATGTATTGTATATGAATGTGTGCAAGCACTGCTGAACAATCAACTTAACAACCATTGACGATATAAGCAAAATAAACTGAAATATCATTCATAATAGACAGTTGTATGCTCAGTTCATAAAACAGCATCACAAGCAAATCATGCAATAGCAAATGATCCCCACAGTTCATGCAGTTGAGTTTCTTGAAAAAACTGGTTACGTTTAGACAAGATTCATATGCAGAGTTTGTTGATGCATTTGCAAGCAGCACCATCAATAGTGCAATAGAGATTGCAAAGAAGATGGAGAGCACAGAGCCGTTATTTTTGGTTGCATGCCGTCTTCTTGATGTGATAAGCAATCCAGGCGATCTATTGAAGAAGAATCTGTTTATTGCATCCATCAGACGCACAGGAGTAAAGACATGCACTATATGGATGCTATACAAGAAAGGTATCCTAATAAAAGAGCTGTTTAAGTATCTCGATACAAAAAGCACGAGGGATTACATATACTACCTTAGCCTGAAGGAAGTATTTCTGCATGGGCATTATATGCTGATGGAAAAGGGAAACATGCATGAATGCATAGAGTATTTGCTGGATAATCTGGATGACTGGGATTTGTATAAATATGCACTGGACAACGGTATAAAGCTTAAATCCAGGAGCAGCATAAATCACGAATATTACCTTTTGCACATGCTTGGAGAAGAAGACAGAGCAAGCAGATTGATTGAATCAAGAACATGCATTGAGGAGATATCAAGAATCGCACAGCTTGGAAGCTTAAAATCGCATCCTGACGCAGTTATTAATTGTATTATTGAACTTGAGAGTGTTGGATTTAGCAGTGAATTGTTAAGAAGAGCATACGGCGTTTACATGAATGAAAAGTCATTTTTGAGTGTGAAGATGATAGTTGCTTGTCTTGTGGCATTTAAGAAGGCTGAGATGCTTGTTCTTGCACTTTACATCTCGTTCAAGCACAGAGATGAGTTTGAGCAGAACTACGAGATTCATGTGATTTATATGTTTCTATGCAGATACTTTTGCTTTTACACATGTGTTATTGATACCATGAAGCTGTTAAATATCAAGAATGTTCAGATTGTGAGTATGTCATTTATATGGTCTGACATATTGTTCACGAGACAGATTGAAACTCAGAACATCACCAGCTATGAAGCAGTGGAGATGAATAAGAGAATATGCGAAGTTAATGAAGCGATTGAATGCAGTGTGGATGAACTTGGTAAAGGATTAAGGTATTTGATTACATCAGGAAATCTTCCGCATGCGATTGATGCAACAGAGTATAGGAGATCTCTTATAAACTGTGCAACAGTGCGTGAGATGCGTGAACGGAAGATCGCTGCTTCTGAAGCAAGTAATGCATTCTGCGGTATGCTTGGAAAGTCAGCAAGATATTTGTTTGAAAAGATGACGACAGAAAAGATTCCGACGAGTGCAAGCATGTTTTTGACTGACAAAGATGTGTATACTCCCGAGTGCTTGGAAAGCTTGTTTGAAAACGAATTGTGTAGAATTGATGACGAAGCGTTCTGTATGCTTTTCAAGTCTTGCATGGCAAGGAGTCTTGCAGATAGTAGATTAGAGAAATAAAGCTTGTGGAAGTATGAGTTGTTTAAAGAGAGTGGAGAACGATTGTTATGCAAGGAGGTTATATGAAGTTTATTTTGGCAGCCTGTTAATGCTTGAGGGTATTAGAAGGGAAATGAAAAATTTGCCCTGAAAATGGAGCAAGTGATGACAGAGGCGCCTAGATCGTCAGTGAAGAAGCAGGAGTATATGAGTAGGATGGACGAGATTAAGAAGATACAGGAGAAAGAGATGGAGCAGAGGAAGATGGTAAACATGAAGTATTCGGAGGAGACATCCAGGAAGTTGTTGAGCAGGTACTATCAGCAGGAGGCAGAGATTTTGGACAAGAAGGCAGAGATGATGAATGGGTTTTATGTGCCTAAAGATTCTGAGTTTTTTGTAGCAGTGCTAATTAGGTCTAAGTGCAAGATTGCACCAAAACCACGCAAGGTGCTAGATTTATTCCGATTGACCAAGCTAAACACTTGTGTGATAGTGAGGAATAACGAGTCAAACAAGAAGATGCTCAACATTGTGAAGGAGTATGTTGCGTATGGAACTATTGATATGGAGTTGCTAAGGAAGTTGGTTTATACCCGAGGGACTGGAAGGAATGGAAAGCTGCGTATGAAGCTGACAAATGAGGTAATTGAGGATATGTTTGATGGAAGGATACGATGTATTGAGGAGATAATCCACTGCATATACAACGGAACTGAAATGTTTAAGGAGGTGAACAACTTCTTGTATCCTTTCCACCTGAATCCGCCTGTTGGAGGATTTAGGCAAAAGAAGACCAGGAATTTTAATGAGGGAGGATGCCTTGGAAATCATCATGATCTGCTGCATAAGCTTCTTGAGAGGATGATCTAATAAAACCGAGTTGGCTTAAGTTGTTTTTGTTGTTTTAATGCTTAGCACAAGTGCTTGTTCAGAAAGGAATGTCGTTGGACGTGAATTGAGTGATATATTATTGATGAAAATAATTAACTGCCCAATTCGGGATGGGTATGAATGAGCTGAGCAGACTGAAGAAGCTGTATCAGATAGAGGAGAGCAGGTTTGCAGAAAGACTGAAAAGACACGAGGACTTTGGACACATGATGGACTCTTATCAGTTTTGCCTTGAAGGGATACTGCTGAAGAGGGAGGAGATGTTTTACAAGTACGATGTGTGTGGCACAGGAATTCTGGACTACAGCACGGATAATGTATTGGGATTCGATCATGAATTCATAAACAAGAATGCTAGCGAGGTCAGCTGGGGAGGAGAGAGTGGAGAGAAGCTGTGCAATCAGAATGAGAATTGCGAAAGCAAAGGCAAGGTATTGCATAATGATAATAGCAAGCAGATTGTAATAAAAGAGGAAAAGGGAGATGGAAGAACCAAAATAGTTGCAGAAGAAGGCGAGAGCAAGCCAAGGATGTCTAAAGATAAGCGGACGAAGGGAGTCAGAATATATGCATGTGACATTGATGGATGCAGCAAGAAGTACACATCATCGTTTGGATTGAAGTATCATATGAAGGAAGGCCATTCGGAAGAGAAGATGAACATAATCAAACCGTTTGGCTGTCCATTCAGTGGATGTGATAAGAAATACAAAAACAATAATGGCCTTAAGTATCATATAAAGCATTATCATGATGAGACGTCATGAGTTGAATTGATATGAGATGCCTTGAGTTGAATTGATATGAGATAACATGATATGAACGGATATCCATTTAATAAAGAAGTTATGGTTAGAATGTTAATGTGATATAAGATTTAAATGTAATAATGGATTGCCGAATGATTCCAATACTATTATATTTATATTTTATGTTTGCATACTTCGTATATTTTATTCGCGTATTTGCATGTTTATGCTTACGTTTTATTCTCACTTTTGCATATCTATACTATTGTATACCTTATTCATTCATTTATTTATTTACTTACTTACTTTATGTTCATGCTTTGTATACTTTGTTCATATGTTTGCATACTTATACTATTGCATGTTATTATTTTGTATACTTTATTCACTTACTCACTTATGATTTATTTGCTTATGTAAAATCCCTCAAACTCTTCTAACAATGTCTAAACATACATTTATATCAATAACAAACTACACATACAAATCTACTCTACTATGCATAACCATCACAATTAAATCCGTTATATGACAAGCTTATGATTGCAACCTTTTTAATCAAAGACTACCACTATTCTCGGGAATTCGTCATCATCATCCGTAACTACATCTAATATCACTAACATCTGTCCTGGCTCCCTCTTAACAAGTTCTCCAATCGTTTTTTCAAGATTGTCAGCATACTTCGAATCAAAGTCCCAATACACAAGCACATTTCCTGCAGTAACCATCGAGATTTTCTTCTTGAATTGAATCTCAAACGCTTCCAAGATCGTTCCCAGCTTCGCATCCTTGTACTCTAATCTACTCCACAGCGTATATGTATACTTCTTATTCTCAATCTTGTAGGTCTGCTTCTGAGGCTCCATCGGGTCCGTACTTGCAAAAAACGGTAGTGCAAGGTTCAAAAACGAATTCTTGAATTTCGTATGCTCAACTCCAAATGCTTGCTTCATCATTTCCAGAATCGCAAGTCCAGACACAACCGCAGTCGTCGTAGCTATTGCCGGAATAATCCTTCCAGCAATCCCTTTCACCGTTAGTCTGTCAACCTGCCTTATCTTGTAATTTGCTGCTCTCAGGTTTGCTGCTGCATAAACAAAGTCCACATGGAAATTAGCATCGTCATCTTTCTCAAAAGATGCTGGTATAATACTTTCAGGATCCATACACCCTTTGAATCCTGTTTCTTCTACCACCCCTGAAGAACTTCCAGGAACATCCTCAACCAAAATCTCGTTCTTCACAAGATCAACAACCATCTCTTTAGATATGCTCTTTCCAATTCCAAAGTTAAATGCAAAGATATTCGCTGCACTCTGAACAAACAGAATATGAAGTTCATTCGACACATTAAAACTGATAGTCACAGGTGGCCTCTTCGGTGGCATCCAGAACGGTTGCCCCTCCTTCGTCTTCGAATCAGGTGGAAACGCAGTAACTAAGTTCTTAATAGACGTGTGAAATAACTTCACAAACAGCATAATCCCATTCCTTATGCAATCCTTCTCATCAAACGGCATCTTTTCAACCAGATCCTCAATTGTCTCATTATTCGTATCTCTTGTTCGACCTCCAGAATCAGACTCACTCTCATCTTCGCAGTCTTTACTCCTACTTAGGTATTCCTTTATCTGATTCACCTGGTCATGGAACTTAAACTCAAACTCACTCCTTGCCCACTCAATTGTATGCTCAATCGAATGAGGAAAGTTCTTGATCGTACAGAGTGGAATCGACTTCTCCGGTGGGTCCTGACTAGATCCATAGCTCTCCGTATGGAACGGAACAATCACCTGAACATTCCCCTTCGTTCCAGATGTCCCTGCATCAACAAGAAACTTCCTATTCACCACACATCTCTCATCAACATACAATCTTGCATCAACATTATCAAGAGCAGTAGCAATCACATTCACTGACTGAAACATCCGATCACTAAACACCGCTTCAGTCTCCCTTCCAACCTTCAAGTTATAATAGACTAGATTCGGTTGTAGAGATGTTGCTCCAGATACTCCATTCATCAGATCAACTGTCTTTCTTACTTCATATCCATCAACCTTTAAAAAGTCCTCATTCAGCGTAGTTACCTCCCTCACAGCTACCTCTGCCTTCATTTTCGACACATCACACGATCTAAATAGAAACTGTCTGTTCAGATTCGATTGCTCAATAGCATCCATATCAGTCACGCTAATCCTCCCATCTCTTCCTATCCCACACATAACCATGTTCTTCAGGTGCTCACATCCAATCGCTCCCGCTCCAACCATAAAGACATTCAGCTTAAACAACTTTTCAACATTCTTTCTTCCAATGCATCGGATCATAGGCGCATATCTACATTCATCGCCATTCATGCATCGATTATCACATTGTATATCCTTGGTGTGCTCACACTCTCCATCACTCTTAGATTCATCAGGAATCACATCAATTGCATCAAAATAGAAAAATTGCTGCAATGGCGTAAATTTGCTTCCAATCGCCTTCAACACCTCCTGTGCCACAAATCCCCCAACTACTGAACACATCGGCATCAGCATTCCTCCACATTGCCTTCCAAATTGTCTAATCAACCCTTCAAATTCAAAATGGCTTCGGTACTTCTTCACAAACACTGAAAGAAACTCCTCTCCACTTGGCATCTGCTTGTGTTGTTCAATATACTCTCCTAAAACAACAAAACATTTGTGAATAACAAGGTTTCGTTCACCAACCTCATAGTTGAATCCAAGAATCCCAGGATTCTCAACTGCCACACTCAGAGGCTTGAATGATATCATTGTAGGCTTCTTCTGTTGTTCAAAGTCTCCTCCATACACTGCCTTGAACTTCTCTTCCTTAAACTCAGTTTCCTCATCAAACAGTCTTACTCCATCTACTGCCTGCAGCTTCACCTGTATAGGTGACATAACCTTCACACGGAAATATTTTCCTTCATACTCCTCACATTGCGTCACCTTAATTATGTCCATATCCTCAAGATTGTGCCTTTGCTCATCAACTACAGTCATCACTCCTTCACAACTTATGTCATTGATCATCCCACTCACTGGAATCTCCCCCGTCCTGTCAACACAGATAAACTCAGCTCCAAAGTCACAAAAAACCTGAGAAAACAATCCTTGCACTTGGCATCCAATAAACATGCATCCACTCTGTCTTGCTTTCTCATTCATTCTCGTCTGCTCCACATATCCTTCGTTACATACTACAACTACGTCATATCCTTCAAAGGTACTTGGCTCCTTAACCACCTCAACACTCACATACTCATTCATTGCTTTAAACCTCTCCAGAACACTAACATCCTTAGGCCTGCCAATATCGCTCCTTCGGAAGTAGAATCCAGTGCACAGATCTTCCTCTGCAACTGTACTCTCATCAAAAAGCGCTACTCTGCTCACCCCCGCCAGGCATATATTCTTCACTACCTCCTGCCCAAGCCCATCAAGCCCAATAACAAGAACTCTGCTCCTCATCATCTTCCTCATTGCATCCTTGCCAACAACATACAGCTGCCTTGAGTACAGAGACTCGTCTATTTCTGCATCGCCATTGTTTTTCATCCAGGGATAAACACTGTGTGTTTTAAGTCAGGCTCATTGTATCAAAACAACAAAATTTGTTTCTTATTTTATTTCTTCTACATTCTTTAGCTGCATCCTCTCCACAAGCACCATTTCAAATCCATCCTCACTAAAGAAAACTAAAGCCATCTCCTTGTTTGCTGATGCGCAGGTCCTTTGAATACCTATAATATCTTGCATACAATATCCATCATCAATCAGTACACCATAACGAGAGTGTACCTTAGAGGGACTATCCGTGTACAATAGTAAATCCACTCCATACTTCAATCCGTCCCCAACCACAAATCCTTCCTTCATGAATGCATTCCTTAGCACTTCTCTTAGCTGTGCTCGAACCCCGGGCATCACTTCATGCATAAAATTCGCTCATAAATCAAAAATTATCGCATTGTCAATTAAGGATTCACATACTGTACATCGTTCTATTCAGATCACTTATGAAATTAGAGTTATATGTATGTTTTCATTAACATAATACATTCATCTTATCATTATCACAGTACGTTAACATAAGGCGTTCATCTTATCAATCCAATACATTAAAACAATACATTCATAGTATCAGTATAATCATCAATCCAATACCATTCCTAAATATATAACAATTCACAAGGTACTCTGTTCCTATATCCCAAAACGTTTCTACAACACTTCAAAATCAATTGAAGAGCCCTTTTTAACCCAATCATACACTCCGTCATTCCTCATTCCCCTCTGTCTCAACGCATCACCCAGCAAAGCTCTCAAGTATGCATAATTCGGCATATCTTCATAACCAAGATTGCGCACATAGAAGCAGAACGAATGAATCTCCTTGGGTAAGCCCATACACAGCTCATACAAAGAAATACTCTCCTTGCTCTCGCGTATTTTGTCATACTTCTCTTGCTTTGTCTTTGCTTTCAGTCCTTGCCAAGGGAGTCTTCCCTTCAAAAAATACACCATACAGAATCCAACACTTTCAAGATCGTCCCTTCTGCTCTGTTCATATCCTTGATGCGTGCGCAGAGACGCATACCTTGCTGTTCCTGTCAAGGACTTATCCGTTTGTATCTCCCTATGCTTGAATGTTGCTGGATTTCTAAACTCCTTTGCAAGTCCATAATCAATCAAATACAGTCTTTCTCCTTGTATGTCAAACACAAAGTTATCCGGTTTAATGTCTCTGTGTACATAGTTTCTGTGGTGCAAATACTCTATGCTATCAACCATCTTTTCTCCCAGCATCAGCACTGTTTTCATCGAAAATTGCCTGTTTGTACTTGCAAACAGTTGCTCCAAAGACTTCCCAAGCAATTCCATCACCAGCCCATTCACATAAACATTCTCATATAAAATCTTCCCATACTCATAGACCTTGGGTGTGCAATGACTTCCAAGCACCTTATACACTCCATACTCATGCTTAAGCTGTCCGTACTGGGATTTCTTCTCAAGCTTTACCGCCACTTTCTGATTCGTTGCCATGTTCTCGCCAAGATATATCTCTCCGAATGCTCCAGATGCAATCTTCTCTAGTAGCCTTATATTCCGTATCTCTGTTGTCATTACCTAGCCTGATGGGATAACAAAAAGATTTATTTCGCATCATGCTACAGTTTACATGCATAATCTTAAGTATACACGCATGTAATAAACACAACGTAATATACCACACGTATTTGAATATCAACATATTTGTTCTAGTTATAACTCATATGCTAATTATTCATACAATTTGTATTCATGCATTTATAACTTATGCATATTTATCTTTTTTCTCTTCATGTGTATGCACAAAATCGATCTTGTGGATGCCCTGACAAACACAAATGCTACGAGAGCTTCAGAAACAGAAAATAAAAAGCTTTCTATTGCTGCCATCCAATCCTTGGAAGGTTTTAGTCATTGATGAACACACGCAGCAAATTCTTTCTCCTCTCATGAGGGTCAATGAGCTGAGGGAGTGTGGAATAACAGTACATTTCCTTACATCACAGAAGAGGCATCCTATCAGCAATACACCTGCAGTGTACTTTGTATCAAGCACAAATGGGATCGCAGAAGACGTGCTTGCAGAACTTTACTCTGAGTTCTACCTGAACTTTTCTTCAAATATAGGAAGGAAGGAGATTGAACAACTGGGATTTGTACTATCTGAAAGGGGATATGGATTGAGAATAAAGTCCGTATATGACCAATTTGTGGACTTTATTGCACTACAGGATGATATGTTTACACTTGGAATGTGTAACAGCTTTGTAGATATGGCAGATCCAGAGACATTGAGGAAGACTGTGACGTGCCTAATGAGTGTTTTTGTGACACTGGGCGAGATTCCGTTTGTTTTGTGCAAGGACGATGATGTTTCAATGCAGATAGGTAAGATGCTTGAATCGAAGATACGCAACACGAAAGTGATTAAGAAGACTACTAAGAGACCATTGTTAATACTTGTCAATAGAAATTATGATGTGATTACACCTGTGCAGCATGTGTGGAGTTACAATGCATTGATGTGCGATCTTCTGGAGCTTGGCGCCAATAAGGTTTCAATGAATGACAAAAAAACATTTGATTTGGATCCACAGGACAGCCTATGGAGAAAATGTAGCAATGAATATTTTCCAGTGGTTGTGGAGTGTGTTGAGAAGGAGCTGCTTGAGTACAAAAAGGAAATGGCACTGAGGAGTGTGGATGAAAAGACAGACAAAAAGACAATACAAGAAGTTCTTGAGAAGGCGCCAGAACTTGCAAAGAGAAACGAGTCTGTAAATGCACATATTTCAATATGCTCTGAAATGGTGGAGATAATAAAGGAACGATCAATTGATGACTTTTACAAGGTTGAGAAAGGTGGATACACTACGCAGGAGTTGCTGGAGGTTTGTGAAAAGGGCAGCGATCTTGACATATTAAGACTTGCAATCGTTATGCTTGGTACAAAAGACGCAGATCTTGTTGATCCACTGCTTCAGAAAAGAAAGATAAAGTCGAATGTGATTGATTTCTTCAGAAAACAAAAGAGAAGCACCACAGACAAAGCAGGAACACTGTATTCACAGGTTGTCACAAACCTTATGGGAAATGTCAAAAAACTACTCCCTGTGAAAGAGCAGACACCTGTGTCATCTCTTGCAGAGATGATTTATGGATCGATCAAATCTCAGGACTATTCAAGCATGAAGGTATTCGACCCTTTGGGATCAAACACAATATATCCAGGAGAGGTTTCAAAGGTGGTGGTTTTTTGTGTAGGGGGAGGCACATACACCGAGCTTAAGACATTGAAACTTGCCGAGGAGAGACTGGGCGTGCCTGTGATATATGGATGCACCGAGGTCCTGAATGCAAGTGTATTCCTTAAACAGATTGAGAGATTGCTTGAGCAAGATTAAACTGTTGTTTTATTGTATTTTTGTGCATTTACTCAACTTCTGCTCAGCCTCTATCATTGAGCTGCTGCTGTCCATAATCTTAATGTATTGTGAGATCAATGAGCTCCTTCCTCGGAACCTGATTTTGCTAAATGCTTTCTGTACAAGATACTTCATCCATAGAACATTGCTTTCTGGTATAAATGCTTTCCAATCACTATGGCTTAGTAAACGCATCTGTTTATATACTCCAAACTGTATATCAGTTTGTTCATCACCTTCAAAGAGCCATTCTTTTGCATTAAGGTCTTCATAGATCACTTTTCCATTGCTTTTGATTCTACTGAGTGAAAAATCTATCAAGTTTACTTTTTCACTGTTGATGAGTATGTTTCCCCAGTGTAAGTCTCTGTGCTCAAACTCATACTTCGTTTCAAGATTCGCAAGTACCTTTGCTACATTCTTTAGAAATCTGTTTATTTCAGCACAGTTTGTAAACTTTGTATCTTCAAGACTTACTCCTCCGTCCGCCATAACTAACACTCCATACTCCTGTTCATCATTGTATTTACATGGCCTTTCGTTCTCTTCCTCTCCATATTCATCCCATGCACGCAGGTACTCTTCCGAGTATCGCCCATTCAACAGAAACACATCCACAAGCTTGCACACACCTTCCTCCTTGCAGATTGTTTGAAATATACTCGACTCTTTGAGAAATGACTTTATGCATGTTTCTTCTGATGAATTTCCTAACGGAATAATCTTGTAAACCAATGTGCCATGTGCAAACACTTCGCTGAATGTTGCTTCTCCAATCTTTCGTACATCCTTTGGCATCTGATCAAACCGAATTCTTTTCAGATGCTGTATATCTGCATATATGTCTTCTGAGTGCATTTGAGAATGTGATGTTTCGTCTACTTCGCCACGTGCTTTACGGAATGTTATATTGTCTATCTGCTGTGCTTCTATACCAACCACATCTTCCTCATTAAACACGTTAATAAAGCTTAAGAATCCAAGCTCCTTGTAATCCATTTCATCAGAAAGCGACTCTTCATGAATAAGTTGGCGTGTAGCTATACAATCGTTTGTTTTTTCTTCATTCAATGTGTTTATATTCTTTTCTTGATTATCATCATATTTGTTATTTGCATTACTGTATTTATTACTTGTGTATTCTGCATTACCTGTATACTTTTTATTAGTACATTTATTACTTGAATTACTAGATGTACTATTTGTATATTCTGTATTATTGTATTTATTACTTGTATATTCTACATCACTACATTTATTACTTGTATGTTTTGGCTTCAATTCAGAATTACTTTCAATGTAGTCAATGCAATTATCAACTTTATCAGCGCTTGCTTTAGAACATACTGTGGATGAATTGAAAATAGCATTTCTGGCTTCAGGTCCAATGCTGATAAGCGTATTGGAGCACGATTCTTCATCTGATGCAATCAATGTAAAATCACATGCCGATCTTTCATCAGAACATAGGTTATCGTTCTGCATTGATATACCAGGATCTACAGAGATCATCGAACTGCTTGTATTCGCCAGTTTTGTCTTGATTGTATCAAATGCTCTTCTCATGTCTTCATATGTGCTGTTGTGTGCAGACCACTGATTGCTTCCAAATCTTCTCATGTATACACATAGGGTATGTGCATTTCACAAGTAGCCTGTTGCATGCACAAAGTGCTTTGTCAAAGCATAGCTGCACACCCTGTGATGCATGAACGAGATGTGATTGCAAAAATAGAAAAAATATTTGAGATTGAGGATCCAAGTGTGGTTGCTGGAAGTACAAAAGATGCCATTAGCGAGATACTCGAAGGAGCGGTATTCCCAATATCTCATCCATTCTATACCGACTTCATCCTGTTTAGTCTTGACGTGCTTTACCCAGATGTTGAGGATGCATTGAGACTTTTGAAAAACTCTGGATTTACTAAGGAGCAGTTTGAGGCATCTGGACTGCGTAAGGCTATTGAACGTGCTGCACAGGTAAATGGGGCATGCGTGGAAGAGGTGTTGAAGATGTACGATGACTCCATGCCTAAGAGGCGAAAGAAGGTATCATGGGATGCAAACCTGATTACAATTAAAGAGATTGAACGGACTGTCATGGAGTCTGATGTGCAAGATGTAGTAGAAACACTGCGTAGAGATCCAAGATCATCTAAAAGAAATGCAAATGTACATGGCAGCCCGAAACACACAAATATACAGGAAAGACAAGAGCTGAAATGGATAAAGCCAATCAAAATTGATACTGAAAAGATATTACAGAAGTCATCAGGAATGATTGAGGAGGAAATAAGAGAATCAAGTACAATAATGATGCAGAATACAGAAGAGCATAGGAAATTCACACCTGTGAATTGCACCACATCCACCTATTCAATTACTGAAGAAAACGAAACAAAAATAATTCCAGTCATTACATTTGCAAAAGGAAAGGCATTCTTTGATTTCAAGAAGATAGTTGAGGAAAGACATATAAACAAGGATGTAATCAATCAAATTCTAGATGATGCAGATGTCATTTCTGCAATTATCCTGGCAAAGACATGATTTTGTAAGGATGCAGCATAGAAGCATCTAGTAAATGAACACCGTTGGATTGGTATCATGATAGATGCATGAATATTGCTAAAGATTTAATATCACATGTGTTTTTTACGTTTATGTGGCGCATGTAAATGAACTATCTGTAGTAGTAGTGAAGGAAAGCCAAGATGAACGACATGCAAAGTAGTAGAATAAACATGAATCTGCGAAACAGCTTTCCTGACTCGCCAACTTTATCGAGTACATTATTTCCTTTTGAAACGCAGTTACCAGCCCTTGATGCAATGTCCACAATACCATCTATTCTTTCATCCTGTAGAGTTAGATGCTCAAATATTGTGTCTTGCAGGGCTTCAACCTCGAGAAGCCTTTGCCTTGTGAGCCTGTATCCCTCGACATTATACTTTTCAACCAATCTTTTGTTTTCTTCTTCCATTATCTGCACCTGGTCGATTTTTTTGAATGTCTGTGGTCTTTCTGGATTAAGATCCACAGGGACACTCATCTTTTTGTCCTTGAGCTTTGATATCCTGCTTTCAAGTGTTTTCAACTTCATGCGGATGATCTTCTTTATGCCTTCAAAGTGAAGGATAAGGTCATCTGAGCCCTGTAGAGAGATTGAATCGATTGTGTGTTGTGATTCAGATGACAGTGACGAAAATTGTTCTTCCACTGCAAGCAGCTCTTTGTATGATAGGGACTTTGTAAGTCTTTTGTTGATAAGTTCTATTTTTGTGATGATTGCATCGTAGAATGTTTTTTCTGACGATTGAAGAGGAACCTGAGCGCCTGTGTCTATGTGTTTTATATATTCATCTGTCCTATCCATGGGGATTCTGATTCATGCGAATAAAAGTAACTATGAGCCCATGCGAATGAGCAGATGTGATGTAGCTTTGAGGATCTTTGAAGCGACTGGGAATTCATTTGTTGTTGGAAGTATAAGTGTGCTTTTAAGCAACGCTCTAAGAAGAGAAGGATGTAAGTGAGAAGTAGTTAATTTGAGCAAACCGAAGATTAGTGATTGAGCAACCAGTCAGGAATGGAGGAGAGATGGCAAAGCAGTCGATGGTGTATTCGCTGATTGGTTGTGGATTGAATATGTTGGGTATTTCAGGATATGCTAAGCAGTTATTTGCACCTTTTGCTTCATCTTTTGTGTGTGGACTGAGGAATGGGAGAAGGTTTGGAGTAAAGAATGCAATGAGCGGACTGTTAGGTTCATTTGGATATGAAATGATTAATAAAGCAAGAGGGTATTAATGCTAGGCTTTACGATGCAAATGATTGTGAGAGAGATTATGCCGAGAAAATTGAATAAAGTGAAAAAATAGCCCCAAATGGATGGAGAAGAAGTGCAACTCATGGAGATGGCAGATCGTGTATGGAGTAGAGCCGATGAGGATATGATGAGTGTGCTGCGGCAATATGTGTTTGAGCACAGGTTTGATATGAGACATGTGATGAAGTTTTACGACGTATTTACTAGAGGTCGAAGATGCAAGGGGGGTGTATATGAGGTATTTGAAAGCTATTTTGTACAGGAAAGGATGTATGATGAGGTGCTTGAGTTGTACAAAAGATGGATGAGTGCAATGAAGATGGAGTATGAATTTGAAGAGAATATGCGCTTTTTCAGGTGTTTTGAGAGGATGTATGATGAGGGAGATTCTATAATGCGTGAGAAGATGAATGAGAGTGCTGCAGTGATTTTACTTGATCTTTGTAGACTGCTGTGCAGTAATGCAGCAGAGTATGAATGTTATGTAGTGAGTAAGAGGATAAATGAGATATTTGTGCAGATGGGGATGACGGTATGGGAGATGACGGAATATTTTAATGTTCTTAGTGAGATTTTTATTGAGTCTAATATGCTTTTTTCGTATTTGAATGTGGTAGGCATGCTTGTATCTCAGGATGCAAATGCAATGAGCATGCAGAGCAGTCTTGATGACTTTAAAGTGATATGCAGATATGCAGAGATGAAGAATGAGGGAGAAAGGCACAAGAAGCACCTGGGAAAGATGAAATGTGTTGATGTACTTGAGGTGCTTGAGAATGTTGAGAAACGATGTGCAGGGATTAAGTGTGGAAATGACACGCTTGTGAGGAGAAGATTTAAGTTTGGAATGTGGAGCAGATATGAAAGGTGTGTGCAGGAAGCAGTACTTATTGATGAGAACATGGATCTTATTGCGTTTATGAAGAAGAATGATTTTAGCTTTGAGATAAATGATGGGAAAGTTAAGGCAGGCGGGTATGAGTATAAGAGTGTTGAGAGGAAGGTTCTTGAGATCTGTGAAGAGTACCGTGAGAAGGTTGAGATTACGAAGCTTACTAAAGGAGAGAAGAGAGCACCAAGACGAGTAGAACTTGAGAATATGCATGGAAGTCAAAGCACGAATGATCAAAAGAGGGAAGTAAAGTTTAGAGACCGATTTTCAGGGCTGTATAAGAAGATGAAGATATGTTTGAGATACTATGTGGACAAGTCAGAGGGGATAGATGATGTATGGTATGAAGAGAGAAACATGGCGATGCGACGAATATTTGAAGAGAATGAGGATGAGCAGCGACGAACCAGGAAGCAGCTAAAGAAGCATCTGGAGTGTATAGAAAGACTGAGTGCGATGCTTTCGAGTAGGATTGAGGAAGATAAGCGAAGTGAGGAGGCACAGAATAGAAGGAATCAAGAGGTGAATGCAGGGGTGAAAGCACGAGCCAGCAGTTGGAGAAGTGAACCTGATGAGAAGCCCAGGGCATATGTGCCACCGAGTGTTGACTCGTACAGCATGAATAAGAAGCAGGAAAACAACGAGGGAAAATCAATAAGTGAGTTAAGGCAGTCAAGAATGCAAAGAGATCCAGAAGCAGTGAATCGGAGTGAGAATCTGTTTGGAAGGAGTAGAAGTGCACGTGGAGGAGACTGGATGACTGAGCCTCAAAAGAATGAGAATGCAAATGGTAGAAACGATACTAACTAAGGAGTATGACATGTGCAAGGATATTGAGTGAGTGGGAGTAATAAAAGTGTTATTCAAGTATTTTTTAAGATTGTCAAGTGTTTTATAAGATTGGCCGGTTTTTGTTGATTAAGTACTTAGTGTGTGATGCCCATGGCGGTTAGTGTTCCATTGAGACTATTGTATGAGTCTCAAGGACTTGCAGTGAGTATAGAGACGGACAGCGGATGTATGTACCAAGGAGTGCTAAAGGAGATAGATGACTATATGAATGTGGAGCTTGTTGATGTGTCAGTATATTCGAAGGATGGTCTGCAGAGAAAGAAGGAAGTTTTTATCAGAGGATCTGCAATTGTACTGTTTGTATTACCACCAGCATTGAAGTTTGCGCCTTTCTTGAATAAAGTGAAGTAAATGTGATGAACTTATTATTGAAAAAATGAAGTGAATAATTTGTAATAGATTCATTATTGAATAGAGCAAAGTCGTCATTTCATGTCAAATAGGTTTATTATTGAATAGGGTAAAGAAGAAGGTTTGGAGGACTTATTATTAAGTAAAGTGAAGAAGAAGTCGTCGTCTCAAATGAACTTATCCTTGAATAGACTGAAGAATCATTGATAAACTTATTATTGAATAGAGTAAAAACCTTAATTCCTCTAATAAGCCTATTATTGAATAGAGTGAAGAAGATTTGATTGATTTATTAGATGTAATGCTTTCCATTGATCGAGTGATGCAATTGGTAAGGCTTCATGACACCTTTTTCAGTGAATACAAAGAGTAAAGTTGCCACCACAAGAAGAATAATAACCATTATGATTATTGAAAGGAATCTTCGCTTGTTGATAATGGGTATTTCCTTTGGGGTGAACTGAAAGTTGACGGGCAGCTCTTCAGCAACGCCGCTTTGGTAGAAGATTCTACTGCGGAAGCTATTGTTGCTCAGAAACTTTTCATGATCACCCACATACTCTGCACGCAGCGGAGTGTCTGAATCGTACTTGAGCAGAAAGAAACTGATTTCGTTGATATGCTCGTTATTAATAGGATCCTGGAAGTTTTTGATCCTGATCTGCCTTCCCTCAGTAGATATGACCATTTCAAAGACATACTTGCAGAGCTGCCTGGCATCGTAGCAATAGTATGGTGCTTTTGCATCGCTTGCCGTGCTCTTGCATTGTACTCTTGCAAGGTAATAATCATGCTTTCTTGAGTGTGCATCCTTCATCATGTCTGAAAACGGCCTCTGTGTGAACGGATCAACCCCATTTGCATCAAGAAGATAACGTGGACCATGCTCCTTCTCTAGAATGTGCAGCATTTGGTTTGTGTCTCAGCAGCAATAAATTTATTCTCCCAAACATGGTTTCAGGTGCATGTGCTTTGAAACAGTGTGAAGTATGCCTTCGCATTAACAATAATACATGAAATATCTTAGAAACACAATAAGAGCATCACTTTAATTAACCAAAAACTCCTCAACATCTCCAACAGTTGCATCTTGATACTGTTGATACTCAGAAAGCAAATCATTCATATTAGACTCAGCCTCTGAAAACTCCATCTCATCCATACCCTCTCCAGTATACCAATGTAAAAATGCCTTTCTTCTGAACATCACCGTAAATTGGTCTGAGATCCTCTTAAATAGTTCCTGAATTGATGTGGTGTTTCCAACAAACGTTGCCGACATCTCAAGCCCAGTAGGTGCAATGTCACACACTGCAGTCTTCACATTGCTTGGGATCCACTCAACAAACAATGAGCTATTCTTCGACTGTACCATTGACATTTGCTCATCAACATCCTTCATTGAAATCTTACCACGGAATACTGCTGCAACCGTTAGATATCTTCCCTTCCTGGGATCGCATGCAGTCATCATGTTTTTTGAATCAAACATTTGCTGTGTAAGCTCAGACACAGAGTACGTCCTGAATTTCTGTGTTCCTATTGCAATCAGCGGTGCAAATCCCACCACAAAGAAGTGAAGTCGAGGAAACGGGATCATATTCACAGCCAGCTTCCTCAGATCTGCATTCAGCTGCCCAGGAAACCTGAGACATGTGGTCACTCCGCTCATTACCAGAGACACAAGATGATTCAGATCTCCGTATCCAGGATTACTCAGCTTTAGTGTCCTAAAGCATATGTCATACAATGCCTCATTATCAATACAGAATGTCTCGTCTGCATTCTCAACAAGCTGGTGTATAGAAAGAGTTGCATTGTAAGGCTCAACTACTGTATCACTTACCTTCGGTGATGGAACCACTGAAAATGTGCATATCATCCTGTCCGGAAAGTCTTCTCTGATCTTCGACAGTAGTAGAGTTCCCATTCCTGCTCCAGTTCCTCCTCCAAGTGAATGGGTTATCTGGAATCCTTGTAAGCAATCACTCGATTCTGCCTCCTTCCTTACCACATCCATCACCGAGTCTATCAGCTCTGCTCCTTCAGTGTAGTGTCCCTTTGCCCAGTTATTTCCTGCACCGCTTTGTCCAAATACAAAGTTATCTGGCCTAAATAGATCTCCAAACGGTCCCTGTCTTACTGCATCCATTGTCCCTGGCTCAAGATCAATTAGAACCGCACGTGGGACATATTTCTTCGATGACGCCTCGTTGTAGTACACATTAATCCTTTCCAGCTGATTGTCAGATTCACCAACATACCTACCTGTCTGGTCTATTCCGTGCTCTCCGCTGATTGTTTCCCAGAACTTGCATCCAACCTGATTTCCACACTGCCCTGTCTGTAAGTGGATGATTTCTCTCATTTGAAGGGCAAAATTTTCGGCTTGAATATAACACGTCTTTACTAACCAGGTTGCAGGCATTTCTACCCCCACACTCATCGTGTATCTGACTTAGCATATCACAATACCTTGTTTCTAAACATTATCGTTCTTCAGCCCATGGGCGAGCTCTTGGTGATAGTCTCTGAAAAGAACGATATTGTTTACCAGAGGATGTTCAACAAGGTAAGTGATGAGGAGTACTGCAGATTCATGATTATTGTGTATGGATCAATCGATGTATTGATGGAGAAGATGTTGTCGTCCACAACGAACTATTTTGCCTCATTGGATACGTATGGTGATGCAAAGGTCAGTGCATATGTGATGCCATCCGGATATAAGTTGCTGTTTATGCATTCAAGGAGCGATGTAAAGCAATTTCTAGATAATGCGCATAAAGTGTTTGCAGGAATTCTTCTTAAATCTGCACATTCGGATGTAATTGCAGATAATCCTGATCTCAACAGAAGTGTGGATGAACTATATAGTTCGTATTTTGTGTAAATTTAGTGTAGTAAATGTGTTTATGTGAAGTATGAAATGGATTTTTAATATTGTGTTGATGGGATGGCGTTGATGTATTGGATGATGTTAAAATTCGATGATATTGAAACTAGATGATGTTAACATTGGACGATATTGAAACTAGATGATGTTGAAATTGAATAATATTGAAACTAGATGATATTGAAGTTCATGCCTGTATAATTCCTTAATGCAGATGCCCAGCATGAAGTTAAAGTTTAGTGGGGCAAGCACTGCAAGACTCAATAATAGCGAACTATTAATAAGTAAAGATACAATGGATTCTGGCAAGATGGAAACAATTGGAGATGTGTTAAAGCACTTGTGCAACACAGATACAGATGTGAGAAGCAGTTTCTTTGACCGTCATGGTGAACTAGCACATGGAACAATCTGCATCATCAACAAGATGGATTGGGAAATCGTGCAAAGAGAAAAAACACCGGTTATGTATGGGGATGAAATGGTGCTTATATCTACGATCCATGGCGGTTGAATACTCATGGCTTGCAACATGGAAATAAGTGATTATTAAATTATTGATTGGATCCCTGAACTAACTCATGCGCAACGAGTTTTGCTGCAATGTGCAGGGCTGTGGAAAGACATTTAAACGAGCTGCAAAGCTCAACGATCATCTAAACACACACTCAAAGGAACGGCCTTATAAATGTGATATGTGTGAGAAGACTTATATGAAGAACAGTCATCTTTCGGTCCACAAGAAGAGCCATTTCTCTCCAGAATTCAAATGCTCTAAATGCGGATACACATGCCATACTAAGGATAGACTTTGTAGGCATAAAACAACTTGTGTGCACTATGAATGCAGCATATGTAAGAAAACATACAAAAAGCATGCGTGGTTTGAATCACACGTAAAAAGCCATCATATAAAGGTTTTTAATCACGAAAAGAAGATCTATGCATGTCAATACTGTAGATTTGAATTCAGTAAGAAGAGTAATCTTTCCACTCATGTACGATCGGTCCATCAACTCAAAAAACCGTTTTCATGCCCGTGTGGAAAGCAATATGCTCATAATGTATCTTTAGATAAGCACGGGATCAAATGTTTAATTGCACAGAATTCACTTGGATCTACACAACAATTATCAAATGGTCATAACTCCATACCTGTCACGTATGCAATGCCTGAAACTCATTCTTATAAAATCTAGTAATAAACCTTATTTCGTTTTTATCGTCCTTAATCGTCTTCAATAGTTCTTTGTAGTAACTCACATCATCCATACATAGTGGATATATCCTGATCATTAACTTTTCCAACGTTTTTTTGCCTTTCCATTTATCAATAACATTATGATTGATTCCATTGTTTCTTAGGATATTCAGTAAACCTTCTAAAGCCTGGTAGTTATCTTCGTTTCCAACGTGTACGCACAGACTCAGAAACATCGATGCGTTCAATCTTATTCCAGACGTATGAATCTTTTCTATTAGAAACATCTTAGACTCAAGCTTTGCATTCTCAATCGACAGGATGCTCTCAAAAACCATCTCTTCAGTGTACTTTGCATTCCTCAACACATTCATGACATCAACAGCCACCTTGTCTACATGGCATCCCTTCAGTTGCTTTATCAGCTCAACAAACACTGTGCTCGACAGTTCATATCCTCTTTCTACCATCCGAGGAAGAATCTCAAGGTATCCAACAGGATCCACAAAAAACATATCGTTGATTCTATCGACATCATCTGTATCAAGAATATCCACATCAACGAGTCTTAGACACTCTTTTCCTATTACATCAAGCTTTTCTCTTCTGTATAGAATATCCATCAGTTTCATATTGACTGTCTTTGTCACATCCTCTTTTCTTAAGTGCTTCAATACTGCTTCAATTATTCTATCACTTCCAGAATCAAGATGTATGGGCACATCAATCAAAATACCAAGAACACTTGCACATCTCAATCCAACATACTGCTTAAACTCCTTATCAGAGCATAAAAGTCTATTCACAACACATTCCATTCTAAATCTCCATCCACTTTCCTGATTCACAAACATCTTGTCAATCAGTACTTTATCATTCTTCTTAACCACTGGCTCATTAAACACATCGCTAACATTCACATATCCATTCACACATTCACTGCCCATCAAAATCCTGCTACAAAGCGCACTACATATCGCTTCAATTGCTCCATTGTTATATTCTTCAACAATTGCATCTATTTCCTCAATTTGTGATTTAATAGCAACAAAATACACGGCCATGTATCTTCCACTCTCATCAACATATTTCTTTATAACCTTATTAATACATGGAAATATTCTGAGTTCTCTTTTGCTGCATGCAATAACACGCACAATAAATTCGACAACATTCAGAAATCTTCTTCCACTTGGATTCGCATCATATACAACAGAAACCACCCTGTCCATAATATCATCATTACCGACCAATGCTGCAGTAACCATCGATGCTCTTTCAATTTCCTTTCCAAATGCCATCCTCATGCTCACTTCGTTGCAAATCATCCCAACTCGTCCATTCAGATCACTATATGAAATAGACTCTACATCACATCCATCATTATACACATTGCTTTCTTTTATTCTTTTCGTGCTTTCATATCTATTATTACAATTATTTTCATCATTAACATCTACATTATGACATTTACTTTTTGTATGTTCATTTCTTCCACTATGAGACTTGCTACTTATACATTCAATTCTTTCTTTCTCATCATGCAATTCTTTCATTTCTGAATGTTTACATTCTTCTACTGCATCTACTACACACATGACACTTGCTATATCATCTATTCTGTCTATATTTCTATCATATACTCTGTATACATCTATTTCATCTTGTATTCTACTTTTCATATCACGTATCTGCTCATCAGGTATTCCAATAATCCTCAAAGAATCAACAACCGACATCAGTAAGCATGCATCTTTTCCAAATGCAGTCACAATTCGTTCAAAACGTTCTACAAATACACTCAAATGATCCTCAACATACATTCTTTTGTATTGCATACTCATTCTATCAAACCACTTATCAAAATCAACTACAATTCGAAAGTACCGGTCCTTTGCCACAAGATACTCTACAAAAAGCTCCTTATATCCAGAACTCACAATTGCCTTGACTGCTGCATCTCTTCGTCGACTGGATGGAATCAGTGCATTATTGAACTCCTGCACTAGGCCTAAAAACACATTTAGGTACATTCCAAGAATATCATTTAAATATTCATTCGGAAGACTCAGAAGCTGTCCAAACGTCGGCTGCAGATGACTCTTGACTATACACCTAAATCCAAGTCTCATTCTCACATACTTCATGAAGCTTTCACTGCCCATGTACTTTTCATCACAATCTACTTTGCATATCTCGTCAATATATTGGTGCATCCGTTTTTTACCTATATTTTTCTCATCCAGAAATTCAAATCCACTAAATATTCCACTGCTTATGTACTCATCATCTTGATTCTCTGTGCTTGTGCATTCTACACTCTCCTCTACCACTCTCCTTTCCATGTCTACTAATGATATTTCACCTGTTACCCTATCAACCTCTACTTTACACTTCCAATGCGACTCATTTTCTCTCAATACCAAAAACTGCTTCTCCGCGCATGCTTGCAATCCCTTTAATGCATCTCCAAGTACAGCTCTACAACCATGATACTCCATAACAAGCAGTAGATCTATAACTCCATCATGCATCATAAACTCACGTCCTCTACCAATCATTGCATCACATACCATCCTGCATACTTTTTTATTCATGCACTTCTCTATACCAACCTTTATTGCATCACTAACTGACCTTCTTTTCAAAAGCTCCACTCCATCTTCGTGCATAGCATTATCAAAAAACCCATTGTAAATAAGCACTCCGCAATCGATATCAAGTCTGCATGAAATGTCAACCAACATGGTTCCATTAACAAGTTTGTTGATCAACATATAAGCAAATGCATCACTCTTGTTAGGTATGCACATGAGTGCATCAACAACCCGATCGTTTGAATAATCAAGCACATCAAGTATCTCAATGCATTTTCCTATCAGTCTTTCAAAGCAAGGCTCAAACGTGTCCAGCAATAGTCCATTTAGTTGTGTATATCCAAAAAACACATATGGCTCAAATTCACATACACTGTCAATAAACTCGACATCAATTCCATTCTTAAATGCATACTCTCCAATAATCATGCTCAGACATTCCTCATTGCATATCTGCTTGACAAACTCAAAATCAAGATTAAATGCAAGTTTTCTGATGCACTGAAATATCGCAGCCTTGTGATACATGTCTGCTACATCGTATCTTGTTCTCAGGATGCTGACTGCAGTTGCCTTACAGAATCCTTCATCGTATTTATAAATTGCTGCAAAATGCTTGATGTTATCCAGACTGCATTTTTGCATAAACTCCTTGACTTTCTGATCACAAAGCACATTCTTTGCATGCATAGACGCCATTTCACATAGCATTTTATCCTTGGCTATCTGAGATACAGAACCAATATACTCTGCATATGTGCAGTATTCCTCTTCGTATTTGACAGTGCACAAGTCTTTCAAACTGACAAAGTCAATAGGCATGATGGGGACCGTGGTTTTTTGAATGAAATTGAATCTGATTTGGAACACACAATGTTATGCGCATGAACAAGCATATGTGAGATGTTGAATGTGTTGGCTTAAATCATTCTCTTTGTATTAAAGAATGAGTGATGCAGATGATGTGCATTGGCAATGACGTACTCATTTGTGTATGTGCGTTGGATGTTATTTAGTGTTCCCCTTTTAGTGTGCCAGTCTGATTGATTCATAAAAATATATAAGTGGCCCTGGAGCAGGAGTCGATGGTAATATTGACAATGAAGTCAAGTGATGGAAAATACGTGTACACAAAGGAGTTTGAAAACAGCAGCACAGTGCTTGACGTAAAAGAGTACATAATTGCACAGATGTCGAGTTTAAGCACATGTAGAAGTAAGATTACCAAGATTTTGTTTGGTGGTAAAGAAAGAGATGATTCTATGGTTATATGTACCATGGAGCCTGATGCACTGATTGTGGAGTATGAGCTGTTAATGGAAACGTACCATGATGCAGCCAACGTGCATTTGTCAGCCAATCAGAATAATGACAACATGCAATTCGTAGACGACATACCAACCAGTGACATGTCGATCCGGGTTGCTGTGTTAATTGAGCAGACACGCAAGAAGATTATGGTTGAGCCTGAAGACCTGGTGATGTTTAATGGAAAGATGTATCTTGTTAAGGACAGACGCAAGGTGCTCACCATGAAAAATATTATTGATTGTGTTCGCAAGATTGAGTTTTCTAAGGAGGATGCAACAAAGCTTCTTGTTTTCTTTGTGTTACTAAGCACTGGCAATGGGGCAATTGTGTTTATTCTGGGATGCATATTTGCATTAGAGATTATGAGTAGAAAGTTGTGCTCTGACTTCAAGGATGTGTTCAAGCAAATGGATCATGGAGGAAGGACGTTCTATATGTTCTTCGTGAGTATGTTTGCAATTGATCATGCAGTAATGCATGGTGCTTAAATAGAATGTAAAATTGATTAAAGATGTTTTTTGAATACCAAATAATTTGGGTTGCTAGTCCTTATAGCGATGGGCAGCAGCGATGTTTTAGCAAAGTATTTCTGTGGAGACAGCCGAGGTTACTTCTACAGAGAGAAGACGTTTGAGGGAACTGACGAGGAGTATATTGAGGCAAAGCGGCAATCCTCAACAGTGTTTGTGTCGAATGTGAGTGCTTTGGTATGTGAGGAGAGGATATGGGAGTTGTTTTTGCTGTGTGGACGAGTGCGCAGAGTGATAATGGGATTGAACAGGAACACACTACGCTTTTGTGGGTTTTGCTTTGTTGAGTTCTATACTACAGAGTCTGCAGATGCAGCAGTAAAGTATTTGAATGGATTTAGGTTTGAGCAAAGTCCACTATCGATTGACAAAGACTATGGATTTGTGGATGGCAGGCAATACGGAAGGGGAATGTTTGGAGGCCGAGTCAAGCAAGATAAACTATATGTAGAAGAAAGACACCACAGGGATGTGAAGAGAGGCAAGTATGCAAGACGCTTCAGATGAATAAGTACACCTGGAGGCCATGTGAATGTGTAGTATAAATGCCTTATTGAATTGATTGAGACTGATTTATGCTGCTTATAAATAGCTGAATTACTTTACTTAAACATAATGATTCACAATTTTTATTGATTTATGCAGATGGTGATACTTTTGCACCATTTAGGTAGTTAATGAATTCTTCATTGAGTTTTGAATATGCTTCAGAAGCATCGTCAACTGAGGCGAAATCTACAAATGCCAAGTCCTTCACACGAATAAATCTAATGCATTGAAATCCTTTTAGCTTATGCAATATCATATCCAAGTCCTCTTGCAAAGTAGTGCTTGGAATACTCGTAATAAGCAACGTGCTTGTTGTTATTATAACAGCCTTTTTGCCTATGCACATGTCGGAGCGTGCAGCACATACTGATATCGTTGTTCCAAGAAATACCATTTTATCCAAATATTCAACAACTGCTTCTGTGACATCCTCATCTAGAAGCACAAATGCTTGGCTAAGAAGATTTGGTCTATTACTCATCTTCACCTTCAGAACCTTGAAGTGACCAGAAACAAGCATGTGTAGCCTTCTCTTTACCTCTCTAATAGGTAGTCTCTTGTTCAAGTTCTTTATGTAAAGTGTTCTTACAGAATTTCCATACATACTCAAGGGTATGAAAATTAGGACTCAGCAACCGTTGATTTCCTCCTCACATTGTTTTGAATCAAACTAAAAATCACATTGAAAAATACACAAAATAAAAAGACGCTGTTTATTCGCTATCAGAATCATCAAACCTCACCTTCTTGTTGCTCTTATTCTGCCCATCAAGCCAATGCTTCTTGTTGTTCGACTTTGATCTTGATCCCCAGGATTCATTGCTTCCCCTGTTGCCTCTGTTGCCTCTGTTGCCTCTGTTGTAGTCGTTGTTCTTCGGTCCACGAGATGAATTTGCTGGCTTGTGATAAAGGTTGCAATCGTCAAACACTAACTTGGGCTTGTTCAGCACTTTCTCATAGTCCTCCTTGTTGCCAAAATCAATAAAACCAAATCCCTTCAGTCTGTCATTCTCAACATCATATGGAAAAGATACTCCAACAACCTGGCCCATGCTCTCAAAGTACTCCTTCAGCTTCTTCCTGTCGCTTTCAAAAGGTATGTTAGACACATATACGCTATACTTCTGCTTTGGCCCAGACCTTGGCTGTGCCATATTCACCACAACCTCTCTTCCAAGAACAACTGTTCTATCAAGCTTCAATGCCTTCTTAACTTCATCCTCGTTACTGAACTCAATATATCCAAATCCCTTGTTTCTCTTTTGATCGCCAGTCATCGGAATCCCCACTCGCACTACAGTTCCAATCTTCTCCATTTCAGTCTTCAGATCATACTCAGTCAGATCATAGCTGATGCCTTTCATAAATATAGTCAGTGCCGGATTATCCTCCCTCTTGCTTTCCTCTGCTTCGCTTCCACTCTCAGTATCCTGAGTGCTTGCCGTGCCATCGTCGCTTCCACTTTCTTCCTCAACACTATCAGATCCAGACTCTTCCTCAACACTCTCATCACATGATGTAGTCTCACTTCCAGACTCACTCTCCTTAATCTCTTTTTTTTCATTTGCACTCTTGCTTGTTTTCTTCGTTATTTTTGACATAAAATTTTTGGGGCTGCCGTTAACCAAAATATCTATCCTCGACTCCTTGCATGAAAAAGGTGCTTTCGTCCGATCTGCATTGCATCAACACCGTTACAAATCCATCAACCGTCTATGACATTCTGAGAGAGTCAAGACGTGCAATCACCACATACAACCAGCTCATGAAACACTATGAGGATGGCCACAGAGACATTGCTGTTGTGTTTGTAACACCCAGAGACGACGTGCTTTTCATTCATCTTCCGTTATTCTGTAAACACTTTGGAATCGAGCTTTATGCGCTTCCTGACGATGCAAAAGATGTTTTGAAGTCCATATATGGCATGAAACACGTTAACATCATAGGACTGCATAAAGATGATGTGTCATACAGGCAACTCAAATTACTTGAATTAGGCATGCATTAGCATTATGCAATTGGCTGATTGTAGAATTACATTTGCATATGCTTGTATAAATATTTGCAGAAATGCTTGTAGCATGTGTAAAGCTACAGTAAATGAAGTAATGCATTATATACCTGTATGAAGTGAATGAGAATAGGAATTTCAATATTATAAGTGTTCTATGTGAGCAATATGACTACAAATGTGTTTATGCACAATTGTAACCTTATTGTATTGGATTAGTTTTACTGTGGCTACTTAAGCAGTTGAGATACAAGACCGGGTGAAATTTTTTCCCCTTGCAAGATGAAGAATGTTCTTATACACAAAGGAAGAACGTACAAGACACGCAGCAATGTAAGAACAAAGGTTCGAACACCATCTGGGAAGCTGGTCAACAGAAGAGTCAAGAAGAATGCAAAGAAGCATAGGTGCCATGAATGCAATAAAGAGTTGAGCAGCATTGCAAGGCTGAGACCTGCGGAGTTCTCTCGACAGAAGGTTTCTGCAAGACGAGTCAATCGGGTATATGGAGCCACAATATGCGGAAGATGTGTTGAAGACAAGATAATTGGCGCATTCCTTGCAGATGAAGAGAGGATTGTCAAGGAGAAGATTGGCATGACGGCGAGCAACTAATAAATTGCATCTTCGGTTTTAAATGTTGTTTTTAGTAGTTTATGATCCCTTGATGTGGAAAGATAATGTGAGTGAGAGAAGGATATCCAAGAGACTGAAGCTTGTGAAGAGAACAAAGGAGCGGTATGTACGAAGTGAGGTTCCCTGTGGATTTGAATGCTGCGGCGCAGTTCAAAGAAAGAGGATGCGAGCACCTGTGTTTATCATACCTGATGCATATGTTGTGAGCAGATACTGGGCGTTGTTGCAGAGTGACTATGTGGAAGCAATCATATGCCAATCTGTGCTTGAGGAGCTGAGTATCGACGACAGGAAGAGATTAAGAGCATTAATGAGGGAGAAGCAGTATATTTTGTTTTATGACAATTTTTGCAAAGACACGAGTGGAAAGGGACTTATGGGAGTATTAGAATACTACGTAAATCATGTTAGAGAGTACACATATGTTATTTTGGATAAGGATAGCGTTAAAGAATATGGGAAGTATGTGAGTAAGGATATTTCTGATATGCTGGTGAACGACAAGGATGATGATGGAGAAAATTATGAAGAGTATAAGACGAACCTGGATGTTTTGTATGGCTCTGGTGAAGTTTACCGAGGAGTGGTGGAGATAAGTTTGTATAATTGCTACAGTGGTGTGGTAATTGATGGAGGAGTGAGAATCAATGTGATTGGGAAAGAAAACATGAACAGAGCGCTACATGGAGATGAAGTGTATGTAGAAGTGATAGATGAGCGTGGAGATGATACAATACTTATTGATGAGGAAATACAATCACAAGTGATGAAGAATGAATGCGAAGCTGAAGAAAAGATAGAAGTAAATGCACTAGCGAATATGCTAGATAATAATAGAGAGTTGTATGGAAAAATTGTAGGGATATACAAGAGGAAGACTAGATCAGTTATTGGAAGTGTGCCTAATGATATTGATTGCAAGATTAGATCTCAATATGTACTTATGATTCCTATTGATAGAAGGATGCCAACAATAAGAGTCAGGACCTTGGATGCACAGAAACTGAAAGGTAAGAGACTCTGTGTAGAGATTGATACTTGGGAAAACACAAGTAAGTATCCGAGTGGATGTTATTACAGGGAGTTGGGTGATGTAGGAGATAAGGATGTTGAGATAGAGTCTTTACTTCTTGCGAATAGAATAACTTACTATGGAAAGAGTTGGGATGATTTTGATGTAGATTTGAATGCATTTAATGAATGCGAAAGCATGAAAAGGATAAATGAAGAGGTGATGAAAGGATTGAGAGAAGATTTCCGGAATTTTCTTGTGTTGAGCATTGATCCACCTGGATGCACTGATATTGATGATGCGCTTCATTCACGCAACCTTGCAAATGGAAACATAGAAGTGGGAGTGCACATTGCAGATGTAACGTTTTATGTTGGCAAAGGAAGTGGTCTTGATGAAGTTGCAAAGGATAGATGTACAAGTGTATATCTGCCAGAAATGAGGATTGATATGCTTCCGGCGGTTCTCAGCACGAATCTATGCAGCTTGGTTGAGGGAAAAGAGCGAGCAGTATTTTCTGTGGTCTGGGAAGTCTCTATGTCCGGAGAGATCATTAGCACACGGTTCTGTAGGTCTGTAATAAAGTCAAGGAGAGCTATGAGCTATGAGGAAGCGAACAATATAATTAATGAAAAGAGAATGAAAGGTAATGAAATACAAGAAACTCTTAACAGACTGAATGGAATAAGCAAGATACTGAGGAAGAAAAGATTTGAGAAGGGATCTTTAGATATGAGCACAAGAGATGTAGTGTTTAGAGATGGGAAGCTTGAGTTTAAGGAGAGCTATGAAACAAATCTTCTTGTTGAGGAGCTGATGATACTTGCAAACATATCGACTGCAATGTTTACATATCACTACTATCCTGAAGCATCTTTATTGCGAAGACATCCGCCTCCAAATTCAGTTCCTCTAGGCTTTCATATTGACGCATCGTCTGTAAAAGCATTGAATGAGTCGATATTAAGATTGGATGAGAATCACAGGGAGATGGCAAAGCGAACACTGATCCGATCTATGAATCAAGCAGTGTATTTCTTATCAGGTGATGTAAGGAGTTTCCATCACTATGGATTGGGTACAGACATGTACACGCACTTCACATCACCAATACGAAGATATGCAGATATTGTTGTTCACAGGATTCTTGGCCATATTCTCAGCACATCTGAGCAGGTTGGAGAGAATATCAGCGGGCTTGGAAGAGTAGAATTTACGCCAATAGCACGACAAGAAGAGAAGGAAGATGATGTGTTTGCTGATGAGAAGTCTTGTAACAATATGAACCGAAGACATCGCTCAGCACAGAGGGCGTCCTGGGAATGCGAGAAGTTGGCAATATACATGGCTCTTAGAGACGCTGAACCGACTTTAGATGGATATATCACAGGGATCAGATCAAACGGAGTGATTATTTATGTTCCTGATTACAACATAGAAGAAGCTGTACTCTGCAGCACACAACTGCGCATGTTTGAAGCTGTGCGTGTCCGTGTGATGCAGAATGACCAGATGTTCTTTTTCCACAGGAGGTTTTCACTAAAGCTAGTTGATTAGTTAAGTGCTCGGCGGATAAGCTGATCCAAGGTATACCTGAGAATGGATAGAAATATGGGTAAAATAAACATAATTCAATAACGATATGAATTCACAGATTGCCTAATGCAATAGACATCCAAAGCGAACTTATTGGAAATCAATAGACCTTTGAGGATTTTTTAGATCTATGTTGTGTGTTTTCATAAGATGGGTGATCAGGCACCTCTTGTATATGTATCTCACATTGCAGAATGCACATCCAAATCCATTTGTATCTTCTATAAAAGGCACTGGATGTTTGTTATGTAATGTGCGATTAGACACAGACTCAGCATAACATGGGTTGATGTGTGTTTTCTCCTGAGTTTGCTGCCTGAGACGATAGTTTGATGTATCTGAGGAGATTATGTTACATGGCTGGTACACAGAGTGTATCGCATCCACAAAGTGCATGAACAGGGATGCATCGCTCAGCATGCTATGGTTGGCAGATGCCTTTGCCTTTGTGCTGTCTTTGATAGACATGCAAGTGTATGCCTTGACTGATTTTTGATTATTTGCCTGGTATGCCAAATATAGAAGTATGTGTAAATTGTTTGATTTATTGCAATGTGGGGCGCCTTGGTAGGATATTAAGTTGTATGCACGAATAAGCGACGTCTGAATAAATTAATTGTACACTGTGAATAATTATCAATGAAGGATGATGCATATATAAATATTTTTGTGAGGAGGCGTATGCAAGCAGTTGTGGAGGAGCTTCTTCTGTCTGGAGACAGCATTACACAGAAGCACGGTGAGATATATGAACTTCTTGGACTGGATGTGGTTTATGACAAAGGAAGATTGAAGATATACAGCACTAACAAAGCAAAGATAATTTCGATAGGAGCGGGGATACATATAAGGGCGTGCTACAAGTCTATGAGCCGACTTGCAACAAGGGGATTTGTGAATCTTGACGGACACAGTATGCCACTGGAGATACTCGACATGATGGGAAATAAGATTGTGGTTACGTTTATTGGGAAGGAGAATGCGAATCGGATTGCGATTGTGACAAGTGGAGGCGATGCACCAGGAATGAACTCGGCAATTAAAAGCATAATACGAACTGGGATCAAGTGGGGAGCAACGGTGTATGGAGTGTATAATGGATATGATGGACTGATAAACGACAACATAAAGAAGCTGAACTGGGATACTGAGACGTACTACAGCAGCCAGGGAGGCACTGTTCTATTGTCTGCAAGGTCTGACAGGTTTCTTAATGCGAAGGGGCGAAAGCAAGCGGTGTTGAATATGGCAAAGAAGAGAATTAACTGCATGATTATACTGGGAGGTGATGGATCACTAAAGGGAGCGTTAGAGTTGAAGAATGAGTTTAGAGAGCATCTTAGAGAACTTCTGCGAGAAGGGAAGATATCGAGCGAGGAGAAAAGAAAGATACGAATGAACAAGTCGAGGGTGGAAGGGAAGGTAGATGTTGAACAAACGACTGATGGAAGTGGAGTGATGTATTCTGATTTTTATGGAAAGCCAGAGTGTTACAAGGCGAATCCAACAGTTTACCATGACCTGAATTCGTCTGATGAGGTTGATGATGAGAAGATGGAGAAAGATGAGGATGATAGATGCGATGAGGAGGAGATTGAAAGATACGTGTATGGATTGAAAGTTGTAGGCATTCCTGCATCTATTGACAATGATATATATGGGACGGAGGTTTCGTTGGGAGAGGATTCTGCAATACACAGAGTGGTTGAGGCTATTGATCATCTGATGTCAACAATGAAGTCGCACTCTCGTGCATTTGTAATTGAAGTGATGGGAAGGAAGTGCGGATGGATAGCTCTTATGTCTGCTCTTGGATGCGCGGCAGATTATGTATTGTTACCTGAGGTGCCTGGAGATTGGAAGAAGGAGATGATGGATGCGATTGCAGTTGGAAAGAAGCATGGGAAGCCAGAGATTTTTGTTATTGTTTCTGAGGGTGCTGTTGAAGCAGATGGCACGCCGATACGTGTTTCATCGGTGGTTGAGGAAATAGATAAGGTTGGGATTGAGGTCAGGTCATTGAAGTTAGGGCATATACAGCGAGGAGGTCCTCCATCTTTTCAGGATAGGGTTTATGGGACTTTGTTTGGAATCAAAGCGGTTGAGACTGTGATGGAGCCGGTTGACGAGCCATTGATGGTAAGAGTTTTCAATGACGAGGTGGATACGATTGATCTGAGAGAGGTAGTACATAGGAATGAGATGACTGGGGTGTTTGAAAAGGAAATGAAGTTTCCAGATGTGTTTAAGAGTAGGAATGAGTTTTTTAGGCTTGCATATGTGTACTTCAGGAAGGCTCTGATGACAAGAGTGCTGTATGAGAATGGATGTAATACAAAGATTGGATCTGTGGGGATTCTGCAAGTTGGTGGTCGATCTAGTGGGATGAATGCGGTGCTGAATGCAATAGTGCAATATTCACTGACGATAGGAATAGAGCCATACTACATTCCAAATGGATTTGAGGGACTTATCAAAGGCCAGGTTGTGAAAGCAAAGCTTTATGAGTTTTCAAGTGATGTGAACAATGGCGGATCTGCAATTGGAGTGGGAAATAACAGTGATATTGACATTGAGGAGCTACAGAGAAAGATAAATGAGAGTGGATTGGAATCGCTTATTGTGATAGGAGGTTCAAAGGCACTTTCGGTGATTGATAAGATAAAGAGAATTAATGTTATTATTGTACCAGCAACTGCACATAACAATATGCCTGGCACAGGTGTAAGTATTGGATCTGATACTGCATTGAACACGATTCTTAAGATGTCTGATATGTCGAAGCTGAATTCATTTTCATGCAAGAACAGTGTGTTTGTAATTGAGATTGGGGGAGAGGAGTGTGGGTATCTGTCATTAATGGGAGGAATAGCAGCTGGTGCATTTGAGGTATTTATACCTGAGAGGAGGTATTTGATAGGAAATCTTTCTGAAGCAGCACAGAGGTTACGAATGAGATTCAAGGAAAGTTCAAGACGAGGAATAGTGATATTCAGGAATGAAAGGACATTCTGCTCGATCCCTACAGATAGCTTCTGCAAGGTTCTGAAGACGGACAGCAAGGGACTTTTTGAGACAGGATATTCTATTCTTGGATCTATACAGCAAGGATCGAATCCATCACCAACAGACAGAATATATGCAGCGATTCTAGGTATTGAAGCAGTTGATTTGTGTGTTGCAAATCGTGGAGTTGGCGTAGTTGGTATTTGTGGAAACAGCATTAAGTTTACAAAGATCGAAGATGTTTTAGAAGCATTTGACTTTGAGCATGACAGGGAGAAGGATCCGAAGTGGCTCAAGTACTCTAATATATGTAGATCTGTGGAATAAAGTGATATGCGAATTTTATGTGTATTCTGTGGATATGTTTGATGTGATTTACACTATGTGTGTTGCTAACAAGATAGATCAATGTGATCTGAATGTATACATATTTATTATGTGCATCATCCTGATGTAGCTATATGTTTATGTAACATTTGCATGAAATTAATAACTTGTTTTGTAATATACCTGTTTTGTATTCATGCATAAGAATATATTTTTTTCTAGCTTTGAAAAAGATTGCAAGTTCAGCAAAGAAGCTGTTGTTGGTATAGACGAGGCAGGAAGAGGTTCAGTAATGGGATATATGGTATATGGTGCCTTGATAATGCCAAAAGACTTTTCTGAAACAGATGGATTCAAGGACTCCAAAAAACTATCTCCCTCAATACGAACCCGGTTGTTTGAGAATATACATAAGCACACAGAGCTTGAATATATTTATCATTGTAATCATCCAGACTACATATCAGATCAGATGTTCAGTGGAGACAAAAACCTAAATGAAATCTCATTTGACTCAATTGTAAAAATACTAGATGAAATAAAGAAAAGATGTAAGACTGTCAATACAGTTTATATAGATGCACTAGGTGATTGTAAAGAATGTGCAGACAAGCTTGGAAAGCTGTATCCTTATAACTTTGTTATCAAGGAAAAGGCAGATGCAACATTTAAGGTTGTTTCCGGCGCCAGTATTATTGCAAAGGTAAAGAGGGATTTGATGATGCTAGAGTTTGGAGAAAATGTCGGATCGGGATATCCTGCTGATCCAGATACTATAAAATGGCTCAAGAAAAACATGAACAAGGTTTTTGGATTTCCAGCTGGTGTCAGATACTCATGGGCAACCATCAAGAGAATGCTTGGCGAAAGAAAGTCGTTGCCTCTTAAAGGCCCTTTGATTGGATTCTACACCAATAATTTATGAATAAATATAAATACAAACTATCCGTTATAATTCCATTCTATCATACTTTATTGTAAACTGCTTTAGTAGTATCTTATTTTATTACAAACTACCTTAGCAGAAAAATATACCCGTCTTCCAAGATCTCAACATTGCATTCAACTATTTTTGTGTCATCTATCAATTTACATCCTTTTTCGTTGTAAACCCACCATGTGTAATGGCCTGACCCTAGATGTAATCCAGTATGGTTGATGCATCCGACTACTCGGTATTCATGATCTTTTGAAACCTCACATTCATTATCTCCATAAACATTATCCATATGTTTCTCAAGCACAAGGCTCCGGATTCCAATCTTATCCTTGATTTTCTTAAAATCCCCTCTATCATACACATATCTTCCCACCTGAACAGCCATGTACTTTGGAAGTCTCATAATGCGTTTTTTACGCCTCTTCTCTCCTCCACACTCGCATTTCCATACATCATCATCAAAAAACACATATACAGCCTTTCTTATATTCTCATTCATAATTGTGCATATAACAGGAATCTTTTCATTAGTCATGCACACTTCATCACATCCAGTACACTCAACTTTCATGCATATCTCAAAGTTCAATAGCGACGTGATCTGTGGAATCAAATACAAACACTCAGCTTCTGCAATCTGTTCCATCAATAACACAAGAAACTCATGAGCATCCTGCTGAGTATGTCTCTCAAACATTGGCATGTTTATGCACACAAGATTCACCAACTCTTCTATCAAAATCCTACTGCCTTTACTTTCTTTCACTGATTGCTTCATTCTTCCAAAAACACGCATTAATTGGCAAAATAAACACTCAAGAGGATTCTTTGCATGGCATACTTCAAAATGCATCTCAGTGTCAACATCTTCATAAGAAACAACATATCCAAGCATTTGCAAAACAGACGAAATGTAGCATGTGTTTCCAAAGTTACCTATCCCAATATAAGGTCCATCAACCTCCTCTTCTACAGACTCATCAGCAATTTTATGATTATTTGCATCACTGACTTCTATTTGTCCAGAGTAATCTATCCTTACATAAATATCATCAATCGCATCGATTGCATTTTGACCTTTAAACCTGATTCTAACTATCCTATCAAACATGTCATATTCACTCATCACTCTAGAATCACACAGATAACAAAAGACTTCCACATTCTTCATTCCAAGGCTCTCAACCAACACAAATAAGTTGTGTCCTTCCTTCTCATAATGCATTCTTGCATGCCCTTCACCTTCAACTCCATACTGCTTTCTTCCACACCCCACATATCCACAACTAATACATATCCAGAGCCTAGACCTTATGTCACACTTCTCACATTTTATCTTACACATCTCTCCAATATTCAGGTTGCCTGTATTTGTACTGCATCCATGAGAACACATGATCTCATCATTCTCTTGTGTTATTCCCTCAAAGTAATTGTGATCAGCCAACACCTTCAACTTATTCGTTGCATCAAGCACCTCTTCTTCACCAAGCACTTCGCTTCTAACCTCAACTCCTCTCTCATCTCCAAAATCTTTCACCTCAAGCACTTCAAAACATCCAGCTTTGTAAAAATGGATCTGCTTATGCACACTGCACAATGAGAACCCGCATGTACACACAAAAACACCATCTGTAACATCTTTATAACAGTAGCAGCAGCACTTCTTAAACCTCGAAAGATTCACAATAGCATTCATGTACGAGGGCTTGCGTTCAAACAAATAAACACTCGACTACTTTCATTCTTATAATGCCACTCACAGATACATTGACACATTGCATCAAACAAGCCTTAAAATACACACTTTGTAAATAATCGTTTTATTCAAACTCTTCGTCCCCGATGGCCTCCACGCTTCCTAACACGATCTCTTGATACAGGCGTCACATCCTCAAACCTACCAACCTTCAATCCTGCACGTATTAGCGTTCGTATTGCTGTTTGTGCACCAGGTCCAAGTGCCATTGGCTTCACTCCTCCTGCTCCTCGCAGTTTGAAATGCAATACCTTGATCCCTCGCCCAAGAATCTTCGTTGCTACATCCTGTGCTGCAAGCATCGCTGCATACGGTGATCCTTCATCCCGCTGTGCCTTCACTCTCATTCCTCCGGTTATCTTTGCAATCGTTTCAGATCCTGTCATGTCAGTAATATGCACAAACGTATCGTTCCTTGTTGCTTTGATGTGTGCAACTGCTGCAAGCTCTGCAACCTCAACTTTCTCAGACATACAAGGGCAATTTTTTTCATACATCAATCTGCTTGTTGTAATACAGCTTTACCACTACAATTTCATCCGCATTAAATGCACATCATACAAAAAACACATCAAATGTTTCGGTCTCTGAATAATCATTTGCACACGTCTTATTAACATATGCATCTTGTCCAATCTTACATTCAGTCTTAGTATTGCATCTGTTACACTCCACAAAAAGCTTGTCTTCCTCACTCCACACCTTGCTATTCACAACAGGAACATACACATGCAAGCACTCGTCACAAAAAACCATCTTCAGTAATCCATCTGCTTCACAATGCATTCTATATCTTATCTTAGATAAAACATACTTCTCTCCGCCAATATTCATGTAAACAGGCAAAATACACATCAGATACTTCAAATCCTCAGAAATGCTCGCTAAGCTTCCACAAATCATCATTCAATCAATGCCATCAGAAACAAATATTTTAATCTACTCCATGCTGTCGTATCCTGAACTCGACAAAAACTCATCACTGAGATTCACATCATCCTCATCTTGCACAGTCATCGGCTGACCAAGTATAAATGGATGCTCAAGAAGCTCCGCTGCACTTGGTCTTGAAAACCTATCAAACGACATGCACTTCCTTACAAAGTCTTTCAGTGCAAACGATGAGCTTTGCTTGAAAAACAGCGGCAGCTTTCCGCGTATAAACATCTTCCATTTATCTATATCCTTCTTTCCATCATCAAAGTAGAACGGTGTCTGCTTCAGTGACAAAAACCATACAATTGCTCCAAGACTCCAGATATCTCCCTTAATCCCATGCACATTCAATTGTGAAATCTCTGGTGGCTTATATGGATACGTTCCAAAGCTCTTCGAAGGTATCTGAATCTCTGCATTCCTATCTTCTTGCTTAAATCGCCTTGCAAATCCAAGATCAATAATTTTGTATACCACTCCTTCTTTTGTTTCCTTTCCCATCACATTCGAGATCTTCAAATCAAGATGTGCTATTCCAAGTCCATGCAGGTACTTAAGTCCATGAAGCACTCCTTCTGTAACATCACGTATTCTACTCTCATCTCCTCTGATTATTTCTTGAGATACTTTCCTATCCATATACTCCATAAACAACCAGATAATCGTCTCCTCTTCCCCCTTTCTATTTACAAACTTCTCCCTGAACGACTTGAACGACTTCACAACATTCTTATTGTCCAGCATCATCAGAATCTCATCTTCTGACAAACCAGGCGAATCAGGTGCAATACATCGCTTGATCACAATGTGTGGATTGTTATATGTATACAGAAACACCGCATTCGCTCGTGTTATCTTGACAGGCACCAGTGGAAGATGTGTCTTGATCGCCGCAAACGCCTTATTCTGCTCATAACGCGTCCTGTGCTCCAGGCACTTGTCAACACTTTTGTTTATAAATTCTAAGCATATCTTCTCCATTCTCAAATCCTCCTTCACTCTGTAAACAAAAAAATATTTTTTATACCAAAAAGTAAAAAGAAGAACCATTGTTGCCACCATAATCGTTCTAAAAATCTTCCTGGACAAGCTTCGCTGGTACCCTTGCAATAATTGTCCTGCATTCCTCACAAAGCTTGTCCGGCCACTCTTCTTGCAATCACTCATACTCTAAATCTACTTTATTTATTTATGCAAATTTCATTTATATGATTTACTTAAACCTTCAAAAACGCAATTAATCATATATCTACCCATCTCAAAATCAGCAAACATACACTAGTGCTGCTTTTATATGCTCCTTGCACGATGCTATTCACCACCAAGGCATCTTCCTCCACACTTCTATATATCAACTTATACACTCCTATTCGACTAGCTAGAACATGTAAATTATACACTCTATTCCACCATCAACATCTACGATTGCATTCAGTATCCTCTTTGAATGTTTTCCAATGCCTCCCTGTTATTACGCACCGCCATCATTATCACATCAAAGAGTCTTGTTGGATCTATGCTTTCAGATTTTGCTTTAGATATCGCTTGCATCTTACTTCTTTCCAGGTTCTCCTTCCTACTTCTTTCATTCTGAAACCATATCTGTACTGCTTTCAATGGGAGCTTGATCATCAATGCAAGATCCATCTTCGTCATCTTTGATGGATGCGCAGTAATCTTAAACACCTCCTTCAATGCAGCCATCTGGAATACCGTCTTTCTTGTCCTTACCTCCCCCATCTGCTGCTCATCCTCGCCATCCCTCATCAGCTTCATCAGCCCCAGCACGCAATTCATCTCCCTCACATCAAGCTTCCCTTCTTGCATCCCGTCTTGCTGATTTTTCAATAAATCCAAAATTATCTTTAATTTCATAAAATAACATCAGAACCTTAAAAATCTTCTCCATACTAAATCTCAAAAAATAACCACCATTACAAAGCCCATATATCCCATCAACAATGGATATCCAACCACAACTTGCTTATTGTTGAGCGACAGATACCTGCAGAAAACAACAGATGCCGTGTAGCTCGACCACAACGCTGCTGCAAATCCACAACACATCCGTAATCCAGTTCCACTCCCCCGCATTAACACACTTGTGATCGAGAACAAAACTATCGGTAGAAACGAGTATCCTAGAACACTGCAGCACTCAAGAAATCCAACCCTCTTTGTATCCAGCACATTCAACAAAAAATACATGCTGAATGTCATCAACAGCGAAATAAAGTAAACATATCCAAAATGGATCCTGTAGTTCATTACAAGTCCAAGGCAATAAAGCCCAACAAACACAATTGGCCCAGAAAGATCTGCATCCTTCACAAACGAAAAATCAACATCAGTCTTCTGCATCACCTTGAAAATAAGCCTGCTCTCTTTCTTTATTGTTCCAAAGTCAATTCCAAGCTCCTCCAGCAATGGTCTGTCATTGGGCAGCCATCCAATAAATGCAGACTTCAAGTCAAACTTGCTGTACTCTTCTCCATCCACATCAAAATTCATCTCAAGGGCCATTTTGGTCATTTGTTTTATTTATACAAACACTCCTGCACTTTATTATTATGCACCACTAGCACACTGCTATCTCTCTCAACAAACTTCTCAAAACATCTTTAATATTCCATTAAGGCCTCTTAATTAGCAAGAAGCATTCGTCATTGAATCTTGACATCGGACATTCAAGCTCAAGATCAACATAACTCTTCCCATCAAACATCACCAGCTTTTCAAACAGCTTGTAAGTTGTCCGGAATTCCCCAATAGTCTTTGCATCTGTGTGCAAAAAGAACGGAAAACCTACTATCTTGTACATTCCCGTGTAGTATGCTGTTTTGATCGCCTTTCCAGAAAACACCTGCACCACGCACATCCCATTCGCAGTGAACTCTTCCGACAAATCAAACGACTTAAGATACAGCGTGTCCCTCACAGTATCCACCACCTTCAGATCCCTTGTTGAGTGCCCTCTTGCAGGCGAAAAGCACATAAAGTGCGACACAAGAACATTCTTAATCAGCTCAAGTGACGTACTGCCTGTCTTCATCACAAATATATGCAGATGCGAAATCACATTGTAATCAATCTCCTTATCACAAAATGTTACATATACAATCTGTTGGCCTTCTCCTAAAATACATCGTACAGAATTCTTTTCCTGTAAGTAATTCATCATCCCAATCTCAGATGCAACATCAGACACTGCATAATCTTCACCTGTTGTCGTCACATCAGAGCTCTCACATACAGCTTCTTTACTCAAGAGCATGTCTTTGGATCCCACGAACTTTTGCACTCGCTCCTCAAACGATCTAAGTCCTAAGCTTTTGTCAACAAAAACAGTAAATCCATGCATCCCACAGTGCACATTCACACACACTCGTCTACTGAAATCCCTCATAAAATCCCGATATATTGAAATATGCTCTCTTCGCACAGCAACAAGAACATCGCCTTGTGGAAGATCCTCCATTCTTGCGGAAATACTCAATGGCGATGCATAATCAGCCTCTCTAAACACTACAAATTCTTCTGCTCCAGTCTTCTCAAGTATCACATTCATATTCTCCTTAAGAGTGCCCTCAAAACTTACACATGCGCACAGCCTCAAAGACATCGGTAATGTATTCTCGCACCACGGAAGATTGTTGAAAATCTTCAGAAAAATCAATTTGCTATTCTCAAAGTCAACCTTGTTATTACATGCATAAACAAAATAATTTGCATCAGGATTAATATCTCCATCAGTCACCAACTTAACATCCATCTGTAATCTAACTCCTATTGACTCTTCACCATCTATTCTTATCTTCTTTGCTTCTTCATACACCTGCTCGCCATCACACTCAGTTTGCTTATCCTCAATTTCTTCACTAAACACTTCCTTACGGCTACATTCAAACAAATATATCTTCTTTCTGGTGTTGTTCAACCGCCTCTCAATACTATTATGCAACATCTTCACACTGTCATTCTCACTCATCTCAATCTCAAAGTGCTCACTCAATGGATAGTCATAAGACTCTGTGTTGCAAAAACCCATTCCTCTGTAATTCTTTATACATTCAATAGTCATGCATTTGATCGAAACCTTCCTCTGTACCTTATTCAACATCTCTTCTGTCACTGCAGGAATCTCAACTTCAACATTCAAGATCTCTTCGATCATACTCTTCCTGATATATACAAGATAATACCCAGAATATTCACGCATTCTATCTTTATACGGATGCTCTCCTCCAAAGTTCCCCTCCATCACTTCCTCCTTTCTGCTCTTTGTGACAACTCCATCGTTGAATTTCAACCACTCTCCTCCATGCTTCAGGTATGCATAGAAATGACCTTCCTCAACATCTCCTCTGTGCACAATAACCGAATACAGTTCATATTCATTCATATTAGCTCTATTCTCATTCTTTGATTCTTCTAAACCATCAATTCTCTGCTCATCCACAATCTCTTCAGGCTCATCCACAAATTGCTTCATATCCAATACATCAGGATACTCAAAATAATCATTTAATTTATATCTCGTTTCAGTATTAAGATTAAAATAGAACCGCTTAAGTAATACAAAAATCACTGGAGGAAGCTCTCCAAACATCACTCCCTTTTCTGCATTAACAAGTCCATGCTTCTCACAACTGTATTGATTGCTCCCCTCTAACCGCTCAGTTTTCACATATCTCTTCAGTGATTCAATCAGACTCAAGTCCAACTTATTGTTCATAAAGTCCTTAATCTCTACCTGGATGTCTTGGAACTTCTCCTCTTTCCTTCGGAAACATCCACAATCTGCCTTGATGTAGGTTATCTGTTCTCCTTGTATAAGCTTCTCAATAAACTCTTTGTTTCCACTATCTTTCTCAAGCAAATCAAAGAAAAACTTCGAAAATTCATGGATGTCTTGATGCACATGCATGTCATCAACCCATGCATTATTGACAACAAACTCCGTCGTGTCAACCATCTTCCTACTCTCTTGCATCGCCTTGAACAACCTTTGCAAATGCAACATTCTTCCGCTTGGATTCAGTGCATAAACGTCATTCCTGAACTTTCTTATTCCAAATAGCGTCTGAATCAGCGAGTTGATGTAGCATGTTGCTCCAAGGTTCTTTAGTCCAATATATCCTGTCGACTCCTTCGAATCATATTCCCCACTCACTACATCCACTCCCACTCTAATATTATACTCGTCACTATCTTCAACATAAACTCCAGTATCTACATTGAACATAGAAAACTGATACTGGCCATCATATACTCGTCCATTAGCATTAATCCAGAATACCACAAATATATCATGATACGAACCTCCAATGTACTCCAATGCAAGATAAACCTTGTTGTTCTTATTCGATAAAACCATCTTCCACCCATGCCCATGTGCTAAAAACTGTTTGGATTCTATCTTCGATCCATTCGATGGCTTCTTTACTATCCAGTTTGTATCCATCTGGGGCTCTTCTCAAAAACATTTAACACACTCTACTCATCATGTGCTGCATTATCAGTAAACAATCAATCATATCATGACAGATATGCATGAACGCCTCAACAATTACATATAGTCAACAAAACATCTTTAATTCGTTTATTAAAACACTTACGAGCTTCATTCATTTATTCATATAGTATCTTCATGATGTAGAGTATATCTTAACTTGAATTATCTTCATTCTTCATAATTCACTATGTCTCTCAGTTTCAATTCATCTTTACTCTGCAAACTCCCATCCTTGCGACACCCTTGAAAACACTCTGTCAAACAGCACCTGTTGAGAAACAAAATTCGATGTATTTCTGTAATAGTAGTGGCCTGCAAAACAGTCTAGGTTTCTGTAATAGCAGCAATAGTAGTGTCCATCTATAGATGCACCAGGGATGCTTCTGCTCTTAGGATCTGGTAGTATAAACAGCTCCTTGATCTTTATGTATACAAAGTCACTGTCTTTTATGTCATATGTACTGTCTGCATTTACATATTCCATCTTCCACTCAGGAAACAACTTCCAGTGGATGATGTCTGGATTCGTTGCAGATGGCTGTTCTGCAGTGAATGGATAAATATTACCAACCATTTCGCCTTCAAAGTATGTCGTAAGCAGCTCGTACTTGTCACTGATGTTGTGGATTTCAAAGGTACCACATATAGTTTCTTGCTGTTGATCCACAGTATCAATTACCATATCAATTGTGAACGATCCTCCACTTGAAAGCTGATTTCCTCTATATCTTGCACCACTATCCAGTCCAAATGCCTCTATACAATGCATCTAGCATGCCTTTCTTGGCATTTTATTCACACATCAACTCCTTTTTGTACTCCTAACTTATTTGTTGGTTACGAATCGCATAATGCATTCAATATGAATCTTGGATTTCATAAATAAGCATCATATTAATCAATGCATTGGCACTTCATCAAAAACATAATGCTATTCTTCTTGTGATAAGTCATGCTATCTCATGTACATCAATTAAATACCACAACACTATTTTATATGATACAGCTCTGTAACATAGACTAGCACAGCAATCTAATTGGGCATGATATTGTACCAGCAATAAATATATGCACAATAAGCCATGCATGCATGAACAGTCACAAAGAACACGAGCATGTGCAAAGAACATCGCTGCACAGGATTTTTTCAAAACAGATGAGTTCGGATGATCCAACATATCTTAATGCATGTGAACTTAAAAAGCATTGCTACAATGGATTTTCTGATGTATTACTCAGGCCGATGTACTGGAAGGTATTTCTGGATCATTATAGTAGGAATAAGTTCAGATCTGAGCTTTTCTCACGTAAAAGAAGAGAATTATATGAAGCGTACGCAGCAAAAATCTGTCACAATGGTAAAAGTATGCATAAGCATTATGAATTGATTGAGAATGACGTCAAAAGAACATTTGTCAGGCCAAGAGTGCACAGAGTAAATGCACAATCGTATACTAGATCATGTGACTTTCTGGATGCCCAATCACTAGATCCAGGAATAAATCACAGAAGCGCAATCAAGAGAATCCTTATGTGCTACTCAATTGCGAATTCATCAATAAGGTACGTGCAGGGAATGAATTTTGTTGTATCTGTTGTTTACTATGTGATGAGTGCCTCTAATGACACTGGAAGCAGGAGAGACATTGAGCCTGACACGTTTTTCTGTTTCAACAGTCTGATGGCAGAGATCGGAGACAACTTCACAGAGGACCTGGACCTTAACAATGCAGGAATATCATACAGAATTCACAAGGTTGCCATTATTTTAAAAATGGCTGATTCTGAGCTATACAGTGCCATGGAAAGCAAAGGGCTAAGTGATTGTGTGTTCTGTATGAGATGGATTTTGGTTATGTTTGCATCTTGCTTTGAGATTGATGATGTTGTGTGGCTGTGGGACAGGCTGCTAAGCGATGCATCAAGATTTGATATAGTGCTGTACTGCTGTGCATCTGCAATAATCCTGATGAGAAACATAATAATCAACAATGACTTTGACAGGTGCATGCAAGTGCTTCAGGATCTCTCAGCCGTTGATGTTAAGATAATGTTCTACATGGCTGATGGTTTAAGAAAGAAGCATTTTGAGAATGTGTAGCCTTTATGAATAGCACAGGTTTCAAACTATTTACAGTTGCATTGAATTTACACAATCAACTTAATACATCAACTAATGGAATAGTGTTCATGCACCTGACTAATATAATCAACTAATACACCAACTAATGCATTGAAATCATGCACCTGACTAATATAATCAACTAATACAATCAATTAATGTATGGCTTTTGAAACATAATAAGGTAATCTGATCAAAAAACAAAGGAGAGCATTGATGAGTAAAACAAAAAAACGCATTGAGGCATTATCCGAGCTCTTTGAAAGTGAGAAGTCGTACATCAAAGATCTGCAGTTATGGGAAAGGAGTTTCAGGATGTGGATTCTTGGATGTCCACTGTTTGAGCTCAAGATTAAGTATGAGATATGCGATAGAGTGTTTGTTAACATGGAGAGAATCAGACTGCATCATCAGAGCATATTGGAAGACATGAAGAAACAAAACCTAGAGATCTATTCGCAAATCTCGCAGAGAATACCTGATGATGACAACTCGTTTGTTTTGGACACTGTAGATCATGATAACAAGACTTTAGCAAAGCTGGAGTATATATCAGTATATGAAAACAAGCTTGATGGATTTAAACTGTATCTTGAGTATGTCAGAGGGCTTTCAAAGGCACAGTTTGACCTTGAAAGATTGATGGAGTACTATCCAGAGTTTGCGAGCGGTGTGAAGGACTTCCTGAAGAGCCATGGCGTTGATTCTCTTGGAATTGAGCATTTCCTATACAGGCCGTCGCAAAAGCTTGCAAGATATCCTCTTCTACTGAATGCAGTTGTAAAAAACGAAGAAGACGATGGATTCAGGAAAATGTACCTTGGACTCATAGAGGGATTTAAGGTGATTACAAAAAGCGTTGATCACGAGTTTAATGTGTTCAGCATGCAATTCACGATATACAGGCTCGGGGCACGCTTCAGATACAAAAAGTCCATCAGGAATCAGCAATGCCTGGGATTATTTCAGATCTCAAGAAGTTTGCTGAAAGAAGGAGATGTGCTTGTAAGAAGCTTAATATCCGAAAAACACGTTGAATACCGGATGTTTGTGTTTGATCACGTGGTTCTCGCATGCAATATCCCACAGGATAGATTCGATGAAATATGCATTTGTGAAGAACCAATGCCTATGACACGGTTAAAAGTGCTTCGGAAAGATCCCGGCGTATTTCCAGATGCAATGCCAGTAGGCATGTGCTCTTCTTTGCTACTGTTTGTGATGGGAGGCGAAGTGGCTTTGAAGCTTTACTTCAAAGACAGCGGAGAGCGAGACGTGTATTACTCTATTATTCAAAAGGCGGTGCTTAAGGCAAATTCAAAGCTCAGCAAGAGCATATCTATCGATGTGTTGTGCTTGAAGAATGCAGGACAAATGAAATATGTGTGGAAATCTGGGCACAATACTCTAGTCAATGATACAGATAGTAACGAGGATGTTATGAGTGAAAATAATGAGGATAGTGTTAGTGAGGTTTATTCAATGTATTCTGAAGACATCCATGATCCTGAAGTTGAAGAGGCAATACTTGACTTTATCAAGAAGAGAGAAAGCAGTACCTTGAAAAGAATATCAAATGATGATAGAAGCCAATTTGCAGTTGATTTAACCAGCGAAAGCATGGATAATCAAGAATCGCTTGATACCAAAAGTGGAGTAGTAAAGTACGGCACAATGTCTGGATGGAGGATGATGTTTTCAAGGACTGAATGCTTCACCAGACATGTTGAGTTTCCATTAATAGCAGCCAGTACCAAAGATATGAAGAATGTAGACTCTAAGCAAGAAGGCATGTGTATTTTTGCAATGGAGAATGGTGGAGTATATTACAGGCTTTCTGATGTGAAGCCAAGAAAGATACTTGACAGGATAGTAGATAAGGTTGTTTATGACTCAATGTACGAAATCCTGATGTACACGTCTGAATCTGTACTGTATGTGGCTCATTTTGATCTTGAATCGCCATGCATTGAAGAGGTGGTTTTGAGCAAGGATGTTGGCAGCTTCTTCTACAGCTCGACAAGTGGAGGATCGTATATTGTATTGATCAGTCCTGAAAGCAGCCAACCGACCTCAGTGTTTCTGTTTTTAATTGGCATGTCGAAAGAATCAATTGACATAAGGTTTCTGAAAAGGATGTGTGTTGGATTCCGAGTGTCCAGTGTTCTGCTCTGCTCAGAGCGGATAGTGCTTGCATGCAAGGACTTTGAAATGATAGACATGGACACACTCAGAGCCGAGAATGTACTAAACATGCAGGACCCATTTCTTCTGATTCTTTTCAATAGACTTGAAGCAGCAATAGCTATTTCGATTCTTCCAATATCACAGCATTCGTTCCTGGTATGCTTCAGCTCGATGGGATTCGTTATTCATGAGGATGGAAGGCCAAAGAGAACAGGCGTGGTTTTTCTGTGGGATTGTGAGCCTGTTGAGTTCAAACTGGCAAAAGGACATGTGATATGCCTTGGGCATGATTGCGTAAGTGTTTTTGATCTCAAAACAGGAGTGCTGATTTTTACAAAGTACCAGAAAGGTTTACGCTTTGTAGCAGGGAGTTCAGAACCTTTGCTACATGATGGCGAATGTATATACACACTGGTTTTTGAAGAACATCAACAATCAGAACACTCAGTTTGAATATTTAGAACAATAGATTTGTTTTATACTGTGAAACTGTGCTGTAAGTATCTAAGCATAAAGTAAATATAAAACAATAAAATAATGTATTGATTGATATGTTGAAGAAAGCATCATTTAAGGTACTTTATGCCATTAGACATTGGCTATTCTTCAAATATTTTTACACAGGCAAATTATTATACCTGCTATTAATGAATCAAAACTTGTCTTGGTTCTATTGAGTTTAGAAACCTTATCATTGATGTTTTGTATCTTTTGAATTTCATACTTATAAAGAAGTAATCAAGCAAATCAACTCATGTTACTTAATCTGATTGTTTTAGTAATTATTTATTTGATTCTAAGGTTGCACTACATGCTATGTTACATGTCCATGTATGCTTTGGCCATTTGAACCACATCCCTTGGAAAACCTGCCTTTTCTGCAACCATAATTCCAAAGCTTGTATCACAAACACCATCAATAACTTCATACATAAGGAGTGTGCCTTCGCTTTTGACTCGCTTGTTAACAACATCATCTCCGCAAAGCTCAGGAAAGTGTGTTGCACAGAAACACAGTGATCCTTTATCCACAATATGCTCCTTCACTGCCTGTGCAATGCTCAGCCCATCTATTGCGCTTGTTCCTCTTCCAAGCTCATCAATAATAATCAGCGAATTCTGTGTGCTCAGGTGGCAGATCCTTGCTATATCCACCATCTCAGCCATGAATGTTGATGCACCTATAAAAGCGCAATCACTGGCACCTGTCCTCACATATATCCCATCAAATATCGGAAGCATTCCATACTCTGCAGGTATGTAACATCCAATCTGCGCCATCAGAGCGATAACACCACATGTCTTTATGAATGTGCTCTTTCCTCCCATATTCGGGCCTGTTACTACACACATTCTCTTCTCGCTCATACTAACTGTGTTCCGTATGCAGCTTCTATCTTCAAGCACAGGATGAAATCCATTGCGTATCTCAAATCGTTCATTATTAAATACTGGCCTTGCATATCCTGCAACACTCGCTTTGATAGAAAATGCATTCAACACATCAATCTGTGCAACCAAATGATTGATGCATTCGATATCAGGTAGAAACTTCCTGATCAGCATCCTAAGCTTTCCAAGCACTACTTCTTCTTCTCTGTCTATCTCTGCTTTGATACACCCTTTCCTTTCATTCATGCAAGATAACATTCGTGTAGTAAACGAAATACCTCCCTTCGTAAGGCTGAGCTCAAGAAATCCTTCTTTCTTAAAAACATCCTGGTTCTTTTGATATTCTCCTCGTGTACTCTTAAATACTCCTGTACTTGCATCATATCTTGCCTGTGGATATACTCTATAAACTCTTTCATATTCTGTATATATCTCCCTATCGATCTCATCAAGCTGACACCTGAGCTCACCAAGCTTATCTGAAAACTCAGGTCTGATTGCGTATCCACTCTCATCTTCCGAATACACATCAATTATCTTGTTGGCCTCGTCTAGAAATAAATTAAAGTGTTGGCAAGTTGACTCAAGAGTGGATGCAAACGCCTCTCTAAGGCATACCGACGATTCAAGAATCTTCACAATCACAGGAATACGTCGGATTGCTTCAATTAGCCTGAGAATCTCCTTTAGGTTTATTCTTCCATTCCAAATCCTTCCTATGTGTCTCTGGAGATCAGGAAATCCTTTCAATTCTTGTAGGTCAACTTTCATTAATGCTTCTACAATATCAAGCCTCTTCTCAATCGCATTAATATCAACTAAAGGTTGCAAAAACATCTTCTGCAGATGCCTACGGCCTTGATTGGTAAAACATGAAAACGTACTAAACACACAATGCTCGTCTTCCTTCAGCACATTCAATGTAATTAACACATTCCTATCTACTCGGCATACAAATTGCCTAACATACTCCTTATGCTCGTATCTTTCTTCATCAATCTTTAAATACTCACACAGCATCCTTGTTGTGCTTCCATTATACTTTCTCAAGTTACTCGGTACTCCATACCTATTTAGAAGCTCTTCTGTCCTTGTTGTGTCACAAACCACTTCCATAATGTTCTCCTCATTCAGGATCCCATAGAGGCTAGTAAACATATCATCATCCTTGAATGTGCATGTATACATCGTGGATTCACAACTGCCAACAAAACTAATCTCCACACACTCTGTAATCCTCACTGCTGCAACCGAAGGTGCCTGTCTACTATCAAGAAGCATGTCTGTAAAGTCATGCCAATTGCCAGGATAACCTTCTCTTACAAGCTTACATCCATTATACTCCTGAACAGCCACTCCTCCACTTCTTCTCGTAAGCAACGCCTTCATCACCTCCTCTGCTTCTCCTTTTGTCATCCTTAGCTCATCCATGCCATCTCTTCTGACAATATCTTCATGGCTATGGTTTGTAACATGCTTGATGTCGTCTTCAAACACACAGTACCACTCTCCTTTTACAAACACCTTAAACTTATTGCCATCCAAAGACTTGTAGAATCTTACAAAATCATCACTCATTCAATGGGATATTCTTTATCCATCTAATCTTAAAAATCTCAAATCCAAACTTAAAAGAAATCTAATTATTTATTAGTCATACCCATTATACACTTTATACTTATATCTTATCTTACTTTCACGCCAACATCCATTTTCAACCACTCAATTACTCAACTACTTTCCATTACTAAATTACTCAACCACTCAATTACTAAATTACTCACTCATCTCAACCACTGAATTACTCTTCATTATTCACGAGCCACAACACCTGTTCTTACTCTTTGCACTATTAAAAAACATCTTTGTCTCATATCGTAGATGCTCAGACTTTGCAACAAGATCCTCTATCTTGTCATCCCTTTCAAGCACCGCAATCAGTGTCTTGGACAGCGCTCCTCGTGTCTCCTCAACCTCTTTCTGCACTTGATGTAAGATATGCTTTGATGTAGGATCCTGATACTCTTCAATCAGCTTCTCAATGTTTCCATCCTTCGCCTCCTCAAGAAACTTCAATGCAACCGCTCCTGGATACTCAAAGTTAGAGCATGCAACATATGCAAGATCTCCTTGCACCATAGTAAATAGCTTGTAACTCTCCTCATTAAACTTATGCACATACTCCTGAAATTTGTACGTCTCCAATCTCTTGACAAGCTCATGCGAAATAAATGTCACAGTCTCTTTCACCTTGCCTCGTGTAAAAAAAGAAAACTGCCCAAGACTAAACACCTTCTTCTGTATCTCTCCGCTATTCACGTCAAAAACTATCAAAGAAATCATCCCCATCTAGGGTTCACTTCATATCTCTTTCTCAACTCACAAAATCACACCAAATATAAACATTGAATAAATCATTTAATTATCCTCCGGCTGCTTGACCCATGCCTTCCATACCAGAGCCCTTCATGTACTCACTCATTATACTTCGCAGTTCATTAGATCTATTCTCAAGCTCTTCCAAAGAGAAGTCCATTCCGTTTATCTGCGCAAGCCATGCCTCATTATCACGGACCGTATTCATGATATTGTCCTTCTGCTCTTGAGGAATGTTGGCATTCTCAATAGCTCCACTTACAGAGTGTAATGTTTGCTCAAACGTATTCTTCTTTCCTATTTTCTCCTTGATCTCAGCATCAATTTTCTCGTGCTCCTTTGCACTCTCTGTCATTCTCTTGATCTCTTCTTCACTCAACCTACTCTGTGTATTTGCAACTTGTAATTTACCAGACTTACCTGTCTGTGTATCCTTTGCCGTGACTGTAAGCACGCCATTATTATCAACCTCAAAAGTCACTTCAATCTTTGGCACACCAGCAGGTGCAGGAATAATCCCATCAAGATTAAACGATCCTATCTGCTTGTTGTCTGAGCACATAGATCGGTTTCCCTCATAAACATTGATTGTAACCGCCGTCTGGTTATTCTGGTACGTCGTAAACGTCTCTGTCTTCATTATGGGAATGCTACTGTTCTTGTCTATCAGCGTCGTAGCTACTCCTCCTGCCGTCTCAATAGACAGATTAAGTGGAATGCAGTCAATCAAGAGTAAGCTTGTCCCTCCTGCAAGTGCATCAGAGTATATTGCGGCTGCCTGATATGCTGCTCCATAAGCAACTGCTTCATCTGCATTAACTGGCTCAATCACCTTACTTGCTCCAAAGTAATCCGCTAGCAAACTCTTGATCTTAGGTATCCTTGAAGACCCTCCAACAAGAATCACCTTTCGGATACTATTCTTTGCCTCCTCAAGCATTCTCTCGAGATTCGGGTTCAACAATAGTTTACTTCCATCTGCTGAGTATTCAACACCTGGCGCCTCTTTATATAGAAGCAGGCATCCCTTTACTCTCTCCATACATCTCTTGAATAAGTGATCACACAGCATCTCAAACCTGGCTCTTGTAATTGGAACATTCAGATCGTCTGTAGCATGGAAGCATGGAACATAGATCGAACTGCTGGTAGACGAACTCAGTATTGCCTTCACTCTCGTGCATTCAGCTCTCAGTCTCAGTATCGAGTTCTCCTTCAAATCATTCTCCTTCACACTTGTATTCTTCTTCAAAAACTCTGCAATGCAGTAGTTAATCAGAAGATTGTCAAAATCCTGTCCTCCAAGGAATGTGTCTCCATCAGTAGCTCTTGCTATTCCAAGTGATCCTTCCGTAGAGTTAAACTCAAAGTCAAGCACGGACACGTCAAACGTACCTCCTCCAAGATCAAACACAAGCACATCCTCTTTTATGGCATAATTTGAATTGGTTTGTGTCTGCACATGTCCATATGCGAGTGCTGCTGCCGTAGGCTCTGCAAGCAGTCTGACCCTATCCGGATTAAATCCTGCTATTGTTGCTGCAACCTTCGTACTCTTCTTCTGTGGCTCATCAAAGTATGCAGGAACCGTCACAACTGCTGAATCAACAGTCACACCAAGCTTAGCCTCTGCTGCCTTCTTCAGATATGTCAACACTCTTGCACTGATCTCAATCGGTGCATAGTAATGGTCAACTCCATTCTTTGTCACCTTGATTGCTATGTTGTCATTGCTGTTAATATTCTGATCCTCCTTCCTTGTCTGGTGGTCATACTTCACCACCTTGAATGGCCATCTCTTCAATGATTCCTTGATCTTCGGATCATCATAAGATCGTCCAATCATTCTCTTCGCATCAAAAACAACAGAAGATGGATCGCTTCCAAACATGTTCTTCGCTGCTGTTCCAACTACTACATTGTTGTTATCATCAAAACACACTACAGATGGTGTCGTCCTCTCTCCATCTGCATTCGTAATTATCTCAATATTCCCATTGAACATTGATCCCACACACGAAAAAGTCGTTCCAAGATCAATTCCAATCGCATACGATGTCTTGTTAGGCACATTAGCTTCACTCATATTTACCGTTAGGGTAAACGTTCATTTTTATTCTTTTTTCTTTCGCGATTTTTCGGTTTTTTCTAGAAATCAATGCAATCATACTTCACTTCACATAATTCCTACTTCACTTCATATCACAACTGCTTATCATTGGCATTGACATAATTATTAGCATTCACTACAATAGTCATCATATTCACATTAAGTCTTTATTACTTCACATTCACTATAATCATCATCACTTCATATTTACATGAAAATTGCTTAACATTTACATTCACTACAATAGTCATCATATTCACATCTCTATCAATAATCCTACTTCACATTCACTACAATATTACATTCACATCTCCTCAAGCTAATCACTTTATTACTCTTCATTTGTATTCTACAATGCTTATTCAAAAAGCACCTCAAAGCATTTTCTAACATAATCAATCACTTGGTAGTCTTTGCTCCTCAGCACATCGACTAACACTCCCCTTAGTTCCTCAATAAGCCTCTTATCTCGTCGCCTTGCCATCTCTCTAAGTAGTTCATACACCTCCCTTTGCATCATCATCGAGTAGAACCCGTTATACACCGCTTCAATCCGATTGTACTTGCATAACACTTCTCGAACCCTTCTAACAACCTCAGAGTACACAACCTCAATGTCATCAAACACAATCCCATAACACCTAATTAACACACTCTCCCTCCTTTGACGTGCATCCATGCCTATCATCTCAAATATCACTCCATAGCCCTCCTTCAAATCCACCAGCGTCACCTCATCAAACGGTTGCTGCTCAACTCCTCCCTGCTCAAAATACATCTTCTTAATGCTCACAAGCACTCCGTGGTAGAACATCAGAAACTCTAAGACAATCCTCTCAATCCTCTTCATCTTGCCAATTACTTCATTCCTAACCTCAATCACTCCATCATCCACAAGCACACCGCTCATCATCTTGCATGCCTTTGCAAATATCATCTTACTACTCTTCACAAACGACATAAACTGATTCCTACTCATCTTCCTCTTGGTTCCACACATCACTCCTCGTACCACATCCTCCCACAGATTCTCATCTTCACAATGCTTCGCAATACTCATCACTACCTCAGAATATCTCTCTCCACTTCGTGCCAGTAATAAGCCTATCCTTTCAATCAGCATCCTAGACAACCCTACATCCTGTTCTGTAATCCATGAGATATAAGCATCCAATCTTACATCCACAAAATCATCTCCACTCGCAAGCATCTCAATCATTCCAATCACTTTTTCCTGTAATAGCCTATTTCCTGAACTAATAAATCTTTCAAGACAAGGCATTAACGTCTTCAGATCCTGCTCCCAAACCACAAAATACCTCAACATCTCAACCATCTCTAAGCACATCGGAAGACTCTTCATATCTGCTACTCTTCTATCAGTCAATCTATCCTCATATTCAACTCTATCAACTCCGTTGCTCTGCACATTCACTTCATTTCCAGACTCAGAATTACATACGCAATCAATCGGAATCCTTCTCAAAACATCCTTATATATCTCCTGTATCCTCATTCTCACTCCACCGCTCTTCACCTCCGTATCTTTCTTACAAATCTTCAGATCAACAGCCGTCTCTTTCTTATATTCTTCAGCATCAGCAATACACTTTACAACCATCTTAAATCTTTCCATGCTCAGCAGTCTCACTTCATCATTATCGCTGCACATACCATCTACCAAAACCTCAAAAAATACACTGCTTATACACTCATGCTTACATATCATTTCCACACATCCTCCACTCTCCCGGAGCATCAAGCACACCGTGTTCAATCCATCTAAATCAGATTCTCGAATCAAATGCCTTCCCTTTTCAAAAACCTCACACACTCCACTTATCGCTTCATTCCAAATCCCATCGGCATCATTCATCCACGCCACACTCATCATAAGATCAAGCAAATACCTAACTGTCGTATCTCGCATAATCACTCTGCAATCACTCAGCTCCGCTCTAAGAATCTCCACATACCTCTTCCATACCTTATTCACACCATTTTCTATATGATTCATACCTGCAAGGCACTCTCCAACATCCCGCAGAACATACATCAGTTTTATACCCTCCTCCTCACTAACATTACTGCACATCATGCACAGGCACTCAACAATCACTTCAAAATGCAAGGCATTTAGCAAATGACTAAATCCCCCAACCATCCATTGAATCAACAAATACACACTTGAATAAAGCTCAGGTACACATCCATGTCTAACACACTCAACAATCACATCCCATCCAACTTCTGGTGTCACAAGCCTTAACACCTTGAGTAACATTTCCAAAACCTCTTTTTTCTCTGCATCAGCACAACTCTTCAACATCCTCTCCACCATCCCGAAAATAACTCCTTCAATATCAACACTCAGAACCTCTAAATCACTGGCATAATCAATAACAATCAGGCTGAATATCCTTGTGGCATACATCCCTTCTCCACTACTCTCTTCAATAACCCCATTCAGAATCATCTCAAGCATCCTTATATTCAGAGGCTCAACAATCACAGGCTTCATCACATTGAACACAGAGTGCAAAAAATCAATCTTCTCCTTTCCACTCCAGGCATTCTCTGAATCATCCTGCACATCATTAATCATGCTTACGCCCTTTAATACATAGAACATCTCTTCTGCATCAAAACGCCCAATTGCATCAACGACCTGGCCCGCATACTCCTTCCCTCCATTAAGCACCACTCTCCACGAATCCTGCATACCCTTTCTGTTCTCTATTGCACACCGCATCATCTCCTTGCAAAATCCTAATTTCATCCCAACATTCAAAAAATTCTCGAGCCTTTCTCTATCACCAACCCCTGCATAGAAATCAACAACTGAACACAGCAAATCCTTTAAATCCTCATGAGCACGCTCAACCTCTACCAGCTTCTCAAGCAGCTGTGTAGAAAACTTATCGAAAAATACCTTTGTAGATGGATTATACCGTGTTCCATTCAATTCTGTCTGTCTTTCAAGCTGTATCTCCAAAGAGCTTTTGATTGATGCAATCACATCTCTGCTCCCCGCCTCATCAACAGACATATCACCAAGAATCCTGAAAAACATCCTTCTGACAGTTATTGCATTCATCCCTACCAGATAAACTCCCATCTTCCCAAAAAACTCAAGAAACATCTCCCGCTCCAGCTCATCAAATCCATCATACGCTTTCTCAACTTCACAAAAAAACATCTGAATGTCTTTCTCAAAGATTGCTCCGTTTCTCTGTGCTAATACCTCAATCACCTTGTAAACTCCACCCTTCGATGAGCTTCTCTTCCTTATCAATCGCACCAACGAATCCATTACATCATTTGAATACACATTCCTAAACACTTCATGCACAAAAAGTTCATTTCGCATTGTAATAATGCACAGAGTATCAACAACAAAATAACACATCTCCTTAGAGCATGAAATACAACTCAAAAGATGCTTCAAAAAACACACTCCATCATTAACCACTTGCACCATTCTACACATTTCAATACATGGAAGTAACTCAGATTTTGAATAATCCATCTCATTTGTATGCTCTACGTCACGTGCCTGCTCATTCACACCCATATCACCTTCACTTTGAACCTTTCTTTCAGGTATATAATGCATCCTACTAAATATAAAATCAATCAAATGCATCGCTATCGATCTTGCTGTTGTCTGCACCTGTCTACTTTTGTCCTCTATCATCACAAGTAGGCTCTTCAATAGACTCAATGCAACATCTCCACCAAAATCATCATACCTCATGAGATAATAGCTCATCTGCAGAATTTTCATCTTCGATGCTTCGCACCAACTGCTCTCTCCGATTGCACTGACTATCTCTTTTACATCTTCATAAACAAATATCTCATTCACAAGAAGAGTATAAACAAAGTCAATAACAAAAAGTGGCGCGTGCTTTCTCAAACACATTGCATTCACAATCATTTTCACAATCCAATACTTTTCTTTTATGCATTGCTTAATTCCATCGTTTCCAACCCCTTTGATCTCATCCTTTGCCTTGTGGCACATTGCAGCTACATTAGTATCATCACACGTCTTCAAGAGCTTTTCAATACAAGTATCAATTTCGGCTTTATCCAGGTACATTTATTTACAGAGGGGTTCAAAGCTATATTTATTGATTGCCTGAAACACATGGTGTGTTGTACACATCAGTGATAAACATTGCTGTGATTCGCCTGGTTTGTTGCTGCACATGTAAAAATCATAAAATGGAATGCCCTGATGTTCGTCTTCATGGGGTTGCCTGTTGACGACGGGCACGCACAGCTCACAGAGGATCAGATATGGGGCGAGCATGGGGTGCTTCTAAACAGGATACTGCTGCCATCATTCACTGGGGTGTCACTTGAGGGAATAGTGAACCAGGTTGAGAGACTCTGCTCACTGCAGAAGACGTGCGAAGGGCTTCTGAAGACATTCAGCAAGCAAGAGGCTACTGTAGATGCCGAAGAAAGTCGTGTCAACCTCAAGTTTAGGAACATGAAAGATGCACTCAGGTGGGACGAGAAGTGTTTTATGACAGACTCGATTGACAAGGCAATTGCACTTCTTGAGAAAGAATGCACACGAATCAGTGAGAGATTCAACACAATGGTTGAGGAGTTTATTCATGCTAAGACAGAGTGTGAGAAGCTGCAGAGACTTACAAGGGGAAGCCTAAGTGAGATCAGCCTGAACATCATTGTTGAGAATGACGAGCACTATGAATTTCTAAAGGTTCTATATGTTGTGGTGCCAAAGGCAAGAGTAAACGAATTCAAAAGGATGGTTAATGAATCGCCGTATATTTCTGAAGATGCAGTTGCAAGCATAAGTAGTGACGAAGATTATTGTCTTTTCAAAATGTATGTGTTGCAACACAATGAGGATGAAGTCCGGAGTGGAATACACATGGGAGGGTTTACAATCAAGGAGTTAGATCAGGAAGGAACATCGTGCACACAGATTACAAAGGAAAGACGAGCAGCAGAGGAAAAATATTCGTCATCAGAGGAGTGCCTTATAAGGTTTGTGCATGTGAATCTTGATGAGGCCCTAAAGATATTGATCCACACAAAGCTATTGAAGCTGTTTGTAGAGTCAGTGTATAGATACGGATTGCCTACGGATTATGCGTTTTTCGTGATCAATGGAGAAAAGACAAAGATTATGAAGCAACTAGTGCCTATTGCAAGAGGCTGGCCATCAGAAAGAATCGCATACGATGAGGATGGAGAAATAAATGATGAAGAGGATGTCTTCTTTGCACTAGAAGAGCTTGATCTCAGCCAGAACGATGAGTAAGCATGATTTAGTGTCTTATAGTCCTGCCGATCTGTAGTAGCCCAATAACATCTCCTGCTATACATAATAAATACGATAAAGCATTGCTAGTTTATTGTATGTTGCATTTATTCTTTCCACACCTTTTTGCATTCCATGCATTTGTAAAAGATAGTCATGGGCTCATCTGCACTTCGTGTCTGAAGCTCAACAAAGGACACCTGCTCTGATCCGCAATCGCATTTTTTACCACATTTCATAACAAACTTTGCATTTTCTTGCTCATCTATCAGACCTTCACTTTTCTTTGGCTCCATGCAAGTCTTCTTTGATATTTCCTCAGACATCAAATACATGTACTTACACATGTTGCAGAACAAACCGTTGCCTGATGTTTGCTTCCTTACCACAAGCATGCTTGATCACAGTGGACAAAATAACATTTCTGGGATAAATTCACCATACAAATCATTAACTTAAATACTTAAAAGCACATGATCATTCGATTATAATTCACTGTAATCATTCAATTACACATTATCATAACCTTATATTTCACAAGCACATCTCAATTGTATCATCAAAGAAAAACCGAAAATTATACACACCTTGCTCTTCATTAAACTCCTGATGCGTCAGTGATGCATCAATTTGTCTGTTTTCAAACCTAAACCCAATATTATCATACGGCTTACATACAAATACAATATATCGATATCTATCATCATATTCTTCCACTCCTTGCTCAAGACTGCTAACAAAGCGATACTGTGGAAACTCTTCTGCAAGTTCATATTTTATCATAATATTATATCCCACTCTTCCTCCTTGTATTAAACACTTCACTTCATGTACTGGAATATCCATACCAGCATTATCTTCTTTGATGATTCGTGCATTGTGTTTCTTACCTTCTCTATGGCGTACATAGCTCATCTCTGTAGAATGCCTTGTGTTGCAGATAGCACACACATATCTTCCTGCATCATCTTTGATTAGATTTGCATCTGAATCCAAGCCATGGATCTCAAAAAATAGCATCTTGCTTCTCTTCTGCTTATGCTTTCTAATCTCAGACCCAGTATGGATCTTTACTCCCTTCTTATTCATCCAAGGGATACACATGTACACGTATCTACTACTCGTGTTCTTTAAATCTTCTTGTTTCAATCTACTAATTGGCTGTTGAGTTTTTACTAACATGTTTTGTTTGTTATATCATTCAATAGTCTTTGCATAGATTCGGTCAAAAGCCAGCTAAATCCATCATTCACACCTTCTCCACTTCTGGCGCTGCACCTCACAAGCCTTACGTCCTTCCTTGATAAAAACCGTTGGAAATCATTTCCAAACACATCCTCACTGAATCCTGGATTGATATCGCATTTATTTGCTAATAGCAGCATCGGCTTGTTAACAAGCGAAGACTTTATCTGGCTTACATGCTCAGCAAATGACCGGCAATCAGTCGAATCAAAAACGAACACAACCCCGTCAACATCTTCATAGTAGCTTGACCAATACTCTAAAAACACAGATTGTCCTCCAATATCAAGAAGAATCAATTCATATCCTCTGTACACACCGCTGTGTATTTGATATCCAAATGTTGGCATGACATCCACCACAGGCTTTCCAAAAAGACAATGCAGAACACTGGTTTTACCTGCATTATCAAGCCCAAGAACAAGGATTTTCAGTTGGTTTCTCTCTTTCTTGATTCTTCTCACTGCCCTAGCGAAATGCATGGCGTATGCTATCAAATCTTTTTTGTCACGCCCTGTAATGATCACAATAGATGCTGCCTGGATCAGGTCAAACAGTAAGACATTTGCACAAAAGCGAGTTGTGGTACTGACAGGCGCTGGAATATCGGTATCTTGTGGAATACCAGACTTCAGATCACAGAAAGGAATATTCAACGACATCAAGAAGACTTTGGGAATAAGTGGAAGAAATCTATTCACTTATGGCATATCTGTGGCTAAGGAAACACGAAATATATACATAAAGTACATAAGCAAGCTCAAGAATATGGTAGATCTTGCAACACCATCTCTTACTCATCGGTTTTTACTTTCATATTCAGAAATCTCTAAGGGATTCAGGTTATACACACAGAATATCGATGGGCTTGAGGAAAAAGCAGGAATGGCGCCTAAGAATGACAAGTCAACACAACTTGTATATCTACATGGAAATATGAAGGAGCTAGCATGCCTCTATTGCGGAGCAAGATTAAACTTTGGAGAAACTGAAAGAAAAGAATATGAGGCAGGAAATGAAATCACCTGCGCTTGCTGTATACTAAGAAACGAGAAGCGGGGCATAGAAAGCATGGCAGGTCTTAGGAAAAGGCCCGTCGGTATGATGCACACAACAATAATACACTATGACCAGCAGCATCCAGAGTCTGCATTCATTTCCAAGATGGCACAGAACGATGGATGCTGCGATTTGTTCATTGTAATGGGAACAAGCTTAAGAGTGCTTGGAGTAAAGAAGCTTGCAAGATACTTCTGCAGGCTTGAAGGTACGAAAGGCAGGAGGATTCTTGTGAACCTTGAAACCCCACCAAAAGAGTTTGTGGATCTGTTTGATTTCTTCTGGAATGGAGATTGTGATGAGTTTTGTGAAATTGTTGGCGAGTGTATTGGAATAAATACCATATCAAGCAATATACAAAGACTCTCAATAGAAGGCTCCAATAGCATAAATGATTGTAATCTGAATAATCCGATTGATCGATCATTTCAACATACAAATAGCAATGTTTGTGATCAAAATACACAGGCTAAGATACATGCATAGAGTATGCATAAGATAGTTTACAAGCTCTATCTATTTAAACATTACAGACTTATTAATAGCATACCAGCTAAATAGGGCTCTGCACCGTCACAAGAGTAGTATTGTCATACAAATATAAAGAATTGAGTATTTTGTTTCGATTAAATAACTGTTTATTAGCCATGCTCAACTGGTTTATTGATTTCACCCTAAGTGCAGCAATCGCAATATATGGGACAGTCTTCTGTATCTCCTCCAGTATTGTTGAGCTGGAGCTCCTCGATTGTGTAGACAGGAAGCCCATCATGATATTTCCTGCCATCCTTCTCTGTGCAAAAATACGTTTTTTCATCAGATATTTCATCTTTGTCACACAAGTTGTGCTTTAATGTTGATGCTGATTTTAATGTTTCAGAAGATGTTGACTTTGTAATCTTTATTTTGTTACTGCCAATCTCCAAAAATATATCATCAATATCGCCAGAAGCTTGGTCATTGCATTTACTCAGTCTGTTCAGTTTGTCTCTACCTCCCATCCAGGGACCCAAATAATGCATTCATAACACAGTTCAACAATACAAGCATACTGCCATCCTTTCAAAAATTAATGCTAAGCTTTATGTTCATTGCAAGAAGCTCACTACACAGATACTTAAATACATAAGGCATCTCAACAACTCGCAGTATCTTATTGCCACATCTACATTCTCCATTATTGGTGAATAGAATGCTCTTACACTGCGCGCAATAATCAAACTTGGTTGCATCACTGCACTTCATCAGTCTATCATTCAGCATGTATGCAGATCCATGTGCAATCAAAGCATCTCGTTCCATCTCTCCAAATCTAACTCCACCATGACGCTTTCTTCCTCCAACAGGCTGTTTGGTTGTAGACACTACAGCTCCGCTCGTGCGCACCTGGAATTTATCTCCAACCATGTGCCTCAGTCTCTGGTAAAACACCACCCCCACAAACACATCCACACGGAATTCATTCCCAGAAACCCCACTGTACATCGGCTCATTTCCATAGTAGTTGAATCCATGCTTCGCAAGCTCCTCACAAAGAATCTTCTTTCTTTCTTCTGCATCAGATACAATCTCCTTATCTGTATCCTCATATAAAACACTCTTCTTCTTAAACGGCGTTCCATCCTGCACCTTTCCTTCAAGACATCCTACCTTCCCTGCAATCGACTCTACCAGCATTCCTATAGTCATCCTGCTTGGAAACGCATGAGGATTAATAATAATATCAGGCGCATATCCAGATTCAGTAAAAGGCATATCTGAAGACGGCCAATGCACCGAGCACACCCCCTTCTGCCCATGTCTTGAGCAGAATTTATCTCCAATCGTTGGATTCCTAATCACCCGTATAGTAAACGTCGCACACTTATGCAGGTCATTCTGAAACACTCTTACTGTATCAATCATCCCCTCGTCTCCTCCATGGTACTTAACAGTATACTCCTTGCCATCGTCATCAATGTACTTGTACAGTACATCATTTATCTTCATCATCTGTCCACGGAACGGCAGGAAAGTAAAGTGGCATCCTTTCTTCAAAACAACCTTTTCATTCTTGTACACATATCCAGTAAATAATCCCCTGTCCAGGCTTCCCTTGTTTATTACAACTGCATCTTCCATGTCATAGGCAGTGTAAGAAAGCACGGCAACCATGCAGTTCAGCCCCATCGGATAGTCCTTCAATAATCCATAACCTTCAGTCTGTACTATAGGTGATTGCAAGTAATTTACAGAATACAGCTTCACATCTGTTCTTGTGCTCATATTGTGCCCAGGCGTCCCCATAGTTTGCTTTGCCATCTGGCATTGATACATGTTCCTTGGACTCTGGTTATAGTCAGAGTACGGAATAAGACCTGCAACTATTCCTAAGATATTCGTATTGTCTATTTCGCAATATCCATGCTTGTAATTTCTCTTCTCTGTAAGATCTATGTCTAAAAATATCTGCTCCATGATTCCAATCCATTCATGCTTTTGTTCCTTCCTGTTCAAAACTTTCCTTGTAAGTCTACCACGTGTTACAAACACATTCACTGTCTCAAAGACTCCTACTCCGTGTTGATGCACTATCTCAATCCTGAGTGCATTCTTGCATCTGTATTCTCGAAGTGCATTCGCTAGAACCCGTGGCATTTTTGTAAATCCAACCACCTTTCCATCAACAACCACAGGAACTCCCGTATGCCATCCGCGTACCAGTGGAACAACTCCAAGTTCAAAAAGTACATTCTCATCAAACTCTTCAAGAAGCCCAATCACTTCTGCATACTTTGACAAATGCGTCAAAATGCCGCAGGGGGATCCGTCAGGCGTATGTACAGGACAAATAAAGCCCCAAGTTTCAGGTCGTAGCTTCCTGGTCTTGGTTATCTTTGCAGTCTCAAAATATGCTCCTCTACTTATTCCCCTGAAGTGTGCAATAAATCTATAGAAATTAATTCGGTCTGCAACTATAGAAAGACCCGATGCATTTGTGATATCCGATGAGACAACCTGTGTTATATTACCAGTAGATAAAAATAGCTCGAGCTTCTCTCCAATTGAAAGTCTGAATTTCTTGAATGTATCTCTTACACTTGTAATGTCAAGATTGTTCTCGTCATCATCCTCATCTGTTGATAAGCCTTCAGATCCGCTTTTGCTCGCTTCCTGTCTTCTTAGGCTCCTCAGTGGCTTTAGACATGTCAAACGCAAGAGTCTTAATGATTCATCAATCTTATCTCGTAGAAGCGTCGAGAATATTTGTGTTTCTGTAAGCAGCTCGTGGTTGCTTGAATGGTCAGGATCATCTTCTTTAACCTTTCCATCAACAAAAAGAAAAAGCTTCTTGATTGCAAGCACCAGAAAGTTGAACTTATCTGCACTAGATGTAAGATGAGTGGCTACACATCTGCTCAGAACCTCTCCTGCAGCTTCCATCTTTGTTTTTGAATTTGTCATGATCATCAATCTCGATCCAATGTAGTCCATGCACTCAGACTTTGAAAAAACATTGTACTCTGCAAAGCATTTGATCAGTTGAATTGCTCGTTGGCATCCGCCAAGCACATCAAATATCTCTTCATCATTGGTGTTAACAAGTGCCTTCAGAATCAAAACTACAGGAATCAAATAACTCTTTCTCATGTAGAAAATCTTCATGATTACATTTCCATTCATGCAGTAGTGCAGCATATTCATCTGCCCAATCTCATCGCTTCCCACACATCTTATTGATATCATATGCTTTGTCATATAATTTTCTTTAGGTGTCCTTATGTATGCAAACGCATAATTCCTCTTCTGCAGTGTGTTGAATCTCACAAGCCTATCAACTCCATTCACAATGAAATATCCTCCTATCTCGTCTCTGTCTTCTCCAACACTGCTCTTATCATGAATGCTATCTAGGTGGCACAGTAGTGACCTCACCATAATTGGAATGCAACCTGCAGCTTTGTTTTCAGTCACAACATGTCTGTTGTCGTAGTACAGAGACATCCTCACTGTAAGTCGCCCATTATAAGTCAAGTTCCTTTCTCGACACTCTCTGGGAAGCAGGCGCCTGTCAATCGATATGTGCTCTTTATCGCTCAGCATTGGCTTCTGCACATGTATCTCGTCAACAATCAATTTTGCCCGTCCTATAACCATCGGTGGGATGTTTGCAACAACGCTCTCCAGAATGTGATCCTCAAACATTGCATTGTAAGCATGTATGTGTGCCTTTGCAACATCTTTCAGCTCCATCGGTGGGATAAAAAAACATAACTGTAATACACTTCCACCATATAACCGTCGGTCCCAGTTCTATTATTATTCATTAAACGTGCATTAAATATGCAGAAAGCAAACTAATCAAATGCGTTATTTCATGCGGCATATGTTGCCCTAATGCCAGATGCAGTTCTTGTTGAGTTTGAGGATGAAGAGGGAAGGTCTGTTTCAGACAGACTACACGTGCCAGTCAGTATCCTCAGAACACAGCTACAGGCTCTTGCTAATACACAACTTTCGCTGTATGTGAATGGGCAGCCACTGCTGGAGTCTCTTGATGAAACTCTGAAGGTTGTTGGCATTTTATCGGCGGAGGAGATTGTGAAGATTCGGATGTGCGAGGATGAGCCTGCTGCACAGGCTGCGTTCCATTGCTCTTCCTCGTTTAGTGGACATGAAGGGCCTGTGTTGTGTGTAAAGTATGCAGATGTGATTGCCACAGGGGGAGGTGACTCGACCGTTAGATTTTGGGATCCACAGACAAAGACACAAAGTAAGATTGTAAAACAGCACGACCACTGGGTTCAATGCCTCGATGTATCTGCAGATGGAAAATATGTTGCAAGCGGTGCATTGGACGGAGGAATTTGCCTGTACACTGCAGATGGAGAATATGTAAGAAGCTTTCCAAAGCATAAGAAAGGAGTGGTAGTGGTGAAGTTCTACAATGGGAATCTTGTTACTGGGTCCAGAGACAACGCTGTGATTGTGTGGGATCTAAGCGGAAAGGTGCTCGCATCGTATGCACATTCAATGGCAGTCACATGCATATGCACTGGAAACGATTACTTGGCATCAGGAGGTAAGGATGCAAGAATCAAGGTGTACAAGAACATGAAGTTTTTTGACGAGCTAAGGGGACATGCACATGGTATAAATGCAATTGATTGTAATGGAATATACATGGTGTCTGGATGTGATGGAGGAGAGGTGATTGTATGGAAGGACTTTGTGCTTTGCAGACGAATGAAGCACAAGGCAGAGGTGATCTCTGTGTCTATATCGTCGAACAGGTTGTATATAGCATCTGGATCGTTTGACAAGACGGTGAAGATATGGAGTTTGGACACTGGGCAGATGATGCACAGTTACAGCCATGTGGACTTTGTGTATAAGGTTAAGATGATGAATGACCTGGTTGCATCGTGTTCGAAGGACAAGATGGTCAAAATGTTCCGAATGAGCAAAAAGAAGGTGGTGAGTGAGTTTGTGTGTGACTCTGAGGTGTATTGCTTTGATGTGAAGGATGGAGAGCTTGTTTGTGGGACGAAGAGCAATAGAGTATACTTCTTCAGGTAAATAAACTGAATGGTTATGAACGAACTTTGTGGAAGTTCATATCTTGAAGCAACATAATAATCAATAAACTGAATGATTATCAATAACTATGAATATATTTAGGTAAGGTGATTATGAATGACTATCAATAACTATGAATATCTTCAGGTAAGATAATAATCAATGGTTATGAATGATTATCAATAACTATGAATATATTTAGGTAAGGTGATTATGAATGAGTTTTGTGAATGCCAATGGTAATAAAAAAAATGCAGGATGGGGATGAGATGATAGTTCTAAATGTAATGAGATTTGAAAGGAATGCGAATGAGATACGAAAGTGCATTGACAAACCGTTAGTAGTCATGCTTGGTAAAGGACAGGATGTGGCAGAGTTCCGAATCAATTCTGCGGTGTTTGTATACTTGCTTGGATATGAATTTCCTGAGACTGTGCTGGTGATTGGAGAAAGATGTGTGGCGATTACAAGCCAGAAGATAGCGGAGATTCTGAGACAAGTTGATGGCCTTGAGGTGATTGTGCGTGGTAAGGAGAGCTCTGTAATAGAGCAGATACGAAGAGTACTTAAAGGACATTGCTATGTAATTGGAGCCGATGGGATTGAAGGAGAATTCTGCAGAGATGTTCTTGATAATTTGGAGTGGGAGGATGCAGGAAAGAGGCTCGATGATTTTTTTATCACAAAAGATGAGATTGAGATCGAGAAGTGCAAAGCAGCAGGACAGGCAGTGTCTATGCTGTTGAAGAGAGCATTGGAAATGTTATGGGATAGAAGGTTTGACATGAAGAAGCTAGAAGAGGCAATGACTGGAGAAGAAGAAGGATTTGATATGAGCAAGGCCGAGTTTTCATTCCCAGTGGAGTATGACAGTGGAAGTGTCAGGATTGGAATAAGGCTGGACGGGTATTGCAGTGAGGCAAGTAGAACGATAGTAGTGAACATGGACGAAATGTATGAGGCACAGGAGTTTATTATTAACATTATAAGACCGGGAGTCAGCTCTGCAGATGTGTACTCTGAGGCACTTGAATACTTTGAATCCAAGAGCATATGCTTTGGAAATAAGTTTGTTTATACTATTGGGCTATTGAGTAGTGAAAGAGGATTTGAAGAAGGATTTATGCTGAACAAAGGATGTGTGTTTGTAGTGAGCCTGAGGAGTGAGGGTAAGATTCTATCGAATACATTTGTTTTGAGGGATGTGCCTGAGTATCTGACATCGAAAGACACAGCATTTGAGTTTGTGAAGAAGCGATCAAGGTTTAGAAATAAGACGAAGGAGTATGAGCTTGGGATGAGAAGACGCGAGCATCAGAACGAGCTTCTTGATGAGCTGATTGAGGAACGTCTTCAGTACTACAGAGGGTTTGAGGAAGAAGAAGGTGCTGAAGATGATGTAAATAACAGAGAAGTTTGCTATACCAAGGAGAGTCAAGTTCCAAGACATGGGAGAATAGTGGTTGATCACTTGAAAGAGGCCGTTATTATTCCTATTGGGAGTTATGCAGTACCATTCCATGTGTCTGATATTAAGAGTGTAGCAGTGACAGACTCAAAAGGTTTACGAATTAACTTCAAGTCTGACTCAAAGACTAATGACGGCTCAACTGATGAGGAAGAGAGTATGAAGAATGTTCTGAGCCAGATAAAGTCAATAAGCATTAATGGAGGAAACTCCAAGGAGTATGCAGACGAGATCAACAGTCTTAGAAAGGCACATCTTACAAAAGGATGCGATATTAAGGAAGAAGTGCCGTGTGAATTAGTTATTTCACAGAAGCCATTTGTACTGAGCGATGTATACATGAGAACGGATGCCAAGGCAGGAAGTAGGAAGAAACACACTGGAGATCTTGAAGTCCATGCAAATGGATTCAGATATGGAGAAGTGGTGATTTTATTTGCGAATATCAGACATGTGTTTTTCTGTGAGGGTGAAATTGAGAACAGCACGATTCTTCATTTCCATCTGAACATATCACTCATAGCAGGAGAAAAGATATTTAATGTGCAGTTCTATCAAGATGCCAGCAGCAACCTTGTGCATGACACTATGAAGAGAGGCGACGAGCATATGGAATACATAATTGAGAAGGAGGAAGAGCAGAGGCAAGAGATGCTGAATACAAGGTTTATGGAGTTTGTAAGAAAGATGGAGGTTGAGACACCGATAAAAGTACAAATACCGCACGATGGATTCAGTGGAGTGCCATTCAAGGAGAATGTGATGATTAAACAAACACACGAGTGTCTTGTGAGTGTTGAGGAGGCACCTTATTTTGTTCTGAGCCTTGAGGACATTGAGGTGGTGAATTTTGAAAGAGTGGTGTCTACGGTGAAGACAGTTGATGTGCTTTTTATTCTTAAAAATAAATATCCGGTGCATGCAGTGATGAAGAATAAGTTAAGGCTGCTTGTGAGCATACAGAGTGTGGATGTGCAGAGTGTGGATAAACTCAAGGAGTACCTGGACTTGAATAATGTGCTGTTTATGGAGACATCGGTAAGCATTCGATGGACGAATGTGATTGCAAGCATTATGAAGGATCCTATATCATTTTATGAGGATGGGGCATGGTCTGGGCTAATGGTTGGAGACAATGAGGAGCCTGAGGAAGACAGTGAGGTATCTGAGGAGTCGAGTGTTTCTGAATCTGAAAGCATTGTCACAGACGATGATGACGAAGTGTCCAGTGATGTATCCAGTGAGGAGCCTGATGAGAGTGAGGATTACGAGAGCGATGATAGTGAAGATATTAATGAAAGTGATGACGAAAGCTATGAGAACGATGAGCCCAAAAGGAAGCGGCGTAATTAAATCGGTTTATTTATTACTGTTCATGCCTTTGTCTTTTTACAAAGTTCTGAATCATGTTGTTATCTATTTTTCTTATGGATTTCACCTCCTCAAATGTGTTCAGATCAAACTTCTTGGCATCAAGCGTATTGTATCTGTACAGGATGTCATCTAGTATCTTAGATGTTCCAATGCATGACTGGACAGTTGCTTTCATCAATGCCTGAAGGTTCATTTGCTTTACTTCACGCGATTGAAGCAGTGTATTGAGGATGTTGAAGCATTTCTGGATAAATTCAGATGGAAGTCTGCTTGTTTGTGCAAACTCTGTCATGCATGAATACACATCCTCAAACTGAGCGTCAAATCCGAGTCTCTTGAGCATCTCTGTCTCTGCGACTATGCATCCTTCCTTGAGTCTGATTGACAAGCGGTTTGTCAGTGGCATTGGTTTCGATTCATACTGTGTGTACAGATAGTTGAATACATACACTATCCTTTTTATTGTGCACATTTCTTCTTCCAGTTTTGATGCTAGAAGAACCGAGGCCATGCATAAGCCACTGAATTCCATTCCATCACTGAATGTATGGAATAACATTAATGCCTTGTATCTAACTCTGCATGAAAGGTTCAGCAGCATGCATGAATCCATGATGAATCTTGCACCTATGAATCCTTTTACTTCCTCTTTCGATATGCGATTGTTATTCGTATTCATTTCGTGCAAGGACTCCAAATGCTTTGCATTTGATACACTGTCTTGTTAATAGACTACATTACTGCACATGATTGAAATATATTAGCGTTAATTTATTCATGTTCAATAATGCTTAGATAAACACAATTGCTCTCTACTCGCTTGTCATAAAGTATGTTGGAAGAATTCTCCTCACATACACAACTGCATCACTTCCGTATTTATTCGTCATGTTTTCTAGAAAATGTTTTGTAAGTATTTGCGCTTCTGTGAGGAACTCATTATTTCCCTCTTTTGTTGCCTTGTACACAACTCTCGATAAGTCTCTTATCCATATCAGGTCTTTTTTATCAAAATTAATCTTTTCAATCATGGGCATGATTTCAAGTTGTACGTCACATTTCAGAGGAGCAGATTTAAACTCGAACTGTCTTCTTGGTCTTTTTTCCCTTATCTCCTCAAACGGATACACGGGTAAAAACTCCACTTTCTTTCCTTCTTTTGTACTTGGAGAGATGTCTGTGTACTCAGCAGGCCTTAGTGCAAGAGCCGAATGGCTGTTAATTCTTGATGCAAAGTCTTGTTTTGTTTCGTACTCTCTAATTGATGAGCTGATCAGCCGATCTAAGCTGTTTTTTTGGTTCTTGGTGCTGAAGAAGTATGACTGTTTTAGAAGGTTCTGGAATTGGTTCATTGAACAGTTCATCTGCCCAAATATCTTTAGAAGTGCTGGAGATGTTATTTGCTGCGTTTCATCCTGCATAAAATCAATTTCAATTGATGGCTGCTGCCTGGTTATCCCTACTATCTGCTTCATCCTGTCCTTATTGATTGCCCAGAACTTCGACAGAGAGACATGCTGCTTAATATTGCTGTATATAGCCTTTGCATCCACATCAGAATCAAGCGCCTTTTTGATAATCTCCTGCTCTGTCTTCATGAACGACAATATGATTGATTTTGCCATGTCTCTAAGGTGGTGTGTATCGAATCCAATCACAACTGCATCTTCACATAAGTTAAGTCTCAAGAAAAATCCATCAGAGTTTTTCACATGTAAAGAGCGGATTTCTGTTAACATTATGTCTTTGAAAGCAATTTCTTTGGCTGTGCAGCATTTACTTGTAAAATCTTTATGCGCTTCTTCATTTATTGCGCCATCAGCATTTCCATGGCCATGCAGGCACTCACTGTGTTTACATTCTGTAGGCCTCTTGATTCTGATTTTCAAACCATCTATCTCTAAAAACACTTCTTGGCCATCTACACGAGCCTTTATTCCATCAAGCATCTGTAGGATATTCATCGAAGACAAATTTTTGTTTGTTGGAGCACCCATGGAGATATCTCAATCTCAAGCATATAGTGATGCATCAGATATATCAAGCGACATGTCCCATTCATTGAAGAAGTTGGGGTCTAAAGACTCTGAGCTTGTGTGGAAGGGGTTGAGCCTGAGAGTCAATGGCGCAGATGGATCGAAGAAGATGCTTCTGAACAATGTGTCTGGCTCTGTGGAGCCACAGACAATGACTGGGCTGATGGGACCAAGCGGTGCAGGAAAGACTACACTTATGAACTCACTTGCAGGGAGGTTTCTACCGAACATGAACCTGAGTGGAACGATTCTTCTCAACTCTCAGCTGAGATCAGAGGAGACATGGCCAAGAGTCATCGGATATGTTGAGCAGGACTTCTATGCATATCAGCATCAAACCGTATTTGAGACGCTTCTTTTTGCATCAAAGATAAAAATGGGCGTTAAGGAGGTTGATAAGAAGATGATTGACAGGATAGATGAAGTACTGGCATTACTAGGACTCAAGAATGCAAGAAATACATATATTCGGAGTCTGTCTGGTGGAGAGAAGAAGAGAGTGTCGATTGGAGTTGAGCTTCTTGGTGACCCATCTATAATATTCTGTGACGAGCCAACTAGTGGATTAGATTCATTTAATGCAGTAAATATCTTAAGTCTACTGAAAGACCTGGCGAAGATGGGCAAGACTATTCTTGTGACCATCCACCAACCTTCATATGAGATGATAGACTTTTTTGACAAAATAATTCTGATGTCAATGGGTAATCTTGTATATGACGGAGACCTGAAGGGATGTGTTGACTTTTTTGATGCATGTGGATACAGCCTACCAAAACAAACAAACCCAGTGGATTTTTTCTTGAACACAGTGAGCTTTGATTCGAGAAGTACAGCGGGAGAAGAACGAAGTCTACAAACGATCACTCACATAAGCCAGGAGTGGAAGAAGATCAAGAAGGAGCCTATTCCAAAGTACCATGGAAAAGTTGGTTCTGGATATGTTCCGATTAAAACGTCGCAGAGCTTCTTTCTGTTGATGAGCAGGAACCTGATTGATTACACTCGTAATGTGGACTACTTGAAGATCAAGGTGTTTCAGAAGATTTTTTTTATTGTTGTTTTTGGACTAGCTTATCTACAGATTGGTTATTCTATTGAAAGCATATACACAAGGCTGGGAGGAATTACTTTTATGCTTACAAATGCATTGTTTGGAGTTTGTGGGCCAATATTCAATGTATTTTCTATGGAGAAGCGAGTGATATCGAGAGAGAGGAAGTCTGGGATGTATTCAGGCATTGTAGCATTCTTAGCGAAGTACATGTCAGAAATAGTTCTGAACTTTATGTTTGAGATTCCATATATAACGGCGGTTTACTGGATGATTGGGCTGAATAATAATGCAGGACGATTCTTTATCTTTTTAGTCATTGTTCTATCGCTGACGCTATTTTCGATATCTTATGGATTGGCCATCAGTGCAATGGCATCCTCGCAGAATGTTGCACAGGTGCTTGGATCGCTTGGCCTACTTGTGTTTCTGATATACAGCGGATCTTTCAACAACCCGAATACAATACCTGCATGGCTCAGATGGATGGTGTGGCTGTCGCCGATGTACTATGCAACGAAGGCGTCGTTCCAGAACCAGTTGAATGGAGTTGTGTTTACGGGACTAGGAGGCATTAAGGTGAGTGGAGAAAGTCAGATTGATCTTCGTGGACTTGGAGGCACAGGTATATGGACCTGTATATTTGTTCTATGGGGGATATCGTTATTCTGGACGGTTGTGGGATCGATTGCATTACATTATGGCACAAGAAATAACATGAAGGTAAAGATTGATGAGGAGCCTAACAATGAGGTGTAATGTAAAGCAGAGCAGAAATATATAGCATGAATAACGTGAATATTAATGTTTGGCATTGATAATACAGAAATTGTTATTATAACGGCATTTGCCTAAGACCCTAGTAGAAACGATGACGGGTGATTGGACTGGAACGGAGGATGGTCTTGAGGACATGCCAGCAATAAAGAGGATTCCATTGAGTGTTTGTCTGTGGATGGATAGATGTGTAGAAAGGATGCCAACAATCGTCAAGAAGGCAGTATGTGGTGGATACAACTTGATTTCTATGGGACACTGTCTATTCTGTGCGTCTGTTCCTTTTGTGTATGTTTATCAGAGAGAGATGGCAAGTGCAGGGCACTCGATTCTTAGTACAATTGAATGAGAGAAATTAAAAAGTGGAAGCCCTGAATGATTAAGTCTCTGCTTCATAAGATGAATCAGCCGATTGACTATGTGGGGCAGGAGATGGCATCGAAGCTGATGTACATTGTATTTGCTGTTGGATATACATTGGCGCTTGTAGTGGGGATATTTCTTAATGACCTGAAATACACAATATTGATTGGTGTATTGACAGTAGTCATTGCAATTGTAGTTGTTGTGCCTCCATGGAAGATTTACCGCAGGAATCCACTGAAGTTTAGTTCGCCTAGTAAAGCCAAAGCAGAGTAATGAGTGATTGAATTAAATCTGTTTTGCTAAGATTGTTTATGTTTGTTGAGAGTGCTTGAAATATTTTGGTTTAAATTTAGTAAACATATGGAGCCAAGGATGCAGAAGTTGCTTCTGCTTTTACTTACAAAAAGTGCAGGATGTTTCTTTCTGTTTGATTTTCTTAATGAGGATTTAGAGTATTACAATATGAAAAAATATCCTGATACGATTGGGCTGTGGACAACAGTGATCTGTTCATTTCTGATTACATTCTACAGTATGAAATTTCCAAGAATTTTCCTGACGCTCTACATAGCAGGAGCGATTAGTTATGGTACAGCGGGTATAAATGAGGAAGATCTAAACTCTAGCCTTCCAAAGGAAGTTCAGAACTTTGGGATCGTTCTAGAGATAAAGGGAGTGCTTGAAAATCTCCAAGCAGATCCTGCTATTCTTATTGTTGTTTCTTTTGTATTTGCTTCAATATTGTCATGGCTTCTTAACATAATCCAGAACATGTTTCTTGTTGTTGGGTTCTATGTTACTTACTGCATGCTTTTACCAATATGTTTTGGTGAGAACGAGGAAGAATCACCGGTGCTCTTTTATATACTTTTGATTGGATCTACAATGATATTGTACTACCTAACACGCAATGCATCTAAGTATGCTCTGCTGATGATGTTCTGCTCAACAGGATCTTTTTTGCTTCTTGCATCTCTTGAAATGGCCAGTGGAACAGGCGACGTATTCTACGGTATTGTCTATGATTTGTGCCATATGTATACTTTTGAGTTAAGCCTAATGACGTTTCCAATGATGATATGGATTGGATTGACAATATTTGCAATGGCATGGCAGAAAAGATATATAAAAAGCAGCGGATAGTTAGTTTGTTTACTATAACAGCTTGAATTGGCAAGCAATGACTACTCTTCTCTCTGCAGTAGTAAGATCTTTGAATCCAGCTTGACGAGCTTGATTGATGATCCTTTTAGGTAGCATTCGTTGATGAATACAGAACTTCCGTCTGCTTTTTCGATTGTGACGCTTCTGAGATGTAGATTCATCGACATGTCACATTTATCGAGCAATCCTCGCAGGTTGTCGTCGTTCTTTAGTTCTAATTCTATGATTTTGTTTCTTGATATCCTTAAGAGAGTCAAAGGATACATGTACAGGGATTCTAAGAAGAAGGTTTTGAGGACGACAGACAGTATAAGGAAGTTGAAGTTGAAGAGGCGAGGGAGTGTTATGAAGAGTTAGTTGTATTTAATATGTTGGAAATATGCCACAAATGTGCGCGGAGTCTGTCAATTGTGTATTTGGATGACATCTTCCATGGTGCAGTGGTAGCATGCTCGCCTGTCACGCGGGTGGCCCGGGTTCGAGTCCCGGTGGGAGAGTTTTTTGTTTATATTTTGAGTAACTGCTGCATGGCATATGCTGTATATCTGTGATACTATGATGTATTTCAGTACTCTCCATGCAATAATATTTCTGGTTATCTTATAAATATCTGTAAACTTATATATGTTTATATTTTAAACATATCCACTCATCGATCCTTATATATGTAAGTGAATTCTAATCTAGAGACATGCATTTATACTCAAGCATGCATGAATATAGATGGGAGTAAGCAACAATGCATTTTATCTCGATGACTTCTTGATGCTTGATTCTACTGTACTAGATGCTTCTCTGGAGTTCCAAGATGCATTGGAGCTTGGAAGTATTTATGAGCTTGAAAGATTCTTCACTGAGCAACGCGAAGATGTTGTAAATAACCACAATCTCCAGCCATCACACAACGGTTTGTATCATGATCCGTTTGTACATATTGAATCAGTAGTGGATGATTCAGCAGACTCCAGAGGCATTTACAAACCTGTCAGGATCCGCGGTATTGGGATGTTAAGAGAAGGATACTGTGAAATATGCAAAAAATGGCTTAGACTAAAGACAAGTAGTTACTGGTATCACATGAACTACAAGCATGGGATTAACTCAAGAGGAGTGAAATACCCAGAACCACAAATGAGATTTGTTGGATGCCGTACAGAAAGCTTTTGCACGGTGTGTGATAAATGGGTTTCATTGGGAAGCAGTAAACATGGCAAATCTGCAAAATTCGGCTGGTTCAAGCATTGCCAGAAAGTCCATAAATAAATTAATTCAATACATTGTGAAAGACATGTTTATTGGCATAATACTACATTATTCATCAAGACTCATGCATTAATCTTTTGCTATTCTATTTTCTAGTGTTACATATAAGTGTTGTAATGCCTGGTAAAATTGGATAGTGAATTGTGATGAATAGCTGCAATCAGCATAAAAAGTCCGACTCAACCATTGCAAGAAACCTGGTCATGTATGCATCTGGATCGATACAAGAGCTTGAAGAATTACAACAGAATAGATTCAACAATCTTTCGGTTCTTTTTCTGAAGTTCCATTGCGTAAGAATGTCTATTATTCCAAAGTGCACATCACTTACATGTTGTTTCTGATCCTCTGCATTCGGTAGATACGATTCACCATGACTTCTATTAGTTGGCACAGATTTAAAACATACAAGAAGACTGTAGTCCATAACATTATGCTTGTTCAAAAACAATAAGTCTCTTCTCATCTGAGACACAAATACTGGTCTGCTATGTATCTCAATTTTTTTGTTGTTTTTTATCCAATTCGTCTCTTTAAGGTTCTGCAGTGACTGTCCTTCTCTACATACATTGACGCCCTTAAGATCATAGACTTCGTCTGCATGCATTGCGTCTGGTGTAGAGCAACCTTCAAGTATGTTCTTCATTATGATGAAGTATTCTGTAGAAATACAGGTCTTGAGACTGTAGCATCCAAGTATCCTACAAAGCAATGAGTTTGGATTTTGTTCAATATATGTACTGTATTCGGGAGCCATCTGGCAAATGCATGAAAGCTCTGACTTCCTGATTGTTTTTATGGCGTATTTGAAATCTTTAGTGAAGAACACAAGTGATCCACTTTTACCCTGTATCTGTGTATTTATAATGTATTGACTGTCAATACATCCCAGTGAATTGATTCCACTGACCTTGCGCACTTTAACAAAGCTCTGGATGTTGTATGCTTCAGCAGTGCCTGTATCAATATAAAGACAGTGATGATCAGGTAATACTAATATGTTTTCCATGTCATTTTCGATCGTGCATAATGCATTTAGTAGCGTTTCGGCATTTTTCATTTGCATTTCCATGCTAAAAGCTGGATGAGATACAAACAATGTTTATAAATTACATAATAAAGGAGTTGTACATACGGATACACTGAAATACAATCAGTAGGAGTGATAAAAATCTTGTATGCAGCAAAACGATGCTGACTGGATTCGAACCAGCGAGAGGAAACCTCAACGGATTTCAAATCCGTCGCCTTAGACCACTCGGCCACAACATCCCACATTTAGTATTACACGCTTTCATTGATTCCACTGCACATCTATCTAGGCTCTACGAAACTCTACACATAATACACAACACTTTACATCTTTAAAATCATAAATAAAGCCAAATTTATTCATATGACGCAATCTCTTCTTTTGAAATGCTATGAACAACCAGGCTCGGCTTCACATATGGCATGATCACATCCGTAAACAGCTTTGCTCCCTTCTCCCTTGCTTCACTAACACTTTCGTGTATTGTGATCTTACTCATATATGCCTTAATCCTCTCAATATTCTTACTCATCGCCTCTTTGTTCTCATCTCGCCTCCTCAGATCAACCGATATCCCAAGCCTTCTGGCATATCTATAGTCAATCCCTGCTCCTTCACACTCAGCAGCCGTAAATCCTCTTCCAAGTCTCTCCTTCCTGTTGTGGCACACCGTAGGGCATCTCACTACCGGTCTCAGCTTCTCTAGCGGCATCGGATACATGCTCTTTGCCTTCTGAAGGCGCTTCTCCCTCATCACACTCTGCTTTGTTTCCGGATCATGATGCACCTTTATCTTCAACGATGTCTTCCTGAAGTGGTTGTTTGGCAGTGCATGATTACCTTTCATTGGGGTTAAAATTTTGCAAACACTTTAGCCCTGTAGCAATGAGTAGACTGGTAAAGACAATTACTACTCAAGGTATGAAGAAAAAGGCTGTTGCCACTTGTGAGTGCACACAGACCGGACAGTTCTCAATAAGAATCAACATGGTGCCTTTTGAAATCCTTCCGAACTCGCTCATGGCAGCAAAGCTCAAGGAAATCATCTGCATTGTTGATCAATCAAACATTAAGGACTTATCGTTCGACATAACATGCAAGGAAGGTGGAAACGTTTCTCGTGTGTATGCAGTCAGGATGGCATTTGCAAAGGCTGTGCTTGCATTCTATGGCACTTATCTCGAAGAATGGAAGAAACAGGAGATCCAGAAGAGGCTAATGGACTTTGACAGGTTCAGCCTTGTCAGTGACTCAAGAAGGAGAGAGCCAAAGAAGTTTGGAGGACCAGGTGCACGTGCAAGGTATCAGAAGTCATATCGTTGAAATAAATCGTCTTCTTCTAAACGTCTAAATAACTCAAGAGAGCAGAATGATGCATCTGCTATTTATGAATATTCAGGGTATGCTTGAAAAGCTACATCAATATTGTTTATTCAAATTTTGTTCAGTGCCTGCCACTATGAACGTTTACATTTTGAAGGAATGATAAGTATTGCAGGAATCGTTTCTTTATATCTACTTATATCATCTTCTATTTTCTCGGCCACAAAGTCGCATATCAGTATCATTGCAAGATCTTCTCTGCTTGTGAGTGCTCGAAAGTTCTTCCTCAAGTCATCCTCGGATGTATCGTGTGTGACATATACAAGATTCGGAGTTTCATTTGTGCTTTCTATCCCAGCAATCAGAAATCCAAGCAGAGTCTCTTCGTCTCCGATCATTCCTATCCTTGTTCGTCTGTCCATATGCCCTGCCGCACAATTGAATTTAAGAAGATCAAGATGTTATGCAATGCCATTAAATACTATAAAATGATATGGATACGGCATATGTGATATCTCGAGTCATTATGAACTCCCTGGTCATATGCAAACAACAACAGTGAAGATAAAAACACGGGATGGCGATATATTTAATATAGAATGTAAGCATGCATACAAAAGCATACTCATAAAGAATGTGTGCACATCAACTGTATGTAGCTATCCAATACATATACAGCTCTCCTCAAAGGTATTCAAAACAATAAGCGGATATATGCAAGTTGACACCTCGCATCTATCTGAGAAGTACAATCCGCTTGAAATCCGATTCAAGCAGTACGATCTTGACTTCTTCAACATTTATAGTGACGAGCACTTACTAGATATATGCAATGGTGCAAATTACCTTGACTATCCATGCCTGCTAGAGCTTTGTTGTAAGCTTATTGCTGAAAGGATAAAGTACAAAACTGTAGAAGAACTCAGGGAGTTTGTTGGCATGGGCCGTGGGATGTCGCCTGACGAAGCCTGCGAGATAGAAAAGGAGTTTGGGTGGATGTCTTCTGAAGAATAAAGTTTATAAAGAGCAACTAAAATAAATCGAACAATGTATTGAATATTACATGTTTATAGTAATTATGTTATTTATGATGTATTTGATGCTTATAGTAATTATATTTTATGTATGATGATCTAAAGCATCACACGTTATGGGACATATTTGATGAACATGCATTTAAGTGTTAATAATATGAATGGTTATAATTTGATGAACATGTATTTGAGTGTTAATAGCAAAAACGATTCCATGATATTACCATACATGAATTAAAAATTCTGTGCATCATTATGTTCATACGGGTGCCTTAGTCAATGCATATCTCATTTTTGTGATTCGAATTATGCTTTCATGCAGAAAATACAAATCATTGTAAAAATTATGTGATAAAGGCATTTATAAGCACAAACCCATAAATGTTCGAGGAGAGGGTGAAGAAGCAGATCAAGTCGATACAGTTCGGACTATTTTCGCCAGAGGAGATAAGAAACGGAAGTGTTGTGTTGGTAGCGCACCCGGAGGTCATGGAGAATGGAGTGCCTAAACCAGGGGGGCTGATTGATCTGAGGATGGGAACCACAGACAGGATGTATCTGTGCCAGAGCTGTGGAGGAGACAGCTTTTCATGCCCAGGACACTTTGGTCACATTGAGCTAACAAAGCCGATGTTTCATGTTGGATATGTGTCGAAGATCAAGAAGGTTCTGGAGTGTGTTTGTTTTTATTGCTCTAAAATCAAGATAGCAAAGACAGGAGACAAGGCCACGCTGAATGGGGTATGGAATGCTTGCAAGACAAAAGGCATGTGCGAAGGAGATATGGTTGAAGGAGGAAGAACTGGGTGTGGAAACAAGCAGCCGGTGATAAAGAAAGAAGGGCTAAGTCTTGTAGCGTTTATGAAAGGAGAGGAAAGCGGAGAGGGTAAGGTGATGCTGAATGGCGAGCGTGTATACAGCATATTCAAGAAAATAAGCGATGCAGACTGTGAACACATGGGATTTGACCTGAAGTACAGTCGACCGGAATGGATGATTCTTACTGTGCTTCTTGTTCCTCCACCGACGGTGAGGCCATCTATTGTGATGGAAGGCTCGCTGCGTGGAGAGGATGACCTAACACACAAGCTTGCAGACATAATCAAGTCTAATGGATACCTGAAGAAGTATGAACAAGAAGGAGCACCTGGGCATATATTGCGTGATTACGAGCAGCTGCTGCAGTTTCATGTTGCCACGCTGATTGACAATGACATTGGAGGGCAACCACAAGCGCTGCAAAAGAGTGGAAGACCGTTGAAATCAATATCAGCGAGGCTGAAAGGAAAAGAAGGGCGGATAAGAGGAAACCTGATGGGTAAAAGAGTGGACTTCAGTGCAAGGACGGTAATAACACCTGATCCAAACATTAGGCTTGAGGAGGTTGGTGTTCCGGTTGAGGTGGCGAAGATACATACGTTTCCAGAGAAGGTGACTTCATTCAACATTGACAAACTAAACAAACTTGTGAAGATGGGGCCGAACGAGCATCCTGGAGCAAACTATGTGATACGATCTGATGGTCAGAAGATAGACCTTAGCTTCAACAGAAGTGACATACGCCTTGAGGAAGGATATGTTGTTGAGAGACACATGCAATCTGGAGATGTAGTTTTGTTCAATAGACAGCCATCATTACACAAAATGTCTATGATGGCACACTATGTAAGGGTTATGGATAACAAGACGTTCAGGCTGAACTTGAGTGTTACATCTCCATATAATGCAGACTTTGATGGAGACGAGATGAATTTGCACATGCCACAGAGTTATACGTCGAAGTCTGAGCTTGAAGAATTGGTTCTTGTGCCGAACCAGATTATATCGCCGCAGTCTAACAAACCTGTGATGGGGATAGTCCAAGACACACTTACAGGGCTCAGACTCCTTACGCTTAGAAACACATTTCTAGACGAACGAGAGACAATGTCGCTACTTTATGCGGTGAATTCTCAGTTTGATGATATGCCAGTCGGGGAGAATGCAAGAGCAGAGTTCAAGAGGACTAAGGAGTATGACATCATGAAGGTTCTAGCAAGACCAAGTATAGCAAAACCAAAGAAGCTGTGGACAGGAAAGCAGGTGCTGAGTTTTATTCTACCATGCCTGAATTATTCTGGATTCTCATCTGAGCATAATGATGAAGATAAAGAAAATGCAAATGACACGGTTGTGCGAATTCAGGATGGGATTATTCACTCTGGAATTATTGACAAGAAAGCAGCAGGAGCAGTGCAGGGAGGACTGATTCACATTATTTTCAATGATTTTGGGCCTAGACGTGCAGCGCAATTTTTCAACAGTGTCCAGAAGATGGTGAATGCATTTGTGACTGGGATACATTGTTTTTCGATTGGGATAGGAGATACTATTGCAGATGCAAATACGGTAGATATGGTGAAGGAAGCGATTGCAAAAGCAAAGGAGGATGTTGCAGTGATTATAAAGAATGCACAGCAGAACATGCTTGAAAGGATGCCTGGAATGACGATGAAGGAAAGTTTTGAGAGTCAGTTGAATCTTGTGCTTAATAAGGCGAGAGATGTGAGTGGAACGAGTGCACAGCGCAGTCTCAGTGGAAATAATAACATGAAGACTATGGTTCTTGCAGGGTCGAAGGGGTCCTTTATCAATATTTCTCAGGTCACTGCATGTGTAGGGCAGCAGAATGTGGAGGGAAAGCGAATTCCATTTGGGTTTTTGCACAGAACTCTTCCACACTTTGTGAAGGACGATTACACTGGAAGAAGCAAGGGATTTGTTGAGAACAGTTACTTGAGCGGATTGGGACCTGAGGAGTTTTTTTTCCATGCGATGGGAGGGCGAGAAGGGCTTATTGACACTGCTATTAAGACTGCAGAGACAGGATATATACAAAGAAGGCTGATAAAAGCTCTTGAGGATGCAATAGTGAGACAAGACGAAAGCGTAAGGAGTGGGAGTGGATTTGTGTATCAGCTGAAGTATGGAGAGGATGGATTTGATGCAACGTTTCTTGAAGGCCAAAAGGTTGAAGTGCGTGATTTTAAGCGAAGATACTATATTGACATGTTTAGCACAGAGGAGCTTAGAGTGAAAGAATGGGAAGTGTCAAGTGAAGTGTACAAGATGCTCTGTTCTGATGTTGATCTCCAGAAGCAGCTAGATGAGGAGTATGAATGGCTTGTTCGAGAGGTATTTGAAGGTCCAGAGATTGAAGATATAGGAGAAGTGGATATTGAGAGGGATTATAGAGCAAAACGAATGTATACTGAATCAGTGATGAGTCCATGTAACTTTGGAAGACTCATTGGTACAGCAAAGAGGATATTTGAGGTGAATGCAGGAGATGTATCACCATATTACATACTCAATGCACAAAAGGAGCTGATGACATCGAACAAAATTCTTAATGTGTTGATCAGGAGCAATTTGAATGTAAAGAGGATTCTTATTGAACATAAGCTTAATGCAGAAGCGTTTAGCTGGGTGGTTGAGGAAATAAGGTCTAAGATTATGAAAGCAAAGATAACACCGAATGAAATGGTAGGGACATTGGCAGCGCAATCAGTGGGAGAGCCTGCTACGCAGATGACCTTGAACACGTTTCACCTTGCAGGGGTCGCATCTACTGTTACAATGGGTGTGCCAAGGCTGAAGGAGATATTCAATGTAACGAAGAATCTGAGGACACCGTCTATGAGGATATACCTTGAAGGAGAGTATTGTAAGAGTATTGAGAGTGCTAAGGCAATACAAAATGAGATTGAGTGTGTGAGCATCAGGGATTTATGCATATGTTCTGAGATTTATTATGATCCGGAAGTGATGAGTACAGATATTGCAGAGGACAGGGACTTTGTAGAGGCATATTTTGAGTTTCCTGATGAAGAGATGGACTTTCTGGGATTGTCACCGTACCTGATAAGACTTGTGATTGACAGATCCAAGATAGTTGGCAGAAGAATCAATCTTGAGGAAGTTGTTGGCGCAGTAAAGAGGAATATAAAAAGTGAGGCTCATGTGATATGTAGTGATGAGAATGCAGTGAATATGGTTGTAAGAATAAGGATGATGAAGAGTTCTGAAGAGTGTCTGAGCTTCTACACGGACTGCCTTGAATTACTATTGAAGCAGCAATTTGGAGGATACAAGAATGTTAAAAAGGTTTATATAACGGAAGATAAGGATAGGAAGGAATGGTATCTGCAGACTGATGGAGTATGTCTATCGAAGATATTAGGTCATCTAGCAATAAACAACAGACATACGGTATCTAACGATATGCTTGAGATTGCAGAGACGCTTGGCATTGAAGCAGCACGGGAGTCTATTTTGAATGAGCTTGCACTTGTTATAGATGGGAACGGATCTTATGTTAACTACAGACACATGAGTCTACTTGCTGATGTTATGACTATGAGGGGATACCTATGTGGAGTTACGAGGCATGGAGTGAACAAGACGGGATCAGGAGCATTGAAGAGGAGCTCGTTTGAGGAGACAGTAGAGATTCTGCTTGATGCAGCATTGGTATCTGAAAGGAACTTTTGTAAAGGAATAACAGAAAACATAATGATGGGGCAGTTGGCACCTATGGGGACAGGGAATGTGGAGATTATGCTTGATATGAACAAGTTAGACAAGGCGATTCCACTTGCAAATCCGGTGTTTAAGGCGAATGACCCTGATACGCCAGTGATAAACACTCCTATGTCAGATTCGTTTTCGATCAGTAGCGGTGCCTGGAGCCCAATGCACATTGATATGGGATATAATAGAGACATTGTAGGAAGAATATCACCTACTAGTCCTGCTTATTCACCTACTAGTCCTGCTTATTCACCTACTAGTCCTGCTTATTCACCCACTAGTCCGGCTTATTCACCCACTAGTCCGGCTTATTCACCTACTAGTCCTGCTTATTCACCCACTAGTCCGGCTTATTCACCTACTAGTCCTGCTTATTCACCCACTAGTCCGGCTTATTCACCTACTAGTCCTGCTTATTCACCCACTAGTCCGGCTTATTCACCCACTAGTCCTGCATACTCGATAACTTCACCAAGCTTTGCAGGCAAAAATAAAAATAAGGATCAAGACGGAGATAGAAAGAGGAAGAATAGCCATCCTTTTTGAAATGCAATAATAAAATGCATGATGTTATTTGTATATTTTGTATACCTCGAGTTAATGCAAATATTGATTGGTTAACCTTTATGAGATTTTATTGAATACATGTATTTTGTGGTTGGAAGACGTAAGTAATTGCTGCATACTATTGAGGAGGTACCGACTGCGAATTGATTGAAAGGAGAACATGAAAACCAATGAAATGGGATTTGGTTGATATATAATCGATGGTACTGGTAATGACATGCAGGAGAGCCTGAAGAAAGAGAGTATTATTTCTATAGAAGATGATGGAGATGGGCATGAGCTTGTTGGGGGAGAAATAGATGAGAAATGCATATGTAAGCTTCTGAAGGAAATGAAGGAAACACTCGAGGTACAGAAGAAAACACATGAAATGCCTGAGGATCTGGATGAGTTTTACAGGCTGTTTGAGAGGTATCTTGAGACGAAGAACGAAAAGATTGTATGGGAGAACATTAAGTCACCTAACGACAGGATTATAAGATATGAATCATTGCCTGAACCAACCAACAGGTCGCGAGAGCTGCTGAAAAAACTCGCAGTTCTCAAACTGAATGGAGGACTTGGAACCACAATGGGCTGTGTAGGACCAAAAAGTGCAATAACAGTCAAGGATGGGAAGAACTTTATCGATCTTGTTGTAAAGCAGATAAAGTACCTGAACTCCAAATACAAAACAGACGTTCCACTAATTCTGATGAACTCATTTAACACAACAAAGATGACAGAGAAGATTATATTCAGGTACGATGGAATCAAAACATTCTCTCAGAGCAAGTTTCCAAGGATACTGTCAGAAACCCTTCTTCCTGTTCCTCAGGAATATGGTGATCGAGGGATGTATCCACCAGGCCATGGAGACTTATTTTACTCATTGAGCAAGAGTGGCATGCTAGATGAGCTGCTTAAAGAGGGATACGAGTATCTTTTTGTATCTAACATTGACAACCTGGCATCCACTGTTGATTTGAAGCTACTCGAGTATTTTGCTAGCAATAACCTTGGATTCTTGATGGAGGTGACTGACAAAACACGAGCAGACGTGAAAGGTGGGACATTAATAGAATACAACGGAGCACTCAGACTACTTGAGATTGCACAAGTGCCATCCAGTAAGAAGTCTGAATTCACCAGTGTTCGTAAATTCAAGATTTTCAACACAAACTCTGTATGGATCAACTTGAAGGATGTGAAGAAGCGATTGGAAGAGGGCTCGCTTGATCTCGACATCATTGAAAACAAGAAGAGCATGGATGACGAGACAGTGATTCAGCTTGAGACTGCAATAGGATCCGCAATCAAGTACTTCCCAAACTCATGCGGTGTGGTTGTCCCTCGCTCAAGGTTCTTGCCTGTCAAGACATGTTCAGATCTGTTCCTTGTAGAAAGCAATTTATTTATCGAAAAGAATGGATCGATCAAACTGAATCCATCGCGTGCACTAGAAGCATGCCCAACAGTAAAGCTGCTCGGAAAGAATTTCTCAAAAATTGAGGACTATGAAAAGTGCTTCAAGGGAATACCAGATATTCTTGAGCTCGATGTGTTGACAGTCAGTGGAAATGTCCTTTTCGGAAAGAACGTTGTTCTCAAAGGAACCGTTATAATCTTAGCTGATGATAAAAGCAAGATATGTATTCCCGACGGATCCGTTCTAGATGACAACATTGTATATGGAAACCTTCCAATCATCGATCATTAAAACATCATGCAAAACTAATATCTATCTCTCTAATATCGTTCGCATAAATAAAAGATCCAGATATTTATATATTGGATTGTTTAATCAAACAGCTTAGTAATCTTTGTTCCTATCTCTTCGTCACTGCAGTAGACATCTGCAATGCATTTACAGGCCGCTCCACTGTTTGTAATGCTTATACGAACTTCAATAGGTATTTTGTAATACTGGCCAGTAAGCTGCATCTCCATGGTGTTGTTTGACACTTCTTGTCCTGCCATCTTCATGTTCAATAGATCGAGAATCTTCTTTCCTGCCACATATACATCGCCTTGTAGACCAAACACCGCTTTCTTGCACACTTCTGAGGCATTCTTAACTACTAATGGCCTTACAAAGTCCATAATTGTGATCTGGAATGGCTTCAGTGTTACTGAGTCTGTCTCAGTATCAGACACGTCTTTTTCTGAACACATCGTGTATTCAAGCACTCCGTTGATTACACATTCCTCTTCAACACTACATTCGGTCTCAAATACCTTGACTTCTCCAAATGCTATCTGATCGATCTTTATGCTTCCCTCACTTCTACCGTTCGCTCCTGTAGTGGCAAAGCTTAGAATCCCATTGCATATCTGAATCCCCTCCACTATGTTTTCAATACTAAATATAAACACTACCTTATTCTCATACATCCTTTTAACCACACTCACTCTAACATCTGAAGCATCCTCAGTAAGAGTCACCTCTCTGCATTCCTTGATGAAAAGTTTGTCCTTGCATTCTTCATGCTCTTCTTTCTGTCCAAGGTGTTCAAGAACAGCTTCTTTCAAATCACCAAGCTCATCAAGCATAAAAGGTTGGCAAGACTTCGCAAGCCTCAGGTTCTGCAGCAAAAACAATGAAATACCCCTAACCATTTCATCTCGGTCATCAAGACTTTTCCTCAGTGCACCCTCGACTGTATCAATAGATACTACATGCGATATGTCGTACAGGCACTGTAATGCTGCTGCTCTTACGTGGTTATTCTCCAAAATCAGCCTATTCAAAACATGCACAACATACTTTCCAGGGACCTTAGACTTCGGTATTTCTTGGCCAAATATCCCAAGAATGTCCAGTGTTATCTGATAGTACTGTGAGTCCTCAGCATATGTACACAGAAACTCCAGTACCCTGTCCCTTACATCATCACCACTCACAACTCTACTAATAACACTAACTATATACTTCTTGAACTCAAGCCCACCCTTCTGAGAAAGTGCACTCGACAGAAAGTCAATAAACACCGGCTTCTTTGATTCAAATGTGTTACTGAGTGTCTCCAGCGTTTCAATCGCAATCTTCTTAAGCCCATCACTCATTTCTGCAATCATCCCTGGAATCAGCTTCACAAGTCTGTCTATAGTTTCCTCAGTCCCTGTCTTTAGCAATGATGTAATTGCAAACATTGAGATTGTCTTATTCTCTGACATCACTAGATCCTCAACCTCTTTGTTCGCAATTGATGTCTTATGTGGATATCTTAACGCAAGACCTGAAATAATTCTCATTGCACTAAACTGAAGCGCAATATTTGTAGATTTCAGAAAGATCCTCAGGGACTGAACCGTTTGCTGAACAAGTTGAGATGCATACTCTTCTCCAATTACACAGACGCCCTTCGCTGCCTCAATAAACACCATCTCATCACTGTATTTCGATCCTAATAGTTTCTTCAACATTGCCAATGCTTCGGAATTTCCACTCTTTGCTTGCTCTACTACCACTCTTGCACCAATGATTCCAGAAGGCCCTCGTAGGCTTTCAACAATGCCAAGCCGAAGCTTCCTTGTTTGCATCAAAAATCTTGCTGCATGATAGCTTGTCATCGAGTCATCGTTCGAGTCAACATCGTCAATCCACTCCTTCACCTCACTAAAACCGTCACGAAGAAGTTTGCATGACACAAGCACTGCCATGTCTCTTCTTATCACACTTGGAGATACAAAAGCTTGGCTCACATACTTTCCAAAATCATAGATCATGTCAGCAGGTAAAATACAAAATAATGTCTTCAATGCCATCGCTTTCATGTCATCGCTGATCTTTCCATTCAAATCATTCATTAGTATGTTCGCAGCAACCAGTCCCTCATCAAAGTGCCTCGATAGTTCATCAATGGCAGAATACATCCCTGCCTTCAGGTATATGTCTTTTGACTGAAATCCCTTCAGTAATGTTATGTACGCTTCTTTAATTGACGCTTCGCTAATACTAGTCACGCTCAACATATGCACAAGGCTGTTGATTGCTTTCATTGCACTCCTTGTGACAATTGGTGATTTGTCAAACGAATCTCTCATCTCCTCAAGAAGCTGCTGTTCACTGAGTGGAGCAAACACTTTTGTTTTTGCTCTCATATGGGCATGTTTTTAATGCTATGTATAAACATTAGCAATGCACAGGCAGCACACTTATTATTATTAGTATTCAGAATATGCATGATGTATACGTGTAATTTAATGCATCCCATCAACTTTAGCATGGGAACTAAGAGAATGAACGATACAGAGAATAAGCAAATGATTGTAAAGCCAGATCCATTGAGGGTGGTGTGCAAGCGAATATCAAAGCAAAAGAATATGGTTAGAGAAGACAAGCGCATGCTTATAAAGAATAAGTCAAAGGTAAAGCTGTTTAAATGCATGTCAATGTGGAAAAATCCAACTAGCCAGATAGTTCCATTACAGACCAGAGTCGTACACGATAGATTCAAGACTGTACATCAAGAGATCAATATTGAGATGTTTATGAATCTCAAGTACTCTTTGGATCAAATTGAAGCACAATATACAAGTAATTGCCTAGATACTCAAGAAGACATCAACAATATAGATAAATTTCATACTAGCAATAATTAGAAATGGTGTACAGAGTAAACGCACACTATCTAATGAGCAATGGGCTCTAGTACTTTTACTGTATTCATCATATGCCACGCTACACCTACAATCAAATAAACATTGAAAACATTAAATGTTATGATAAGAATTACCAGTATTTATTCAATAATTTTGTATAAGTAAAGCGAAACTGCATAATCTATCATGCAACCATGTCAGAAGACTGCATGTTCTTGATGTTTTCATCCATCTCCTTGACTTTCTTTTGCAGATTCTGTAGCTTTCCTCGAATACCTTCAATCTTTCTGTTAAGTTCGTCAAATAGCTCATCTGTGCTGTCCATCTGTGCTTGAACTTCCTGCCTTGTGGTTGTTGTCATTGCATGGGCTTGGGTTTATGCTCAATAAACGCCTGCACACATAAATCCGCTTTGTTTACAGTAAGATGCATGCGGTTGACAGGGTGTGTGAAGAAGTCGGCATGCCTAGTTGTAGATATATAAGTGAGGAGGTCTGCAAGAACAGCAGTAGAAATTATGAGATTGCCAGGTTCAAAATCATGTCACCAACAACTTTAATTCTTTTGATAATAGCCATGGCATCCACAAGAAGAATGATGGGACATGTAAAAGCATTATGCTCTTCAATAGGCCGTAAAGAAATGCTTATGTTTTTCTATCTTTACTTTGGAGCCATGGCAATCGAGGCATTTCTCGTGGGATTTGGATACTCTACTTCACAGCAAGTACATCTATTTCTGACCACATTACAGGTATCACTGTACACGTCTGCATTCTTTGTACTGTTCTTAGGATGCATCACAATTGACATGTTCATGGGTGTTTTTGGAATACGGGTCACTACGCTGCTAAGAGGCACAACTGCACTATATTCAATCGGAATGGGAGCCATGGTGTTTATTGGCTTGAGCTCCTCGAATAAGCAGATTGCATCTATTCCATTGATAGTGCTGAATATGCTGTTTTTCTCATTATATGTGCTACTGCAGCTGAAGAAGCTCAAAAAAAGAAACGGAGAAGTCTGGGCATTTGGAACACTTTTCATCTCACTATCATGCTTCATAATCGCAAACGTGTTCTTGTTTGTTGGGTCCGCAATAATAGGCATTGCAACAAACAGATACTTCGATAACCTGTTTTTCTACCATTTCTTCATCCTTTGCACATTTATCATGGTACATAAGTACTGGCTGTCTGTATACGACTACGAGGTTGAATCATTGCGCCTAGAAACATAGAAACACATGTACTAAACATAGTTGTTATAAAGGTCTTTATTGTTAAACTCTATTAAGATCCTCCTGTGGTTGAATCCCAGTATCTGAGATGTCATCCTCTCCAAGATAAAACTCAACAAACTCATCAGACGTCCTAAGAAGCTCACTAATACCGCCACATCCCTTCATCGTCCCTCCACTTAAAAATAACACCTTATCGAACTTCTTCAAAAGCGCATGGTTATGCACAATCATAATTATAGTCCGGTCCGATAGAACAGACATTATGTAATCAATCAACTCAGCCTCTGTCTTCTGATCAACATCAGAGGTTGCCTCATCTAGGATAAATATCGGTGAATCCTTGATTATTGCTCTCATCAGGCTCATATACTGCTTTTGCCCAACACTCAATTCACATCCCTGTTGCCCACTTTGCTTAAAGTATCCTCCTTCAAGACTACTAAATACTTCATGCGTTCCGTATTTCATGCATATTTCCTTGACCTTCTCCAAAGACACACTCCAATCGCCATACCTCAGGTTTCTAAGCACTGTTCCATCAATCACACATTTGTCTTGTGGCACATATGCTATTAGCTCTCTGATTGACCTCCTTGTGTATTCATTCATCTCAACACCGTCAATAAGTATCCTTCCTGAATGCTCCAAGAACCTCAGAAGAGTGTTGATAAGTGTAGACTTTCCTGCTCCATTTGGACCTGCAATCGCAAGCTTCTCTCCTTTCTTCAGCTCAAAACTTACATTCTCAAGTATGACTTTCTCTCCTCTTTTAATCCCGACTCTATCAAAAACTATTCCATCGTCAAATCCTTCAATGTCAATCTGCTCAGGTCTATCTTCTTCCTTCTCATACGTAGAGCTAGAGTAGTCATAATAGTTCTCATAAAGCTCTACAAACTCCCGTGCAAACTCAGTCATCCTCTCCTTAAGAATCGCATGCAAGCCATTCAATGTTATTGCATCCATAAACGTCATGTTATTTAGGCTCAGATACAGAATCATAGCATGTGGAACTAACGAGCAGAGCTTCTGAATAAACGTAATCATGTTTTCGGAGCAGCTGTATCGCGTCCCTTGAACCACTCTATCATTCAACGTTGAGTGGAACACACTCGACTCCCTTTCCTCAAGTCCAAAAGATTTAACAACTTCATAGTTGTTCAAAATGTCACTCAGCTTCTTCACTGACTTGTTCTTTGCAACATTATATTTTCCACGGATAATATTGCGCTTTGATGTCAGAAATACTGTCGTTGAAATGTACAGTAAAGGAATCATAAGAAACAATAATGCATTCTCAGGTCCAAACGATACCATTTTCACCATTGCTATCGCAATAAATATCGTCGAGTTCATCAGCGTTGGAATCACCACATCAACTGCCTCGCCAATCGCCTTACACTTCCTGTTTATTCGGCCTTCAAGATCCCCAGGCGACACCTCATGAAATACATTGTATTCCAGCGATATGTACTCAAAAAAAACATCTCGGTAGCAATCTGTGTATATATCCTGTATAATGTAAGCCATCAAAAATATTGGGAAGTACTCAAACATGGCTGCAGATATTCCATATATCAGTAGTCTGTAAACAAGATGTGTGTGCTCGCCCAAATCTTTTAGCTCAATGTGATCTGCAATCTCTGAAAGAACACTCGAAGCAACTTTCGCATACAAAACATTTGCAGCAACCGCCATCCCAAAAATCGGAAACAGCATCAGAAGCATATACGTCCTGTTGAAAACATGCTTCATAAGAATCTCGCTCACTCCATAAACCAGACTCTTGCGAGGCTTAGATCTTATCATGGCACTTTCTTAAAGGGGTTCGCAACAATTTTTTCATACATCAACACAAATCTTATTGATCCACTTTTCTTTCGTTCATGCGCATAAATACCGTCATATTATCAAGTACATCAATATCAATGCACATCTTGGATTCAGGGTTATAACTCAACAACACAGCAACACGACCAATTTATTAATCGATAACAATCTCCTTGAGGCCCTTGAACGACCCGACAATCACCAGCTCAGTATGCAGTATCTGCTTCTCTGCATCCTTTTCGCATGTCTTCTTAGTGACTCGGACACGGATCTTGGCAGGAATGTTCTTATTTCCGTTCAAAAACACAAAGTTATTGAGCTCCTTCGTAACAACTACCCCAGTCTTCTCTCCAAAGTACTTCTGGATCTCTTTCTTCAGTCTCCTTATTGCACCAGGTGCCTTCCTTGTCCATGGGACAGAAAATGCTATTCTTCTCAAGTTCACAGTAATCTCCACTGTCTGGCCTTCTACTATCTTGGATGGCATTCGGGGTAAATTTTTTCATGATCAAATACCTGTGGATGTCTTTTGCACTCAATATTCATGCACAGTCTATAACATTGCATCACCAAAGTGTTCATGCATATACTAAAATACATGTAAATTTATGCTGATAAGCATCTTATGCATTTCAAACAATTCACAAAGCATAAAGATGCAATGTCTTCATGTGCAATAATCACACTGATTTTTGACCCTGAATGGTTAAGGAGATTTCTACAACAGACATCTTCTGCGGTGGCGAGAGCTACACTGGAGTTCAAGCTGTCGAGAGAAACTCAAAGGCAATGGCAAGGATATACGATGCAATAAAAACAAGTTTTGGACCATTGGGTCTTGACAAGATGTGTGTCAACTCTGCAGGAGAGGTCAGCATCACAAACGATGGCGCAACAATTCTTCAGAGCATGCTGGTGGACGATCCAGCAGCAAAGATCCTTGTTGATCTTGCAACGCAGCAAGACAATGAGGTTGGGGATGGAACAACATCTGTTGTTCTGATGGCTGCAAGTCTTATTGAGAAAGGAGCAAAACTGATTTCATCAGGTGTGCATCCATCTGTTGTTGTATCTGGATACAAGATGGCATTCAACGAGTGCATTCAATTTATCAAGAAAAGCATAGCTAAGGATATTTCCACACTAGGTGCAAAGGCATTAGGTAATATTGTAAACACAAGTATATCAAGTAAGGTTATTGGATCTGAATCTGCATTATTTTGTGAGATTGTTGTAGATGCATTGAAATGCATTGAACCGTCTGAAGGAGGCAAGAAGGTTGTGTATCCTATCGAGGACATCAATATTCTCAAGCATCCTGGAGGAGCAATGGCTGAATCGTTTTTAGTGCAAGGTTATGCCATGAACTGTGCATTGGCATCTGGATTCATGAAGAAAGTTGTTAAGAAGCCAAAGATCTTATGTATTGACTTTGGGCTGCAGAAATACAAAAACCCACTGACTGTAAATATTGTAGTTGACGATCCGTCGAAGTTAGAAGATATCAGGAAGAAGGAGCTTGAAATAACTGCGAACCAAATCAAGTCTATTGTGGCGTCTGGAGCAACGGTAGTTTTAACAACAAGAGGAATGGACGACTTTTGCACAAAGCTTCTGCTTGATGCAGGAATAGTTGGGATCCGAAGATGCAAAAAAGAAGACCTGGATGTGATTGCCCGAGCAAGCGGAACATCGGTTCTAATCTCGATGACAGATCTCAATGGTGTTGAAAGTGTGCCTACATTAGGAAGTGCAAACAAATTTGAGGTTGTATCGATTGGAGAGGAAGAATGTGTGTTTATTGAAGGGCTTAAGAAGAAGATGGCATCTATAATCTTGAGGGGAGCAAACTACCAATTACTTGATGAGATGCAAAGGTCTATTCATGATGCCATATGTGCATTGAAGAGAACATTGGAGTCGAAGTC